TATATAACTTTTAGTTAAAAAATGCAATGGTGCTGTTTTCGAAATTATAAGCTAAAGCAGTTTTTAAAACCAAAACTAATAGTATAGAAATTACTAAAGATAACAGATATGTATACATAAAAATTGATTAAATTACTATCATGACATGATATCAAAAAGAAGAAGATACCTATTATATTTAATTATTTATTATCAAAAATTCAGTTACATGCACATATATCATGATATTATCAATTATCATAGGTCCATAGCGAGTGAAGATGTAGCAATTTTAAAGGGCGCAAAATTACTGATAGCAACTAGAGAGTGGTCGTCTCAACGCGCCTTAATGGAGCGTGTAATTATCTTTTTCAGATCTGAGTGGAGCGACATCGTCTTTATCCGTACAACACTTACCATGATTGGTCAGTGTGAAACACGCGCTCTTACCTGCACGTCACATTGGCAATAGACATTTTCTGATACACACATAGAGGGAAGTGCAAGACTCAAACAATTAATAATGGGATTTGTATTGTACGCATGACTTTTGTACATACTTTACACATATTTAAACATACATACAAAATGTTTACCTTTTTTTTTGTCAAAATTACAAATCATGATTAGATGTATAAAGTTTGAAATTAAGAAAAATGAGCAAAAACTGCAAGTTGAAAAAAAAAGAGCATTTATATAACGATAAAGAATTAAAGATAGAGTCATAGAGAATATTACACGTCACGGAAAATAAATAAAATAAAATTTTATATATGCTTCATGTAATATATATATATATACATACACCTCCATTTCCCTTCCCTACACACATGGGAACACTCCAATAGTCTCTTCTTCTTCTCCCTAAAATCTCTCTCTGTTTTCTCACTCTCTCTCTCTCTCTCGTAATGGCAATGTTGGGTTTGGTACTATGTGTTCTTGCGATTCTTGCGGATTTCACAACCATTTCTGAAGCAAGAATCCCAGGAGTATACACTGGAGGAGGTTGGGAAACTGCTCATGCTACTTTCTATGGTGGCTCTGATGCTTCTGGTACAATGGGTATGTTTCTCTATCTCTTTCTCTCTTCTCTTACACTAAACACAAACCTAAAATTTCAATCTTTTTGCTACCACATTGTTGAAATCTTGAAATATTGCTGCTTCTTGATTTTTTTTTAACTTTAACAAAAACCCATCTAAAAGTTCCTATCTTTATGTTCATATTTGTTATTCCAAACTACCACATTGTCAAATTAACCGTTAAAATATTGAACTTTGCTTAATTTACTCCCAAAGGTTTCAACTTTTTAGTGTTAAACTATCTCTAAAACATTTTGCTCTGTTTTTGTTTTAAACCAGGAGGTGCTTGTGGATACGGTAATTTGTACAGCCAAGGCTACGGTGTGAACACGGCGGCTCTGAGCACGGCTCTGTTCAACAACGGTTACAGTTGCGGCGCTTGTTTCGAGCTCAAATGCGCGAGTGACCCCAAGTGGTGCCATTCCGGTAGCCCTTCCATCTTCATCACCGCCACCAACTTCTGCCCTCCGAACTTCGCTCAGCCTAGTGACAATGGCGGATGGTGCAACCCTCCTCGGCCTCACTTCGATCTCGCTATGCCTATGTTCCTCAAGATCGCTGAGTATCGCGCCGGAATTGTCCCCGTCTCTTTCCGCCGGTAAGAAAAGATAAATTTGATTGGTTGCTTAAATGAAAACAAATTTGGGTTAATTTGGTAAATGTAAAACTTTAGGGTGTGAAACATAACATTTTAGAAGCTTACTGGTTGCGGTTAAAAAGTATTACATCTGAGTTCTGAATGACTTGGGTTACTGTAGATAATATTAAATGTTTGAGGTAGAAACTTATCATTTTAGAAGTATCGGGCCATATAAATTGAAAAATCTTGCGTCTTTGTTCTAACGAATGGGGTTAATGTTAGTAGAAAATAAAGTTTTAGGGTATTTAATCAACGTTTTATAAGTATTGGGGTACGGTTGAAAAGTCTTATATATTGATTCTTGGCGCGAGTCGCTGTAAGCATTCATGTCGGGTTTCGTACGCGGCCATTTACCAAATCTTAAAGATCTTATTTTGTGCAAAAGGACGAAAGTTTCCTTCCAACAATCTCTTTTTACCTTTTAGTACTGAAAATAATAATAATAAATGTCGGTTTTTTAGTCAACACGCGTTTTCTTTTGACCTTTTGTTGAAAAACTTTAAATGACGAAACTACCCTTATCTTGTTCATCTTAATTACTACAGAGTGCCATGCCGGAAGAGAGGAGGAATGAGGTTCACGATCAACGGTTTCCGTTACTTCAACTTGGTTCTGGTCACGAACGTCGCCGGAGCCGGAAACATCGTGAGGCTGAGCGTGAAAGGAACGAGGAGTTCGTGGATGAGCATGAGCCGAAACTGGGGGCAAAACTGGCAATCAAACTCTGTTTTGGTTGGTCAGTCACTTTCGTTCAGAGTCACAGGCAGTGATCGTAGAACTTCCACGTCATGGAACATCGCTCCGGCTAGTTGGCAGTTTGGTCAGACTTTCATGGGAAAGAACTTCAGAGTTTGAAGAAGGGCAGTTCAGGAAAACACTATTAAAAAAAACAATTAGTATTTTCTACTTATAATTATTATTATCATCAAATTTCTAAGCCGAAGGCAGTAAGTAATTTGAGAAATTATATAGTATATTATTATTTTCATGTTTCCAAGACCACTTAAAAATTCCAAATTTCAACCTCTGATGGGTTTTTTTTTTTCCTGTTGTGTTCGTTGGAGAGTGTGAAAGTGGACAGTGGTCAAAATGAGTCATGGACCATGGTGTTTTTTAATAGCGTGTGGGGTCTTATAGTTTAAATGTTTAATGAGTCTTATGTTAGGGTAAAATTAGAAGTTTGTTTAAAGTAGAAGGAGCAGAATGAAGCAGATGCAAATTCTACTATCAGCTGGTTATGGTAAAGAAGCAGTAATAGCTGTTTGTAATGCTTCTTGTAGACCTCTATATTGTAATATATGAAAATTCGGGTATTATAATATTATGGTTTTAACAAGCTACACACCAAGTTTACTAATTTACTATTTGAAGAATAAAGGTAAAGTATTAACTCAACTGGTTGGTCATAAATATTTGAGTTATCTAAGAAATAGGTTGGGTGGATAATATAAGAAAATGAAACAAGAATCATGGGATTTTGTGGGATTACCTTTAAAAGCCTAAAACAAAAACAAGATGATAGTGAAATTTTGTACACAAGCAATGAGATGGTTACAAAAAGTATTAAATATTTGCATTATTCCCTCAGCCAAACCCATACCATTCAATAGAGATTTGCTTGTTATTTATGTAGGTTTTTCGTGTAGTATTTGATAAATAACCAATCCATTTTTATGTTCCCATTATTTTCATACATAATTAGAAAAAGTGGAGGAAATGGAAAAGAAAAGAGAGAGAGTCACATCAAGGAGGAAGAAGGTCCATTGAGTACTTAACGAGAAGAAAGAAGATGAGAGTCGCACATGGGTGGTGGGTTCTTTTTGTTCCCTCCCTATACGATCTTTAATTTCTTCCATGAACTTTTGGAGTTTTGGAAATAAATGTTGTAAGAAAAAATCTGAATTTAGGTTTTAAACCTTGACCCTTGCTTGCAAAACGAATCAAAGCAAAAGTGAGATCAGTAAAAAATGTTTAGAACATGTACATCAAGTCAAGTCAATGTAATTTTCGTTTTTGATTTTCAGAATAATGTGCTTCGGTAATGTGATGTATTCATAGAGGAAATTTGATTTATTCATTTTAATATATTTCTCTTAGAAAATACACAAAAAAAAAAAAAAAATTCTCTTAGAAAATTTATTTGTGGATTATTGGCTACAGTGGGATTTTCTGTATAGCCACAGCATCATTTGTGGATATTAGTCATATTTTTCCGCGTGTTATATAATTAAGTTGGGAACAATTTCACAACATATATTTACTCGAAACTTAATTTTTTTTGGTCATCTGGTTGGATTATATTAACATTAAGGAGGAATACAGATTCTGAATTACAAGAAGCCCTGAAAAAAAGCTTTTACTCCAAATGGCAAACAAAAATTTCCTTAGCTAAACTAGTCATACCCAAACAAAGGTCTAAAGCTTAAACAATCCATAACAGAACCAGATCAATTAGAGGAAAGAAATCTCTCACTTGCAAAAACACAAAAACACCATTGAGCCAAGATGGAAGCCGATGCCACATAGGACTGCAAACGACCATAGTTGGTGACACTTCGCAAAATAAGATTAGCTTCTCTATTTGAGCTTTTGTTTTTCAAAACTTGATAGTTTTGTGGCAAAAAAAAAAACGATTTTGTTATAGACACTACATATGATCTTTACAAAATAAGTTCAAAGAGAAATTAGCATACTTTGCATTAAGAAGCTTTGCAAATTGCAAAGTATTAAGACTCTGAAGAAAATCAATCAATGGACTTAAAACTTCCGAAAATCCAAAAGTAAAGCCCATAAAAAGCCTATTAATGTTTAATGGGTTCCTTTTTTTTATCAAATGTTTATTTTCTAAATGCACTTTCTTAGAAAATTATTGAAACTGGTTGGTTAATATGACTATATGAGAGTTAGGTACAGAAATCAGATGGACTGGTCCAGCAAACAACAACAACATGTTAATAACGATAATCTCAAAAGTAGAATTAATCAAAACTAGTCAATACTCGAGACTGTTCAAAATCTTGCTGCTTCACGAGTATCATCCTCTTCTGTTAAATAAAAATGTAAACGAAAGATTCATTTAAAAATATTACTCGTTTTGAGTTTGACAAAACAACTACTACTATTTCACTATAGGTAAGCTCAAGGACCGTTAAATGTTGGAAATCAAACGGTTCTGCACTCGCCACGTCATCAAGCATAATTGTCACACCAGATCATTACCCATCCTCTCTCAAAAGTAAAGGAAAAGGCTCCAAAAACTTTTTAGTTGACTCAGTCGGATTCTGCAGGAAGAAGAGAAGATGAAGTGTTTTCACTTCACAAATGGCGACAAGAGAGACGAAGGAGAAAACTGCGTCGTTTCGAGAGCTTCCAGGCTCTCTTGGGCTCGCTCTCTAAGCGTCGCGTCTTCAACCGCTTCCGACCCGACTCGCCGGTCCGAGTTTGACTCTGACTGGAGTTTCTCCCCGGAGCGTTTTGGTTCCACTAAACCACTGAGTCAACGTTGGATCGGTGGAATATCCGCCGCAGAGAACGATCTAAAGGTATTCACCTACGGCGAGCTGAAATCGGCTACCAAAGGCTTCAGTAGAGCTCTTCTGATCGGCGAAGGAGGCTTCGGTTGCGTTTATAGAGGCGTCGTCGACGATGGTTTCGATTCGAAGATCAATGTCGCCGTGAAACAGCTTAATCGTCAAGGTTTACAGGCATGACTCCATCCTATTTTGCCTCAGTTTCTGCTTCGTAAATTGTTTCCAATTTGTGAATTTCCATGGATGATAGTGTCAAATTCGAACCAAATCGATTGAAGAAACGATAGAAACCTAGAAGGATAATGAATCATCTTATTTTTTGGCTCATCTTCCACAAATTTGAATCATGATTCCACTATATTGACTTTGTTCTGCTTCATTAGCCTCTTAAAATGCTCTCAATTTCCATGGATGTCGTGTCAAATGTGAACCAAATCGATTGAAGAAACGTTCTGTTTTGTGACTGATTTTTCGAATTTGATGTCTTCTTGTGGTGTGGATTTGCGTTCTAGTATTCAGGGGCATAAAGAATGGATCAATGAAGTGAATTTCTTAGGAGTAGTGAACCATCCGAATCTAGTGAAGTTAGTCGGATATTGCGCTGATGACGACGAACGAGGAATGCAGAGGCTTCTTGTTTACGAGCTAATGTGCAACAAGAGCTTAGAGGATCATCTTGTAGGACGAGTAGTGCCTGTATCTCTCCCATGGATAACGAGGTTGAAGATAGCTCAAGACGCTGCTCAAGGCTTAGCTTATCTTCATGAAGAAATGGATTTTCAGGTTTTAAAGAACTTTGCAATTTCCACATAAGGACCAGTTTTTGTGTGTTTTTGGTTCTTGATTTTTTGGCTTGTTGTGTGAATCTTGATAGTTGATTTTCCGGGACTTCAAGTCTTCAAACATCTTGCTTGACGAGAGATTCGGTGCTAAACTCTCGGATTTCGGATTAGCTAGGCAAGGACCTCCTGAAGGACTTGGTCATGTCTCTACTTCAGTATGTACATCTCTCTCTTGGAGCCTCTCACTAAGCCTTTCTTGAATTCTTAACATAACACTCAGAGCAGGTTGTAGGTACGGTTGGTTATGCGGCTCCGGAGTATGTACAAACCGGGAAACTGACGGCAAAGAGCGATGTGTGGAGCTTCGGGGTAGTGTTGTATGAGCTGATAACCGGAAGACGAGCAGTGGACAGAAACCGACCTCGCGGTGAACAGAAGCTTTTAGAATGGGTGAAACCTTACGTATCAGACTCGAAGAAGTTCCATTTGATCGTCGATCCACGGCTCGAAGCTCACTGCTACTGTATGAAATCTGTTCAGAGAGTAGCTGCTTTGGCAAACAAATGTCTAATGAAGCAGCCGAAGTCTCGGCCTAGGATGAGTCAGGTCGTTTCGCTTCTCCAAAGCATCATCGATGAAACAGAAGAGATCATCAAAGAGAGCGAGCCTGAGATGACCAAGCAAGGGAGTAACTATATGAAGAAGGTTCTTGATCTTAGGGATAAGATGAGCTTGAACAAGTCGCTTTCGAAGCTTGATTGGCGAAACTGGAGTCCAGGGCTGGTTCGAACATGGTAATAGATAAGTTTCTTCTTCACCTGTATATAAACTTCATCGTTGTGTGTTTGCTTGTGTATATGTTTTGAAAGCTTGAAGCTGAAGACATTAGAGATCAATTTATACTCAAAAGTTAGTCAATTGACAAATCTCTAGTACATAAGCAGAAGGCAAAACTGTACAATCTGAACTAAAACAGAGAACAACATCGTTCTTTCTTTTTCTCAAACAAACAGAGGAGAAGCAGAGGGACGTGGATAAGAAGCTGCGACACCGTTGACAGCGGTTTGCCGAGCAAATCCTGCGTTTGGTTTTGGGGTGAGGACAAGGCTATCGCTTCTCCTACGCGTTCTTCTCTCGAGCTTATCGATGTTTCTACCTCCTGATTCGTGCAGAGTTTGGATGTGTTCGAGGTGAGCAACGACCTCGTTCATGTTTGGCCTCAGCTTTATCTCTAGCGTGATGCATCTCAGGGCGAGAGTAGCGATTTTACATGCTTCTTCCATTGAGTATTGATCTTGGAGACGGTTGTCGATGACTTTGAATATCTTTCTTTTGTTTGCAAGAAACGGTCTTGCCCATTCCACCAGCTTCTGCTCTCCCGGTGGACGGTTCTTGTCCACGACTCTCCGTCCTGATAACATCTCTAATAGCACGACGCCGTAGCTATAGACATCACTCTTGGTTGTTAAATGACCTAAAAGGAAAGTTACAAAAAGCTCAGTGGTGATGAGAATTGAGAAAGAGAGTTATCAAATCATAGAGTTCAGAGACTAACTAACCAGTTGCAAGATACTCAGGAGCTGCGTATCCGTAAGTACCCATGATCCGTGTCGAGACATGGCTTTTATCACCCGTTGGACCATCTTTCGCCAACCCGAAATCAGAAAGCTTGGCATTGTAGTCCTGAAGTGATCATGTCAATGATAGTTTTAACACAAAGCCTTCATCAGGTCAGAGATGGGTTAAAAGGCGGTAAATGGTAAATACCGAATCAAGAAGTATGTTGGAAGTTTTGAAATCACGGTATATGACTTGAGTCTCGGCGCTGTGAAGAAAAGCAAGGCCTTTTGCAGCACCGAGAGCAACTTTCAATCGGAGAGTCCATGATAATGGTTGGAAGTAAGAACCTCCTGCAACCGTAAGAAGCAAAAATTGAATAACTCAAGAACATTTCACATCAAGAGAGTCCTTGAGAGTAGACAAGAAAAAGAGAGAGATGACGACATACTTCTGAATAAATGATTCTCTAAGCTTCCACGAGGCATGAACTCATACACAAGAAGACGATGCTCATCTTCTAAGCAATAACCGACGAGTTTCACAAGATGAGGATGCGAAAACTGCCCCAAGTAGTTCACTTCCGCCTACAAAAACACCAATCAAAGAAGAAACATGAACAAACAAACGATCTTCAATCTTGTCAAAGTTTAAAAGAAGAAACTTTCTGAAATTTACCAGCCATTCTTGATGACCTTGCCAGCCATCTTGGTTTAGTCTTTTGACAGCAATAACCAAACCGGTTCCCGGTTTAGAAGCAGAGAGAGATTGCTCATCAATCCATCCTTTGAAGACACAACCGAATCCACCTTCACCAAGAACACTATCCGGTCTGAAATTCCTAGTTGCTGATTTGAGCTCACCAAAGCTGAAACTTTTGAGGTTTGGAGATTGCAAGATCTCTCCTTCGGTACGAGGGCTTGTTCTGATTGACACAGAAGAGCCTTTGCTTCCCATGCTCTGTGTATCATTTGCCTCTGAGCTCATATACTTCGGACTCGCACCTATGCAAGCACCAAACAGAAAGTTTGTGTACCAAAAGACTTTAGATTTTACTCTTTTGACAAAACCCGTTTCTCCAAAAATCATCTTTTAGTTGGAGGGAGATTCAGACAAATCTAAAAGCTCTGCATTTTTTCTTGCTTGTCTTTTCCTCTGACTATGATGAGCCGTGAGTTAACCAAACACCCCAAAAAGACAGAGTTTTTAGAAGATAATCAATTATTAGCGTTGGCAAAAGACAGATTTGTCAAAACATTAAGCCTAACTTTTAAGTTAAGTCCCTTTATGCCTCAACCACCAAAAAACCTAACCTCGAATTGAAAAAAAAACAAAAACACAAACTTTAAGAAAATAAACAATAAATTAACTTCAAAATCTAAATATTTTAGACCCTACTCTATTGCCGACTCATAAAAACCTAAAAACCTGAAAATTTTAATTTCTTGTTTTCCAAATCAACATTTGCATGAGAAGTGTTACTCTATATATGTAAAGCTTGAAGTAATTAAGTACCTGTGTTGCTTGGACTCTCAGCTTTAATCTGGGCACTCAAGCAAATCCCCATGGTTTTGAGATGAATCAAACAAAACCCTTTCTATATCGGAGGCTAGAGATCAAAAAGGTATAAACTTTATCAATGGAAATTGGAGAGCTGAGGCAGAGACAGATCAATTTGTTGAGGATAAAGAGATTTTGCAAATTTTCTTTGCTGGATAAAAAATAATATTAAAGAAAGTGAAACAAGTAGCAGCAAATGGAGAAAAGGAACTAAATTTTTCGCTCACCTCTTGTCTCTGTCAACCAAAGAAATAGAGAGAGAGAGAAGTTTGTAATCGACACTTTGCAATTTTGCTTGCAAGTAGCTGAGAGAGAAAGAGGCGTTGGAAGGTGGCATTGATGACGGACCGGTCCCGCCTTTAAACCCATCTCTTTAATTTTGTTTTTACATTGCAAACATATGTCCAAGAAATATTAAAAAGAAAAAGAGAAAAATAAAACAAAGTTGTAAAAAAATGTTAATTCAAGGTTTAGTGGTCTTGTTTATGTCAAAGTTTTAAAAAATGAACCTAACATTAATTAACACTGTTTGAATAAAGAGCTTAAAGGTTTAAACATTTCAGTTGTCAATTATTTAGACTATACAGTATATATGTGAGAAAGTTTCATCTTAGATTGGTGTTGAGGAAATTCTATAAACTTAATTAGTGGTATTGAAAGTTTTTTAACATCAATCTTTTAAAACGCTGTTTTTGATTTTATAACATTGCTAATTTCATAAGATTTTTTTTAAAAAACTTTAATATTTTCATTATTGTTCTTTTTTTGTCGGCTATCATTTTTTATCTAGTTTAAAATTGGGTTTTCTGTAAAATTATAACTTTTAATTTGAAAAAAAATAAAAGTCAGCCACACAAAATATTTCAGTCAACCCGTAATTCAACTCGCTCACGTATATGATGTTTTAATAGTTTTCATAAAACAACTTTTTTTTTTTGTAAACCAACAACATTTATTTTGGTTTCTATTACTGTACTAATTTGATAAAAGTCAATACTTTCACAGTGAATGAATTTTCTAATCTCTCTAATGAAACCTCTTTCACATAAGTCAAAATTTCACCTTTTCAATTTCCTTCATCCTTCATTTGTAGTTGTAGGTGTTCTCTTTTTGACATTTCTTCTACTGTCTCTTTTTTTAGCACATACTATAATACGCTAAAAAAAATGTAAATCGCATTGACAATAAAAAAAATGAAACAAAAAAGGAAGAAGTAAATCGCTTATACGGCGGTCCAATCATTCTCAGCCGTTGGATCTTCAAATTTTAACATTCAGCTCGGTTCATGTCGGCTTGATTTTACCAAGTTTTAAATGCCATTAAATTTCTTCTGTTCATTTTACCTAATTACATATTTACATTTACTGTTTTTAGTTATTTTTGCCATTATTTTCAATCACGTCATCAAATGTTCAACTGCATTATTTAACTGTGGTATTTATTACGTTTGAGGATCAATGATCATATTGATAATGTTGGTCTCTAGAATCAAAAGAAAAAATCATGTTATACTACTAATTTAGAAACACGATAGGCACCTGAAAAGTAAGAGCAAGAAAAATGAATTTTGTTTTTTCATTTGCTTTCTTGGCAACTTTACGTGACTTTTAAACCAAATAACTTTTACGTGACATTGATACTATTCCACCTGTACTATACTAATTACTAAATATACATATAACATGTACAAGTTTGTTTTGATATTGTTTTATTATATTTTATAAATGATTTCAGTGATTTACATTATTAGCTAATTTGAAACCTTATATACTCCACCGGTTTGAATATTTATAGTGAAACACCACCGTTTTTGAGTTTTCTGAAATCTTTTGTCGATCCAAGTTCTTTGTCCGAATTCAACGAACCGTCGTCGTGACTAAGAAAAGGACACGAGCTTGTGAGGAATCATAGACTTCTGTCTCCGTTGACCATAGTTTTAATTAAATTCCAACCACAAAATCCGTGCAATTTTTCTTCATATGCAAAAAAGTTTGTGATGGAAACGTTGAATCATGTTCTATCCGATCATAATGTAATCACTTCTAGAAGAAACTAATACAAAACTTTAGCTATCTAAATTCTAACACTACTATTACTATTTGAAAACCTCTATACTTTTGTATTGTTAGGTGGCTAATAAATATTCTCTATAAAGAATATACAAAACATTCATAAATCACATAACAAACTCAAATTGCAAAATGCTCGTGGTTAGTGGGCTAATAATAATTATTGAAGTATGAGTGAAATAAAATAAAAAAGCAATAAGTAAGGGTATTATATTCTTCGCCAGAACGAATCAAAAGCCCGTGATACTTGAGAGATAGTTTTGATAGTATCTAGATAAGTAGCTATCCAACCTGATGTCCATGTTTCTTGTCAGTCGTCACATTATAAAAACAGTAGAAAGATCCATTTTCTTCACCTTTCTTCTCGTATCTAATCAAAATGTCTTTATACTTTAGTACCACAAAAGTCTCGTGCAAACTTATTACCAAGAAACTTAACTGAGTAACATAGATCAAATACGATAGCTATTGAATCGAATGAGAACTGAGAAGAAGGAAACGAGAGCTATTTTGACGTTAAAAACAAAATTAGCACGAGACCAACAAATCCTAAACCTAGTGCAAGTCAAGATATGACCCAAATTATATCGCCTCTGATTTAGTCTCTTCTTTTCTTTATTTAGTCCACCCTCAAATTGTATATTTATATATTATCTTTATATCTCTCCCTTTTCTTTCTCCCTATTTTCCTCTGTATAAGTCTCTTGCACCTTTATTGAAATGCTTTGTCGTGGACCTGAATCAATGATGTTATGTGTTTTCACATTTTTTCTTAACTAAACAGTTTTGACCTTTAGGTCCACATTATCCTCGAACCAAACAAAGTTAAGTTAGTTTTGATGATAACATTATTTAAGAGTTAAGAATCTTAAGATGATAATAGTTGAAATCATTGTTTAACAAGTTTTGTTGAAAGAAGCATAAGCACGAAAGCATATATATGGTCCGTACGTTCTGTTTAGTGCCCAAAAAGCCACAATATAATATGAAGAATTCGAAAAGAAACCAACGAGAATAGAGTACTGTGGGTTTTGTTAAAACCATTAAAACAAAGATACTATCAGTCCATTTTTTAAACCTAAAGGGGTTCTTGATTGATCCAACACTATGACTCTCATGATCGTCATCACTTTTCCTTCAAGTGATAATGACGACAAATCAATCGAGCTAATTAAAAATCTAATGCTCTTCGTATGGCATTGCTTTTCCGATATTTTCCATGACGATATTGCAAAGCCAATTTAATAAGACGATTTTTGTAACGAGTTTAGTCATGTAACTCGATTACCAAAACAACCTTGCGATTCTAAGCATTCAATGTAATATTTTTCTAACCAAAATCATCTTTTACAGAAAATAATATAAAATGTATACTACGTTTGTATATCCGGAGTATATAATATGATATGAGAAATTTAATTAAATGGTCTCCGACTCTCCGTTGGCAGATGGCAGGCTGTTGACTTTTAAGGTTTTCTCAACATTTTATATCACATATACTCTTTTTATTGATTCTATCGTAAAATATCACATTACTTGCAGCTTATGATTATTTCAGTAAAAAAAAAAGGTTTACTTTTGACTCAAAAATCTATTAAAATAGTTGACCAAAACATTGGCATAATATATAAAGTATTACTTAACGTCTATATCCTTTCATGAGTGATGGGTCTCTATTGCATAACTTCGATAATGACTTATATTTGATGAAAACATTGCACCAATTGTAAGAAAATTGCAATAATATGATAAATACCATAAATTAAGTTAAGATACCAGCCGAATTTTATAAATATGTCATGCTAAAAAGAAGTTTTTGCATTAAATACAAAATTGACTATTGCTAAGCTAGTTTCTGCATGCATGTGATAATAATAAATCCTCATAAAAAGGCTTTTGTAATTTAATTCAAAATATTACTCTATTTCAAGCAAAGTTGTTTGACTTTTTTCAGATATGCAATTTTTAACTCCTTCGGTTAGACGACACTACTCTCAATACATTTACTTCATTTTTTGGGGTCAAACTCTCAACTACATTTACTACTATGACTCAAAATTACTTACTATATCTTGTAATTAAATACAGGATGTACCTCGTTTTGGGTCAACAGAAAGTCAACTTTTCCGCAATAAATCAGCTTCAAATGAGATGAACATCATCTAGAAACGAGGGAGGTTGTGAATAAAAAAAGAAAACACAAAATTAAGAAAACTAAGAGAGAACTAAATGTGAAGAGAAGTCAAACAAATTGAGAGAGTTAGTGTCAAAGTGGTTTAGTTATGATGTCAGCGAAGAACAGTATCTTGACTCTTCAATCTTCAAATGATATCCTTTATCCGTACGGTTCACATGTACTTTTGTAGTTTCGATTACGAAAGTCAACCCTGAAATTGAAATATTATTAGGAGGCAAGTTAGGTTAGGAAGAGTTGTCAATTTTTTTAATCTTTAATGTGACATAATATCTTATCAACAACAACAAAAGCAAATTGTTATGTAAAAAATGTTTAAAGCATATACCAAAGGAAAATTGAACAAAATTTACGAAATAAACAGATTAAAAAAAAACAATTTAAGGTAAAGGTCCATAAACTTTGTGCGAAGGAAAGCCTAGGCCCATTTACTATATATGCTTTATTATCGATTTTATAATTTCTTAGCAAAAATCTTATTTGTGTATCTTGACATACACGGTAACAAAATTAAGTTAGTTTTCTATCTTCTCTGTGTGGTTACAGTTTTACTGGATGTCTTAAAAAAACAAAAAAAATTAAGTTAGCTATTTGATTTATGAAATCTAACCAAACAAACTATTAAAAAAAGGTACATAGATCATTTCGATTAGTTTTATTTTTGGTTAAGAAAACACAATCGCAAACCAAAACCATAATCCGTATAGTTATTTACTAATTACTACTATAATTAACTTTTCCAAATACATTTACATCGCGATTCAAGGATCGGATCAATATTTAAAGACGCTCCTTGGGTTTCTAAATCCCAAAGACGAACAAAATTTCGAAATTGGGATTAAACCGGGTCGTACCGAACATTTTAAACCCTAATAATCCGGAAAATAATCCTCCCTAACAATCACCGAACCATTGAAACGGTGCTCTGCAAACCGGACACGTCAGCTTATAGGAACACCATGAGTCTATACACGGCACATGAAACACGTGCTTGCACCTAACCAGAACCCTAACGACGTCGTTTACTTGAAAATCCTCCAAACAGATCACGCACAGATCAGCTCTGATCCCGTCTCTGGCTCCGGCGCCGCCGCATTTCGCATCGGTTTTCGTTAGTCTTACGGCCGGCGGCAACGGTTCACCGGCTTCCTCATCGCCGATCGCCTCCTTCGAAGGCTTCGGGTACATGACGAAGCAGAGGAGAAAAATCGAGCCGTATAAGAGAAATATGAAGACGACGCAGAGAAGCTGCAACGCGATTGATTCGTTTTCCGTCACCGCCATCTCCGGCGAAGAAGCAACGTAATTTGAATCCATCTTCGTTTTTAAAAATTATTTTGCGAATTTGAGAATCGAAATGAGGAAATTCTGGTTTTTTTTTTTGGATGAAATTGATTGATGGAAATGGATTTCACAGTGATCTTTTATATGGATGATTGTAGTGTTTAGTGCTGAACTGTTTTAAAAAACTGATTAAACGTATTTGGTTATAGTTTTGTGGCGGGAGGGATTAAGTGTTACGATTAATTTGTTAAATAGAGGTTAATAATATTTAAGGTTACGATTTAATTATGATGAAACCATTGAACCTTGAGCATTTTTCTATTCATGAATACACAAATTAACTGAATTATAATTTAAGCTTAATCCGCAGTTTTGTTTGTTTTATCTGGAGCTCCTTTCCGTTACATTTGAATGATACTAATGATTTTATCCACTTTTATTATTAGTCTTTGTTGCTATATGATCTTAGGCCCATAATAGTCCAATAAAAATAACGTTAAAGCCCATTCGAATTTGTGTCTTACATCGTGGAGAGCCCATTTCGAGGAAAGCCTGTTGCTGCTTACATCAATTTTTGAATATACGGGGTTAAATGTTTAAAAACAAAAGTATCTGGGGTGTGAAATGTAAATTAGTAAACGTAGAAGTCGGTTCCAATCTTTTATTATACGCACCTCGGACTTTGTCATCTTCCCCCTTTTGCCTCTCTCACTAAATCAGAGGAAAATTCGAACGGAGCTCCATCTCTCTCTTGCCGGCGATTCTTCCGATCGAATCTGGTAAACGATTGATTCCTCTCTCTCTCTCTTTCCATAGATTTCTTCTTAGGATATCGATTTCATTTGGAACCCCTAGGATTTTTGGTTGAATTGGTGATTTGGAAACCCTAGATTTCTGTTCAAATTGATGTAGTTCAATCGAATTCTATAGATTTGAGAAGCGGTTTCATCTGTTTTGGTTAGGTTGTGAGAGATTTCTAGAGATTCGTAAAGATGCCGGCCACCGCAGGAAGAGTGCGCATGCCGGCGAACAACCGTGTTCATAGTAGCGCGGCGCTTCAGACTCACGGAATATGGCAGAGCGCGATCGGTTACGATCCATACGCGCCGACGAGCAAAGAGGAGCCGAAGACGACTCAGCAGAAATCCGAAGATCCAGAGAACTCGTACGCGAGCTTCCAGGGGCTTTTGGCGCTGGCTCGTATCACGAATTCGAATAGCAACGACGAGGCTCGTGGCTCGTGTAAGAAGTGTGGCCGCGTTGGGCATTTGACGTTTCAGTGTAGGAATTTTCTGAGCACGAAGGATGATAAGGAGAAAGATCCGGCTGCGATTGAAGCTGCGGTGATGTCGGGACTGCAGAAGATTAGAAGCCGTGCTGGTAGAGGCGGTGAAGGGAAGGCGGAGGAGGAGGAAGAGAGTAGTGAAGAGGAAGAAGAGAGTGAGAGTTCTGATTCGGATGTTGATTCTGAGATGGAGAGGATTATAGCTGAGAGGTATGGGAAGAAGAATGGTGTGGGGAGTAGTGTTAAGAAGACGAGCTCAAAGAAGAAGAAGCGGGTTGTTTCCGATGAGTCGGATTCTGATTCTGGAGATAGGAAGAGAAGGAGGAGGTCGAAGAAGCGGAGGTCTCATAAGAGGAGGAGTGTTAGTGAGTCAGAGGAAGAGGAAAAAGGAAGGAGTAAGAGGAGAGGAAGGAAGAGAGATGATGATGATTCTGATGAGTCTTGTAATGAAGACGAGAGAAGAAGCGTGAAGAGGAAGAGTAGAAAGGAGAAGAGGAGGAGGAGAAGCCGGCGTGATCATTCAGACTCGTCTGATTCGGATGAGGACGATGCATGTAGGAGGCAGAAACGGAGGAGCAAAGTGGCTGCTTCTTCTGACTCTGATGTTTCCGGCGACGGTGGTTCACGCGTTGGAAGAGGCTCTTCTAAGCGATCGGAGAAGAAGAGCAGGAAACGCCATCACAGGAAAGACTGAAAGTGAGTAAGATTCCATTGCTGTTTCTCTGCCATTTTCTCTGTATCAATGTGAAATAACGAGACTTTGTCTATGGGATTTGATTTGTGTTGAATTTGCAATGGTGTGTTTGTTTCAAATCATGTATTAACATTGTTATTGAGATACTTGGGCGAGTCTTTGCTTCAAAGATTTGATCTTTCTGATTATTGTTTATAAAGTTTTGATTTTTAAGGTTTTTATTGTCATTTTAAACAATGAAAGAGGTCGGCAGAGAAAGAAAAGCTGAGAAGTCGGCAAGTGTCGTTGTGTGGAGAGATCACAAGACTCGTGAATTGGTTTGTTTTTTTTTGGAATGGCTCTACGAGTACGAGGGCAATTTCGTCACTAAAAAAGCTCGGATTTCCATTGCTCAATTCATATCTTCTCGTGGGTCCTTGTTTATCTCTTCTCAACCGTTGAAACGAAAAGGTAAAATAAATATCCATCGTTAAAACCCACTTTAAAATCCCAATAAAATCGGTGAAATAGTTTCAGAATAAGATCAAAGAGGAAAAAGTATCTCAAAACCCAAGAAAAAAAAAAAGAAGAAGAAGATGCCTTCAAGCACTTTCTCCGGAACTGTGAGCTCGCCGAAGCTTTCGGTGGCCGTCGACATGGGCAATCCTTTCCTTAACCTCACCGTCGATGGTTTCCTCAAGATCGGCGCTGTAACATCTCTCTCTCTCTCTCTCTCTCTCTCTCTCTCTCTCTCTCTCTCTCTCTCTCTCTCGCTATCTCTTTCTCATGGGTCATTTTTCTAAGTTTTGACTCTGTTTTTCTAAATGGGATTAGGTTGGAGTCACTAAATCTCTTGTAGAAGACACGTACAAAGCCATCGACAAAGGTAAATAAACCCAAAAAACCAGAAAAGCTCTCAACTTTATCAACTTCTGACTCATTAATGCACATTGATAGATCTTGTATTTTAGTTGATTAATGTGGTTTACTGATTTGTAGGGAGTCTCTCCAAGAGCACTATTGAGAGTGCGGTGAGTACTATTTGTTCAAATTCTGTGTATGTGGTTTGATGAATGAAAGGTGTCATTTTTAAAGTTTCTGAAAGTTGTGTTTAAACATTGTTGCAGCTTAAGAAAATGTGCAAAGAAGGTGTTTACTGGGGTAAGTTACTTTCTAATTCACTGTTATTATAGTTTTAATAAACTGATTGAAACGTGAACGGAAGTTTTAAGTCTGAAGTTTGCAACTTGTGAATATGATTAGGATCTGTGGCTGGAATTTATGTGGGAACTGAGTACGGAATCGAACGTGTCCGTGGCACGAGAGATTGGGTAACATTCTTCACACACACAATTTTTGTTATAAGATTTTTAAGAGAGCTTGTAAATTAATTTGTTTGAGATTTTTTTTGGTATCAGAAAAACGCAATGTTGGCAGGAGCAGCGACAGGAGCGTTGATCTCTGCGGCTACGAACAAAGGAAATGACAAGATCGTGCTCGATGCCATTATGGGTGGAGCGCTTGCAACCGCGTCTCAGTTCCTTAACAATCATTACTTCATCTAAGTTTCAATCGTTCATGTAGGGCCAAATCTTGGTTCCAAAATTTGGTCCATATGGTGGATTTGTCTGTTTAATTTCCAATAAAAAGTTGTTAGTGTTTTGAATGAATACATTTGAGTTTCGTGAACATTTTAATGTGACATTAGCGGTGGTTTGTGGTTTCTTTAAAACTCTCTGGTTCACCCCAATGGAGTCTTTGTTCATTACTTAGTTACTCATGTGTGGTGGTAATGGTATGGAGTCTCGGAACGTACATAAAAGTTGACTATCATTATAGTGAAGATAGAGCGACTAGTTATGGTCAAGGTCTTATTAGTTTTATATGAGAAAATAATTGGCTTAAAAGATGGTTGTTTTTGAAGTACCATTTGGTAAAATAATTAGTTTATGCCTTACCAAATGATTATGTGCAGAGAGACGGTAGTCACTACCTCACAATTGGTTGATACTTATTGAGCAAAGCCATTTCATAAATGTGAGTTTGAGACTATCACCAAAAAAAATTCTCCAACTTGAGGATTGAGTATGTAACGTTAGATATTGTATCACATATGTTTCGGAGTTGGTATATTTAAGAATACTTCTTAGAGTTGGTATCTTTTCTTTGGGACTTTTCTCATTTTTTGGCATATATGTTGTAAAGTCAAACACATGAACGAACGATCATCACAATATTTCCCCACACATTGTTTCTTTTATCATTTTATTTTCCATTTTAGCTTCTGCTTTTCTACTTGTATGTATATGGTTAGACGCTATGCTTGTGCATTTCGGATCGGATTATCCGATCCTAGCTACACGTATGCATTTCGAATTATCAGAACTTTTTCTGTTGTCTAGATAATTAATGTTTAATGGGCCAAATATTTTGCTTTTGGTTGGAGACTGCAGCTCTACATTTTTCCTTGGGGGTGTTCAATCCATATATGGGTTCAATTTTTTTGGGTTTTCGTTTTTTTTTTCCAGGTGGTGTTGATAATGGTGATGCATTCTTTCAAGATGAATTCGGTGAATGGATTCGTCCAACATATATGCCATTAAGGTGTCAAATTATTCTTTTTGTAGTTATATATTTGGAATCCATGATTATGAAATCGTTGTTTTATATGTGGCTTGTCGTAGCTCAGATTTTACATCAATTAGGATTCCATCTCAATAAGTTTGCTTGGTGATTGATTAATCATTTATTTACACACTTGAACGCATACGATTAATGATTTTGGTTTCGTTTCATTGTGTCCATCTTAGATATATCAATGCATCCACTTTATTTCTTCACTCAAATTGTCTAATATACATAGAGTATATTCTTGCAAGTTCAAAAGAAAACATATATGTACTTGATAAATACAAAAAACTTGTGTAGTTGTTGGTGTAAGAGTGTGTCTTGGTGTCTGTTCACTGTTAGTATGCAAGTAGTGGAGAAAATGGTGGTGGATATGAAAGTGACAATGCTGTCTGCAACAAATTCTTATGGCTTTGTGTTGGCTTAATGGCTACCATTCTCTCCCTCTCTCCTACCAATAATCATCACCTTAATTTTCTTGTACGCAAATCAAAAGTCTTCTACTACTTTCCACCTCAAGCAATACTTCTCATTCAACCAATCTTGTGAGACTAAATCAAATCATTTCAAAGTATTAGATTTTGTTTACAAAAAGTTTTCTAGGTCCTGAGTTTGAACATAGGTGATGGAGAGTGGACTAATTAACCCATTCTCTAATCTCTAGTCCTATGTCCAAAACGTCTTGTTTTTTTTTTTGTTTTTTTTTGTCAAACAAGTTTATTTGGTTAATCACAAGAAAACAAGAAGATGTAAACAATTAAACAATATGGAAATGAAAATATTGTTCACATATATAATTTTTTTTGTTAAAGAAAAAGTAAATATATTTTTTGTTCACATATATAATGATATACCATAGTCTTGATCTAATCAAGACTGGTTTATCTCTAGGATAAATCTTGTTATGTATATCAAAACAAATCTATAATATTGGTGTATCTAATGATGATAAGTGAGAAGAAAAATTAAACGTAATACTAATTTCGAATTTAGGAGAGTAACATGTAGATATTACATATACTTCCAGAATAAGTGAACTGCAGAAGTGGGTTGAAGATGAGTCAAGACAACAATACTTTAGTGCCAGCAAAGCCGTAAGATCCACCAAATCGTAAACTGACACAAAAGACCCACTCCTCTTAATATTCTTACTAACTAATCCCCACCATTAAGGGCCACTAATCCATTTTTATTCATTTCTGTATTTAATTCGTTCATAAAGTCAAAATTATTATGAAGCAAATTACTAATTTTGCTCTCAAGTCAAAATTTATTATGAAGCAAATTGCTAATCTTGCTCTTTCTCCCCTGTATATTTTTGAAGGTCAATGATGCAACAGGTTGTCCTCATTTTATATTTTTAACCTTTTTACTTTCTTCGTATATATAAATAGGTCTTCTCAGTAAGTAAATTGACCCGTATAACCGATAATTTTAGTTTTCTCATGCACTTCTGCAAGGGTACGAAACTTATAATATAACATTAGTGTTGTTATATTCAAATCTCTATACATTCTAGTAGTTGGAATTTATAGCATTGACTTTTCCATCTGCATCAATAGTTATATTTGCCAGAACATCCAAGGATTTTCTACGGTTTGATTACATGAATTTCAAAATTTTAATATACTTTTCAAATTAAGATTTATACTAATGCAACTGTTATCATGATGGCATTAAAAATGCGTAAATATTTTAATATGGAAGCATACATGGCGAGGAAATGGAGGGTTCTCCTCCACTTGCAATATTACAAATGATGATGGACCTTGAATGATCAAGTGTTATTAAGATAAATGATTAGTAAAGTTGAAATCAACATTGTTGTTAATTAACTATATCTTACGAAAAAAATCTCAACCTTAAAACCTAATTAATATGCTATTCTTCTAATTAGTTTAAAGCAAATGCGCAAGTTGGATATGTCTCCACTTCTCTTTTCATGTTTTTTTTGTCAACATGTTTATATATAAGTTTATGTGTTCTTATTTTGTCTTTGCAGTATGAACGCAATTAGGGAAGACCCAGTGAGTATTATTTTTTATGTATGTCTATGTATTTGACTCTTTCTTCTTCCTTGAGACTTTCCCCTGAGTTACCACGTGTCTACTATATTTATTTAACTCTGAAAGACGCATGCAGTAACTATAAAGATCACACATCTTGATTATTACTTACCAAAGCAATTTGAGAATTAATTAATGATCTAAAATGTTTGTACAAGACACCAAAGGGTTTATATAATATACTCAATGATTTGCTTGCACTCTTCGCATGCATTATATGTGGATTACCTTCTCAGTTTTGCAATGAGACGGTTTAACACCGTTTTTTATATGACAACAGCTCAACCAATATTGAAATCATCAGCTTTATGTAATATATAAATTCATCTTGTGACCAAGTCTTGATCTTAAAATTTCTACATCTTATTAACAAAAAGTAAAATTTCAACATCCTTTGGTTGGAGAGAAAGGTCATGGTCTAACTATCTAGTTCTACATTTTTCAAGCGATACATAAGAATGGCAAAATAGCTGATTAGATAGATAGGTCATAGGGAGTACTTAACTAACCTAACTCAGGTGAAAGTCATAACGTATCATTTTACAAGGAAATGGCAAAAAATAAGTCAATTTTTTTTTCTTTCAACTTTACTTTATGAAGCTATTGTTATTATAAAATAACTTTAAACTATATGTTATTTTTACAATAACAAAACAAAAGAAAACCACAAATCATTTTTTATTAAATATTTTTAGTAAAATGTGAAGATCAATTTTATTGAAAATGAAGAGAGGATTATCGGATCTTGGAAACCAAGCAATGGACTCGAGAGTGCAAAGTCAAAAAGGCACATCATTTTTAGGGCAAGTAATATGGCCTGGAAATTCCGACGAATTTAGGACAGTTGTTCCAAAAGGTTGGGAGATTCCATTCCACGAAGGGGAAGAAGCTTAAAATTCAAAAACTTCAAAATTATCGCAGGTCGTAGACTCGTAGTATTCTTTGAAATTTTCGGGACGATATGTGACATATTTGAAAAATATTTCTATATTATTATAAATTTTTAAATATCCAAATGATAACGAATTTGCACTAGATTTTCTATATATGATGCTACCCATCTCCATTTTCTTGAAAAGTTTTATGTGTGTGTGTTTTTTAATTGTTAAACAAAGTCTATGAACATTTTGAAAACAAAATCTATAATTTTCTCTGGATTATTTTGCATAAACACCGCAATTTTCTCTTGAGTGACAAATTTGCTACAAAATCAGGTGGCTTAGTTTAAAATATGCAATGTGCCGGATTTTATAATATTTGTTTTGTGAAAAAAAACCGTAAATCTAAACATTCAACACTTGGAAAAATATGAGCCAAATATGGAAGAATCTTAATATATAATGATTTTTGTTTTGTCAATAAACAAGTTTAGAAGGATGCGAAAACGAAATTCACGTATCCGTTACACATAAATCTTGCTTTCACTTTTTTTGTTTAAAGAAAAAGTGGGAATGTCAATAACGTTTAGAATCCATTACATTTTTTGAAGTTTATTAAATATTTTAAACTTAAGTAACGTACATTAGTATTAAAATATAATTGTATGGAAGAATCGTAATATATAATGATTTTTTTTTGTCGATAAACAAGTTTAGAAGGATGTAAAAACGAAATTCACGTATCTGTTACACATAAATCATGCTTTCACTTTTTTGTTTAAAGAAAAAATGGGAATGCCAGTAACATTTATAATCCATTACATTTTGAAGTTTATTAAATATTTTAAACTTAAGTAATGTACATTAGTATTAAAATATAATTGTATGGAAGAATCTTAATATATAATGATTTTTATTTTGTCGATAAACAAGTTTAGAAGGATGCGAAAACGAAATTTACGTATCCGTTACACATAAATCTTGCTTTCACTTTTTTTGTTTAAAAAGAAAATAGGAATGTCAGTAACGTTTAGAATCCATTACATTTTTGAAGTTTATTAAATATTTTAAACTTATGTAACGTACATTAATATTAAAATATAATTGTATGGAAGAATCTTAATATATAATGATTTTTGTTTTGTCGATAAACAAGTTTAGAAGGATGCAAAAACAAAATTCACGTATCAGTTACACATAAATCTTGCTTTCACTTTTTGTTTAAAGAAAAAGTGGGAATGCCAGTAACATTTAGAATCCATTACATTTTTTTGAAGTTTATTAAATATTTTAAACTTAAGTAACGTACATTAATACTAAAATATAATTGTACGGAAGAATCTTAATATATAATAATTTTTTTTTTGTCCGTAAACAAGTTCAAAAGGATGCAAAAAACGAAGTTCATGTATCCGTTACACATAAATCTTGCTTTCTTTTATTTTTGTTTAAAGAAAAAATGGGAACGCTTAGAATCCATTACATTTTTGAATTTTAATAAATATTTTAAACTTAAGTAACATACATTAATATTAAAATATAATGAGTTTTGTTTTGACATTAAACAAGTTTAGAAGGATGCAAAAAATTCACGTATCTGTTATACATAAATCTTGCTTTCACTTTTTCTTTAAGGAAAAAATGGGGATGCCAATAATGTTTAGAACCCATAACATTTTTTGAAATTTATTAAATAATTTAAACTTAAGTAATGTACATTAATATTAAAATATAATTGTACTGAAGAATATTAATATATAATGATTTTTTTTATAAACAAGTTTAGAAGGATGCAAAAACGAAATTCACGTATCTGTTCTACATAAATCTTGCTTTTACTTTAAAAAAAAAATGGGAATGCCAGTAACGTTTAGAATCCATTACATTTTTGTAGTTTATTAATTTTTTAAAACTTATGTAACGTACATTAATATTAAAATATAACTGTATGGAAGAATGAAAAAACAAAATTCACGTATCTGTTACACATTAATCTTGTGTTCACTTTTAAAAAAATGGGAATGCCAGTAACGTTTAGAATCCATTACATTTTTTGAAGTTTATTAAATATTTTAAACTTAAGTAACATATATTAATATTAAAATATAATTGTACGGAAGAATCTTAATATATAATGTTTTTTTTTGTTGATAAACAAGTTTAGAAGGATGAAAAACGAAATTCATGTATCCGTTACACATAAATCTTGCTTTCATTTTTTTTGTCTAAAGAAAAAATGGGAATTTCGGTAACGTTTAGAATCCATTATATTTTTGAAGTTTATTAAATATTTTAAACTTAATTAACGTACATTAATATTAAAATATAAATGTATGGAAGAATCTTAATATATAATGATTTTTTTTGTTGATAAACAAGTGATTTGTTTTGTTGATAAACAAGTTAGAAGGATGCAAAAACGAAATTCACGTTCCGTTACACATAAATCTTGCTTTCACTTTTTTTGTTTAAAGAGAAAATGGGAATGTCAGTAACGTTTAGAATTCATTACATTTTTGAAGTTTATTAAATATTTTAAACTTATGTAACGTATATTAATATTAAAATATAAATGTATGGAATAATCTTAATATATAATAATTGTTTTTATTGATAAACAAGTTTAGAAGGATACAAAAACGAAATTCACGTATCCGTTACACATAATCTTGCTTTCACTTTTTTGTTTAAAGAAAAAATGGAAATGTTAGTAACGTTTATAATCCATTACATTTTTTAAGTTTATTAAATATTTTAAACTTATGTAACATACATTAATATTAAAATATAATTGTATGCAAGAATGAAAAAAAACAAAGTTCACGTATCTGTTATATATAAATTTTGCTTTAACTTTTTTTTAAAAAAAAATTGGGAATGCCAGTAACATTTAGAATTGATTATATTTTTTGAAGTTTATTAAATATTTTAAACTTAAGTAACATACATTAATATTAAAATTATAATTGATTCTAAACGAAATTCATAGTGATTCCCAGTTTTTTTTTAAATGAAAAGTAAGATTTATTTGTAAAAGATTCATCATTAATCTAAAATTTAACTCATAAATTATATGAAATGAAAGTTTGGAATTTAAGATACACAACATAAATTGCTACTTCCAAATTATTTTCTTGAAATATAGTTAAATTATAATTTTCTCTCCGAACATGTTGAACAGACACCACAATTTTCTCTCTATCTTTGAGACACAAGAATAATAACAAAAACTTGATGTGTTTATCTGATCATGTTCAATCTTTTTTTCCTTTTCACCCCGCATAACTTCCTAGATCCAAAATAGCTATACAATGTAATTTTCCTATTTTTAATAGAAGAAGCTGCAACTGTATCTGCAAACGTATGTACTAAATTACTACTTTTTGTCTACTTCCAATCAAATCGTAAGCAAAAAGAAATGATTTCACAATTCGAGTCTTGCTGGCGTGATTTAGAATTGTAATTATCACAACCTCCAACCACAATATATAAATACATATACCACCCACTCCAAAAAAATATCAAAAATTAGCATTAGACTTACTGACTTACATAATTAAACGATAGAAAACATTTAACATTAAATAATAGAGAGTTGGAAAAAAAACATTAAAAAAATAAAGTCCAAATTTAATATTTATGACATAGGAGAGAAGAGAGTGATGGTTAAGCAGCGGGTAAGAACCGAAGAGGGCATCATGAGAGTTGACGAGAATTTATGAATACGAAAGAGTCAGTGATCATTAGACACGTGGCACACTCTGAGACAACTACGAGATCCAACGGTGATCGTAGGCACAACTTTCGAAGAAGTATAAATTTGAGAATTTTTTTTTTTGAAGTGTTTGTTGAAGTAAACTGTGGCTATTTTGACTTTAAATCTCTTAAGATCTCCTTCTTTCCTTAATTGGCCTTTGTAAGTTTTCCACGGCTTTGGGTTTTTAATCCCTTTGTAAGTTCAGCCTCAAACCCACACGCTATATGGCGCGTGTATTTAATCTGAACAAATTCCATTTTTACATAACTAATTTAACTCAGTACAACTACATGATTCCAATTACCAGAAATATTTTTGCATTATATATTTGAATCGAAATGAATTATTTTAATGGATTAAATACATATTTATTCGTTTCTATATAAATTACAAAGTTGTAAAAAATATTATGAAATTTCTCAATTATTTTTATCTGGTCAATCAATATGGTGTTTTTAGATTTACTAGAAAATCCAATCAGTCAAAATAGACTTATGCAAAAGTAAAAAAGTTGTAAAAATGACTCAAGACAACATATTAAAAAAAAATAAAAGAATCCATATATCAAAGTTGAAATCAATTTTTAATCCATTTAATAACTTTTAGTTTTAGATATGAGAATAACCAACAATTTCCTTGTTATCTATTTCACTGTGATCTAATTGTTTTAAAAATAAATTAATAATTTTCAGTATCCTATATATGCTTTCACACACATTTTACCCCGAAATATAATTCCAGCAAATTCCACCAAAGAAATTTCTCAACTATTTCAGTTTCACCCCCACTGCAAAAGCAAACTACTAACGGTAATTTAATTACATACGGTGCAGTAAACGCGCTTATTTACGCGAGTGAACAAGTATACACACATTTCAAAATCCCCTGAGTAAACTCTATAAACCTCTGCCTTGGGCACGAGTCAACCCTCTTGCCGTCAAGAGAGCTCGGTCGAAAATGAATTTTTTATTCTAATTTAACAAAAAAATAATTTTATTATTTTCTCTCAGCTTCATCAGTTTTTTTTCCCCTTTTCCAATTTATAAGTTTATAACACACATAAAAGAATAATATTATAATATCTCTTTTTTTCCTCCTTATATTCTCTTTCCTTTATAATTTCCACTCAAAAAATCATTTTCCCTGCACAGAAGTCAACTCTCTCTCTCTCTCTCTCACATCTTCTTCAACCTCTCTACCATGTCTGAACAACTTCAATTGTAATCTAACCTTGGAAAATTCTCCAAACGCGTCCACTGTATTTGAATTCTCTATATTTTCAAAGAAGATTTTTTTTTTCTTCAGTGGTGTTTCTTAGATGGGTAACGGAATTACGAAGCTGAGTAAATGTTTCACCGGCGGAGGAGAAAGTCGTCGGAAAAAAGAGATGACGATTATGGAACCGGATCCTCTCGACGAAGGTTTAGGCCACTCCTTCTGTTACGTTCGACCCGACCCGACCCGAATTTCGTCTTCCAAAGTTCACTCAGAGGAAGACACGACGACGACGACGTTCCGTACGATCTCCGGTGCATCGGTGAGTGCCAACGCCGCCACTCCGCTCTCCACTTCTCTCTACGATCCGTACGGTCACATCGATCGAGCCGCCGCGTTCGAGAGCACGACGTCGTTTTCCTCGATCCCTCTGCAGCCGATTCCCAGAAGCTCCGGTCCGATTGTGCCCGGTTCGGGCCCGTTGGAGAGAGGATTTCTCTCGGGTCCGATCGAGAGAGGATTTATGTCCGGTCCGCTTGACGGTTTAGGTTTGTTCTCCGGTCCGCTTGATAAAACCGGCACCGAATCCAATCAATTCCAGCGTAGCTTCTCTCACGGTTTAGCTATCCGGGTCGGGTCAAGAAAAGGAGCTTTAGTTCGGGTTCTCCGTCGAGCAATCTCAAAGACGATTAACCGAGGACAGAACTCGATCGTCGCTCCGATTAAAACGGTCAAAGAACCCGATTGGGTATTCGGGTCGGATAAAACCCGGAACCAGCACCATCACCCACAACAACACCACAACGAGAATCTCACCGTGAATAGCTTGAATTTCAGTAGCGAAGGGAGCTTACTAGACGACGACGTTTCGCTCGAAAGCCAGAATCTTCAGTGGGCTCAAGGGAAAGCCGGCGAGGATCGTGTACACGTCGTCGTATCGGAAGAACACGGATGGCTCTTCGTCGGAATCTACGATGGATTCAACGGTCCCGATGCGCCGGACTATCTCCTCTCTCATCTATACCCCGCCGTTCATCGCGAGCTCAAAGGATTGCTATGGGACGATCCAAAAACGGACTCGAACTCTCACGATCCTTCCTCCGACTCCGTCGTCGATCCTTGCCCGAGCGGAAACTGTGATTCGAGCTCGAAGAACGATGATCGGACGTCGAGGAAATGGGAGGAGAGTCAACGACGGTGGAGATGCGAATGGGATCGAGAAAGACTCGACCTCGACCATCTACTCAAGGAAAAAATCAACCGGGGGTCGAACCCGAACCCGGATCCGGATCCGAACTCTTCGGATGTTTTGAAGGCTCTGTCACAAGCTCTGAGGAAGACGGAAGAAGCTTACCTAGAGAATGCAGATATGATGCTCGACGAAAATCCTGAACTAGCTTTAATGGGCTCTTGCGTTTTGGTGATGCTGATGAAAGGTGAAGACGTTTACTTGATGAATGTTGGTGATAGCAGAGCAGTGCTTGGGCAGAAAGCCGAGACAGAGTACTGGATAGGGAAGATAAAGCAAGATTTAGAACGGATCAACGAAGAGACGATGAACGATTTCGACGGAGAACGAGCTAGTTTGGTCCCGAATCTATCGGCTTTTCAACTTACAGTTGATCATAGCACAAATGTAGAAGAGGTAAAGGGATCAAGAACTGGTCAATCAATCAAAGAATTGGTTATATTTATCAGTTTGATTGATGGATTCGAGTTTTGTTGTTTCAGGAAGTTGATAGAATAAGAAAAGAGCATCCTGATGATGCGAGCGCGGTGTCGAATGAACGTGTTAAAGGCTCATTGAAGGTGACGAGAGCTTTTGGCGCCGGTTTTCTCAAGCAGGTACTTAGAAAAATTCATAACCGTTTGGTTCTTGGAGATTAGGCAAGAATGTATGTTTGTGTTACAATCTAAATTTGAACTTGCTTTGCAGCCTAAATGGAACAATGCACTTCTTGAAATGTTCCAAATCGATTACAAAGGAACAAGTCCTTACATCAATTGCTTGCCGTCACTATACCATCATAGACTAGGCTCGAAAGACCGGTTTCTGATACTATCCTCGGATGGTCTCTACCAATACTTCACCAACGAAGAAGCGGTTTCAGAAGTCGAGCTCTTCATCGCGTTGCAGCCCGAAGGCGACCCGGCTCAGCATTTGGTTCAAGAGCTTCTTTTCCGTGCGGCCAAGAAAGCTGGTAAAAATCTAACTGGAAACCTCTGATTCTAAGTATTGGGTTTGGTTTATATCAGTTTTTTAATCTTTATTTCGTTTCTTGTTGATCTTTTTCTAGGTATGGACTTCCATGAACTGCTTGAGATACCACAAGGGGAACGGAGACGGTACCACGATGATGTTTCCATTGTAGTAATCTCTTTAGAAGGAAGAATGTGGAAATCTTGTGTATAACCTATAAACAAACAATCATATATGAATTAATGAACATAGAGAAAACTGGAGTGTTTCTTGAGTTAGTTTTATGAGTTCGTGTTCAAATTTAAAACTCAGAAACGCGATCTCTCATCGAATCTAAAACCTCAGAAACTCAGAGAGTTGTTTACTTATGTAATATGTTAATAAACAGTAAGAAAAAGTTTTGCCTCTCATTTATGATATCTATCTGTGTTTGATTGTTTATTGTTTGTCCATGATTATAAAAAAAATCAAAACCAACCCTTTGACCTCTAATTTAAGACACTTGCGTAGATTCGATATTTGTGGAAACCATTTGCTTGTTTTGGTCAATGCAAGCTATTGAAGTAGTTATGTGTCTTCCAACTCCTAACTGTAATGGAATAGAGAAGTAAATGTGGGAAAAGGAAGAAGAAGAGGAAGTGGTGGATATGAGATGTTGAGAGTTAAAGAAGCTATCTACTTTTGTTCCATTTATGGTTTTAATCACTATTAACTTAACTCTCTTACTTCCCACCAAAATCTTGAGCTCTCTTTCTGTTTCTGTACTGTTTCCACCGATTCAGGCAACATAAATTTGGATCTTTCTCTTCTGAGTCCCCACTCTGTACATTTCTCAAGTCTCAGTCTTCATTTTCACAATGCATGTTAGATTTTGCTCTCTCGAAATATATACCTCACTACCTCTCTATTCTTGCTTAGGAAGCTAACATCAAATCACAAAACACTAATAGGAAAAGAATGGCATAATAAAATGGTTACAAATTATCAAAGTTAATTAATCATACATTAACTTACAATCAAACAAAACTATTTAGCTAAAACATTTTTATTATGAAATAGAAAAGATACCATCTAGTGTAATTTATTAAGTGGGACAGATTATAATTAAAATAAGATACTAAGATCTAGATATAAGATAATCATAATAAAAAAAAATTATGATTTTTTAAATATGTTATTTAAATATGTGCTATGTATATAAATGATTTTTTATGAACTCTAGAGCCTAGCTTGTATAGGCACATGGACCTAAACTCTTAAGAATATACTGTAGTTAAGCTATTTTCTTGGCATAATTAGCAAGTTTGTATGGAAACATCAATATGAGTTTCATTTAGTGGATATGCTATTAGCATTAGAGTAAAATAAATTTGTTATCATAGAGACATTGTTATAGTTTATTGAGAAATTTTTAATTTAATTTAGAGGATAAGAATATATATATAAAAACTGTCTAGTTATTAATTATTATTAAATTTGTTTTTGTAATAATTACTTTCTCTATTTGAAGATAATTAATTAATTTTAAGAAAACAAAAATTTCCATTTTGATAAATTTTAAAAGGTGTATAAATTTCGTTACCCGGTAGAGTTGGGTCCTCTCGTTTCTTCATAGTTATAAAAAGCTTCTGCTTCTTCCTCGTTCTGCGTACCATTCAATCCCATTCCTCTCCGGAGCAAGCAAAGAGCAAGCTTCTTCAAACGATTCGTGCTTTTCAAATCTCTCTATCATCGTTTTTCGAACCTTAACGTAAGTTCTCTCTCATTTTCGTTTTTTTTTTCGGATTTTTTTGTTTGTGTTGATTTCGTAGATTCGTTAGGAGGAATTGAGTCGAGAGATTCGTCATAAGCCTATTGATTCTCGTTCCGTTTTCGCAACTTCGTTTATGAAATCTGATAAGTTTCGGATTCGGAATCGGAATCGAAAATTTCACTGTGTTTATAGACTGATGTTTAGGAAATGGAACTTCTGAAAATCATGGGATTTGTTGATTTCCGTGACTTATGAACCCTAATTTCGCTCAGTGGCACTGATTCTGGGTACTAGTAGGATAAAGTTCCAATGATTCCTCCTAAATTGATATGAGACTCTTGACAACTTTCATTATGATTGATTATAAACCTCTTTGTCTCTCTACTTTGGCAGGAGCCATGAGTATGAGTTTCTCGTTATGCTCAACATCTTCGGCGATTTCATATCCGAGTGACAATGTTCTGAGATTCTCTGTGCCAAGCCGCTTGTTCTCTCGTGAATTGGTTAGATTTGACGAGAAATGGAAGAAAAAATACATTTCTTTATCTCGTGCTGCTGCGTCAAGACAAATGGAAGATTCGTTAGTTGCTAAGAAGATTCTACCAAGAAGAGAGCCTCTAGAAAAAGTTGGTTTTGTGAGGACTTTGTTGATCGATAATTATGATAGTTACACATTCAATATATATCAGGCACTAAGTACTATCAATGGAGGTAAACTTCATAGCTTTCTCTCTTTGACTATATGTAGATTCTGTGTTTTTCAATTTCGTTTTGCATCTTTTGTTGTAGTGCCTCCTGTGGTTATTAGAAATGATGAGTGGACGTGGGAAGAAGCTTACCATTACTTATATGAAGATGCTGCTTTTGATAATATTGTTATATCACCTGGACCTGGTTCTCCTATGTGCCCATCTGATATAGGAATATGTCTTCGCCTTTTGCTTGAGTGTCGTGATATTCCAATTCTTGGCGTCTGCCTTGGCCACCAGGTACTTTTATTATCTTCATTTGTTGAGTGCATAGTCATGATTCATGGAAATGAGTAGTTGTCCCTCTCTCGGTGGTTATTTCTGTAAACCAACATGTATTGCTTTGACAGGCACTGGGTTATGTCCATGGAGCTCATGTGGTGCATGCCCCGGAGCCAGTTCATGGACGGTTGAGGTATTGAGGAATTTGCTCTTTCTGTGCGTTTTAATATATTTGGTCATACTCATATCTCTACTCACCATTTCCATTTACCTAATGTAGTGGGATTGAACATGATGGGAACATATTATTTTCTGATATTCCATCTGGGAGAAACTCTGATTTTAAGGCAAGGTCGTCTACTTTTTTACATACAGCATTCGTTAATCTCCTTTAAGATACAAAGAACAAACTTTTGTTTGGGGGTTTGATTCCTGCAGGTAGTTAGATACCATTCGTTGATCATAGATAAGGAATCACTGCCAAAGGAACTTGTACCAATAGCGTGGACGGTTTATAATGACACTGGTTCTTTCTCTGATAAGAATTTATGTGTTCCTCTGAATAACTCTGGGAGCTCACTGGGGGACGGATCTGACATTCTCATGGGCATCAGGCACTCTACTTTTCCTCATTATGGTTTACAGGTTTGATGTTTATTAGAGATCATACTTGGTCTTAGTTTCCTTCATTGTTCTGCTTTCTTTGATATGCATTTTTTTGCTTTCAGTTTCATCCAGAGAGTATTGCTACCACCTATGGAAGTCAAATATTCAAGAATTTCAAAGACATAACTGTGGATTACTGGAATCGCTGCAAGTCTCCCTCTTTGCGTCGAAGAAACATCAATGACACCGGTGAGCTTAATGGTTTCATTGTCATTGTTGTCATTTCCGTCTTGGAGCTTCTCCTGAATAATATATACTTTTTAGCAAACATGCAGGTGCATGGTGCCAGTCAATTGCTGAAAGAACTTTCAAGAACTAGAAGTATAGGAACTGGTTGTAGCTACTATGGAAGCCCTAAGAAGTCTCTGTTTTCTGCCCAGACAAACGGTGTAGACGTGTTCGATCTGGTGGATTTACCATACCCAAAACCTAATGTAAAATTTCTGAGGTTAAAATGGAAGAAGCTTGAACGTCTTGCACATAAAGTTGGTGGAGCAAGAAACATTTTCATGGAACTCTTTGGCAAGAACAAGGGGAGTGATACTTTTTGGCTAGATACTTCAACTTCTTCTTGTGACAAGGTTAGTTCTCTATTCTCCTGAAGCCTCAAGAAATCTTGTATTTGAGTCTAAAGATTGTTTCTTTCTTCCATTTACATTGTTCCAGGCTAGAGGGCGGTTTTCTTTCATGGGAGGTAAAGGTGGATCCCTCTGGAAGCAGTTGACATTTAGCTTATCTGATCAAAGGTTTTACGCATGACCTACTCTTTCTCTATCGGCATTAAAGGTTTATGTTCTCTATCGGCATGTTTAGATTGATATGCCTGAGAACCAACGATGCATCACATCATGGGAACTGAAACATTGACTTTATGACTCTTTGTTTTTCTTTTTTTCCAGCGAGATTACATCTGGACACCTTCTAATTGAAGATGCTCAGAGTTGTACTGAGAAACGTTTCTTGGAAGAAGGCTTTCTCGATTTCCTACGTAAGGTATTGAAGAAAGAACGATTTTACTCTGTAGTAAGGAGCTAACTCCTCTGTTTTTACTGATCTAGCTTTTCAACAGGAGCTTTCATCAATCTCTTATGATGACAAGGACTTCGAAGGCTTGCCTTTTGATTTTTGTGGTGGATACGTTGGTTGTCTTGGGTATGATCTCAAAGTCGAATGTGGAATGCCAATGAATCGTCACAAATCCAAAGCTCCAGATGCATGTTTCTTCTTTGCGGATAACATCATCGCCATTGATCATCAACTCGATGACGTTTATGTGTTATCTCTTCACGAACAAGGCACCGAAGAAACCTCTTTCCTCAACGATACTGAAGAGAAGCTCAATAGCCTGAGGGCTTCGAAACACCAAACAACTCTTCCTGCTGTAGCTCAACTACCATCTCAATGCAAAGCAAGAAGTTTCGTCCCTGACAAATCACGAGAGCAGTACATCAACGACGTCCAAAGCTGTTTGCAGTACATCAAAGACGGAGAGAGCTACGAGCTTTGTCTCACCACTCAGAACAGAACGAGAACAGAGAAGAACACTGATCCTCTGGGACTTTATCTCCACTTAAGAGACAAGAATCCAGCTCCTTACGCAGCTTTCCTCAACTTCTCGAACGCGAATCTTTCTTTATGCTGTTCGTCTCCTGAGAGGTTTCTTCAGCTTGACAGAAATGGAATGCTTGAAGCAAAGCCTATCAAAGGCACTATAGCTCGCGGCTCCACACCTGAAGAAGATAAACTTCTCAAATCGCAGTTAAAACTCAGGTAAAACGCCAAACGCTGTTTTTTCTTTCACGTTCTTGGAAATTTCTTGCGTTTTCATAATGTGTTTCTTGATTTTTTTTATTTTTTTTTTGGTTTTAATGTGTTTCTTGAATTGTTTGTTTTTTGGTTTTAATGTGTTTCTTGAATTGTTTCCGTTATAGTGAGAAGAATCAAGCTGAGAATCTGATGATTGTGGATCTACTAAGGAACGATCTCGGTCGTGTATGTGAGCCTGGTTCGGTCCATGTACCGAACCTAATGGACGTGGAGACGTACACAACGGTGCACACTATGGTGAGCACAATCCGAGGGATGAAGAGATCAGATATTAGTCCGGTGGAGTGTGTAAGAGCGGCTTTTCCTGGAGGTTCGATGACCGGTGCACCGAAGCTAAGATCGGTGGAGATTCTTGATTCTCTTGAGAACTGTTCGAGAGGGCTTTACTCTGGCTCGATTGGGTATTTTTCGTATAATGGTACGTTTGATCTGAATATTGTGATAAGAACGGTCGTGTTACATGAAGATGAAGCTTCCATTGGAGCAGGAGGAGCAATTGTTGCTTTGTCGGATCCAGAAGATGAGTTTGAGGAGATGGTTCTTAAGACTAGAGCTCCTGCTAATGCGGTTATGGAGTTTTGTAGTGGATCATCGTTATTGTAAATTATAGAAAAAATGTTGATTTGAGTGTGTCGTGGCTTTATACAGTTATATCATTTGTTATTTTTTATAGAATTATTCTCTATAGAAGAAACACAGATATAGTTGTAAGATAAAAATTGTTGAAATAGTTGTTTCTGATTGATCTATGAACTGAAATAAAAGTGATTGGTGTTTTGATTCTTACGCTTCAACTAAATTTGTAAATTGTGACCCCACTTTAACATGTCTTTCACTTTCAGGATTTAAGTACTAGGTTTCATTTATTGTGGTCAGGTCACTACTGCTAACGTCAGATAATATCCATGAATCATTTGGTTAGTTGCTTGCAGAATAATTTATGGTAGCAATAAAGCAAATCCTTTCAAAAGGTATAACTTTTGGTTTCAACAACTTATAGAAGAGTTGATTTGTGAGTCATGTTTAGTTGTTTTTACCAACTTATAGAAGAATTATGTTTATGGATAACTCGAGGCAATTTTACTAGAGAATATCATCTTGGCATTTCGTGGTAAAAATGGCAAAAAGATTGCCACAAAATTCTGTAAATACCTCTATTTCAGTGCCACAAAATTATTTGTTGCAATAGACAATTATTGGTATGCTTGAGTACAATAAACTAGTGATAGTTTTCGAGAAGAGCTATTATATTTTGGTGAAGATATGTTTAAACTAGAGGAGTGTCCAGCATTCCCAATTCTTCTAGAGATAATCGACAGGTGTAAAAGGACGAAAAACATGAATGCATACTGTTTGGGCAAAATTTAACCGGTTCGCAAGTACAATAAACGGAATGACGCAGGAGAAGATATCTTATTAATCAATTGAATATCGAGCTACAACAAGTCAATATCAAAGATTAAACTAAGAGAATCTCGTCTGTCGCTCGTCGTAGATCGTAGTTCGTCGTATCTAGGTTGTTCGTCGCTTGCTCGTCGAGAGGCGAAGAACAAGTAGCTATTAGGGTTTTTGTGTGTTTTTCTGAATGTCCCCTTGTCCTTGTTATGGGACCTCTTATTTATAGGTGCTTGTCGATCCTAATCCTTGTTGAGTTGGGCTTTGACGTCGGTCGTAATATTCCATTTCCTACGTCGGTCGTCATTCCTAATTTCCTTTTAATTAGATATGCACGTCGGTTCTCTGCACAACTCTAATAGATTTAGGAAATTGTACAAACCATCGGTCATTGCTAAACCATTAATTAACATCGTTGGTCGCTGCCTCGTCATGTCGATGCTAAGGCCTTTTAGACACTAAGAAGTAAGATCGACCGGTGGTCATCATGGTCGTCAGTCGATCATATCTCCAGCTTGTAATAGAGTTTAAGGAGCGACCGGCTAGTGAATTTATTTCACCCAACAACTTGCCCCCTACTCTTCAATTTCTTGTTTAGAATTTGTAGAGTAATACTTCATTTTCATATCGTCGGTCGGTCGCTTGCTCATGTCACTTGTGTGACTGTTGTTCGTTTACTAACGTCGATGTACAAAAAGCATATATGTCTAATGGCATTGTCCCTTTTAACATATTATCTGTGCACATACTAATGGAGCAACATAACATATAATTTAAATAAAAGATCCCAAAGACATACCTTTTTTCTTCGTTCGTCGATGGCTTATGCGAGTGACAAACTCTTCTTTTAAATCATGTGGAAATAACTAAGCAAAATAAGAGGGACGTACTTATTTTAATATCCATGTGGGATTGATTAAGAATGGAGATGGACAAGCTTCTTTCTCCAATGACCAATGACAAAGTTTTATTCTTGAAGCATGTACGTCCTTCCCTTTTTTTCCATGTGGGTCCCAAAGAAGTTGTACTTGACCACTCATGTAGCTTTATTAAAATTGAGGAACGACGTACATTAATTATGTAGTTGTGTTGTTTGTTTATGTAGAGAGTGACCAGCGACAAACATGTTTAGTCGTGCCTCTTCCTTTTTTCTCTTAATCGTCGAGCTTCATTCTCTCCAATCTTAAGTAAAACGTATTTTTTCAAATCGTCAGGCGTTGCTCGTCAATGCTGTTTCGGACCTTGCTCCCTTTCTAATGTAGATGTTATTCATTTTTTGTATGTCGCTCATTTATCTTCTTTTGTCGTTCCCTCTCTTTTCAATTGGAGTTACTGTTCCTTTTCCTCTTATGTCGTTAATAGATGTTTATCTATTAAGATATTATAGTAGAATTAACGGAGCTCCTTTTTACTAGTAGTTGGTCTTGATCTCATAAGATCTAATAAAAACTAGCAAGGACAAACACGTTTTATGTGTTCGTCTTGGTTGATCACTTGATTGACTACATAAGTCCTTACCTATTGATGAGCGTCGATGAATTCAGAACTTGCTTTCTCAACGGATAAGCAGCTATTAGGCTGTGAGGGCTATACCCCTTAGTTTATTGTCATATTTTCACGAGGACGTACCTCTTGATTTTGTAGATGTTGTCACAGATTAAGGACGTACCTCTTCATTTGTTAGCTAATGATTTATGATCATAACATTTGGAGGTCGTGCCCCTTTGTTAATCAAAGAGTGATGTGACATCATAGTCTATTGGAGGTCGTACCTCTAACTTATTTGTTAGCGACTGTCGTCGCTATCTATTGAGTACGTACCTCTTTATTATATCATGACTTATCATGGTGAGGTCGTACCTCTTAATTTATTTAGTAGCGACAGTCGTCACTGTATATTGAGGACATGTCTCTCTATCTATTTGCTTATGACTTGTTGTCATAGCATGTGGAGGTCGTACCTCTAAATCAATTATTAGCGACTGTCATCGCTCTTACTATATATTGAGTACATGACTCTTTATGACTTGTCGTCATAACATGTGGAGGTCGTACCTCTAAATTAGTTATCAGCGACTGTCGTCGATGTCGATATACATTGAGTACATGACTCTTATCTTCCTAGTGACCATGGTCAATTTGCTCATGAGGCATTGCCTTTAGTTTTTTTTTTGAAGAAACGTCGATCGTCGTTGCTGCTCTATCATGAGGAGGCAATGCCTTTTTTTTTTTTTTACTGTCGTTTGTCATAAGCAGTGCAATGACTGTCGCTCGTCACTAGTTGTGGATACAACGTCGATATTAAAGCGAGTGACGAACATAATCTGAGAATTCTTAAATACTCATATGTAGAAAAACCTTTTATTAAGAAGTTCGTCCGTAGACATGCGCGAAGTAAAGAAAAACAATTGAAAGCAGAGACATCTCGTGGATCGTCTATGACTATGACAATAACGAAATAAATAAAACCAAAACACTGAAAGCTAAACTAACCTAGAAGAGGTAGGTTTCGAGGTTCGTTTCATCAAGATCTTTTTCCGTCAGTGGATCTCACAGAGTTGTTCCACCTCTGCTTCTTTGGTATGTGGAATCGACGATTGGATCTCTAGTTGATATAGCTCATGACCTTTCCCTTTTAGGGTAGTTTGGTAGCATGAACGTGCATGCTCTTGTTCTCCCTTGATCTCTTTGACTCCCCATGGAGTAGGAAATTTTATGGTTTGATGGAGTGTCGATGGCACTGCCCCCATGTCATGAATCCAGGGACGTCCCATAATTGCGTTGTACGCAGTAGCACAATCTAGTATCAGAAACTTTGTCTGTCGGTTAATTCCTCCTGCATACACAGGCAGCGTCACTTCTCCTATGGTCTGCTTTACTTCACCGCTAAATCCTACCAGTGGTGTGGATTTTCGCGTCAGTGCATTCTCATCCAGCCCTAATCCTTTGTAAGCATCCATGAAGAGAATGTTGGTCGAACTCCCATTATCAACGAGTGTCCTTTTCATCAGACTATTAGCAATTGTCAAAGATATGACTAATGCATCATGATGTGGAGCTAGGACACACTTATCTTCATCTGAAGCAAAGCTAATCGTGCACTTCGACAGTCGCTCGCATATAGCTTTGACATCTCCATGATGAGTTCTAGCTATTCTAGTACTCTTTTTAGCAGCAGAATGAGTAATTCCACTAACCTCTGATCCTCCCGATATCACGTTGATGATTCGATCATGCTCCGGAGATTGAGCAGGAGATGGTTTTCTTTGCACCTCGTCATTGCTTCTGTCGTCGATGCGACTCCTAGCCCTGTCGGACAAGTATTCTCTCAAGTGACCTTTTTTTAGTAGCTCGTTTACTTCCATTCTCAACGTGATGCAATCTTCTGTTCTATGACCATGGTCAGAGTGAAAGTCGCACCACTTTGATGTGTCTCTTCGTTCCCCTGGTGCTTTCATCTTTTGAGGCCATCTTACTCCAGATATATGATTAAGAACATTGACTAGTTCTGCAGGAGATATTGCGAGGTTACTCATGTCTGGCCATGTGGATGATGAGCGTTGGTCGCTCTCAATTTGGTTGAGTGGTCGATGGTCGCTTCTGCTGTCGCTTCTCTTGCTAGTGCTTTCACTGCGTGGTCTCTGGTACGGTCTGTCATCTCGAGAGGGACGCTCGTTCCTAACAACACGCGAATCAGATCGTGGGGAAAGTAGGTGTCGATATGCAGGGTCTTCCTCCCACCTTATTTGAGCCCATGCTCTAGATAGCACATCTTCCATCGTTCTGCACTGGTACTTCGTCAGTTCCTTGTACAAATCACTGTCTGGGAGCAATCCTCTTTTGAATGCAGAGATGGCAGTGGACGTGACACATGCCGGAATGGATACTTTCTCTTTGTTGAAGCGACCTACGTAATCGCGCAACGGTTCTCCTCTCTTCTGTATCACTTCATAGAGATCGTCGGCTGTCCTTTCTATGTTCCTGCTGCTCGCGAATTGCTCAACAAAGCGGTCTGTCAATGACGCGAACGAGTCGATTGACGCGTTCGGTAGGTTCGTAAACCACTGAAGAGCTGGTCCCGTGAGGCTAGATCCAAATCCTTTACACATACTAGCTTCGCGATATTCTTTTGCTATTGCCGTTGTGAACATGCGTTGCTTGTACTGGGCTATATGATTATCAGGGTCGGTCGTCCCGTCGTACATCTTCATTGAAGGGACGATGAACTTCTTTGGCATCTCAACCAAAGCGATGGCATCCGTGAAGGGAGTGTCTGCATAGCAATTAGGAGCACTTTTGGTGATTGGAGGAGCTACTCCTGGAAGTCGCGCGAGCAAGAGCTCCATAGCCTCCAATCGCTTTGAGAACATAGTATGCGAGTCTTCAGATTGATGTTCCATCGTTGGTGCAAGGGGTGGAACCAATGTTTGGTTACCTTGCGCAGCGTCGGTAGCTCCTGTTCCTAGGGCTGCTCCTGTTGCACCCGTAAGTGGTGGAGTGTCGAACGATTGCATAGGAGGGACCGGTCTCGATATCTATTGCGAGCCTGAGTCAATGACGCGTTTTCTGCTCGTAGGGTTGCGTTCTCCGCCTGGATTTGCGCAAGTCGTTCTTCGTTCTGCTTCATCTGAGCTGTGAGAGCCTCCAGCTGAGCAACGGTGACGGTCGGTGTTTCGGTCGGTGCGGTATCATCTCCCGCCGCTAACGTCAGATAATATCCATGAATCATTTGGTTAGTTGCTTGCAGAATAATTTATGGTAGCAATAAAGCAAATCCTTTCAAAAGGTATAACTTTTGGTTTCAACAACTTATAGAAGAGTTGATTTGTGAATCATGTTTAGTTGTTTTCACCAACTTATAGAAGAATTGTGTTTATGGATAACTCGAGGCAATTTTACCAGAGAATATCATCTTGGCATTTTGTGGTAAAAATGGCAAAAAGATTGCCACAAAATTCTGTAAATACCTCTATGTCAGTGCCGCAAAATTATTTGTTGCAATAGACAATTATTGGTATGCTTGAGTACAATAAACTAGTGGTAGTTTTCGAGAAGAGCTATTACATTTTGGTGAAGATATGTTTAAACTAGAGGAGTGTCCAGCATTCCCAATTCTTCTAGAGATAATCGACAGGTGTAGAAGGACGAAAAACATGAATGCATACTGTTTGGGCAAAATTTAACCGGTTCGCAAGTACAATAAACGGAATGACGCAGGAGAAGATATCTTATTAATCAATTGAATATCGAGCTATAACAAGTCAATATCAAAGATTAAACTAAGAGAATCTCGTCTGTCGCTCGTCGTAGATCGTAGTTCGTCGTATCTAGGTTCGTCGCTTGCTCGTCGAGAGGCGAAGAACAAGTAGCTATTAGGGTTTTTGTGTGTTTTTCTGAATGTCCTCTTGTCCTTGTTATGGGACCTCTTATTTATAGGTGCTTGTCGATCCTAATCCTTGTTGAGTTGGGCTTTGACGTCGGTCGTAATATTTCATTTCCTATGTCGGTCGTCATTCCTAATTTCCTTTTAATTAGATATGCACGTCGGTTCTCTGCACAACTCTAATAGATTTAGGAAATTGTACAAACCATTGGTAATTGCTAAACCATTAATTAACATCGTTGGTCGCTGCCTCGTCATATCGATGCTAAGGCCTTTTAAACACTAAGAAGTAAGATCGACCGGTGGTCATCATGGTCGTCAGTCGATCATATCTCCAGCTTGTAATAGAGTTTAAGGAGCGACCGGCTAGTGAATTTATTTCACCCAACACATACAAGCAAGCATTGGATGCACAAGATCTTCCTCATAACTTATATAAAGTAAACTTCATTCCATCAGTTTAGATCTCTGAACCGTTCCATAAATAGAGGTTGTTGGAAAAAAAGAAATATTCTTTTAAACGTTAGTTTCTAAAACCAAAAAAAAAAACCGTAAGTTTCCAATTTTCCTTAAAAAAAAATCATTTTAATGCATATTCTAAGCATTTGTTCCCATTTTAAAAGAAACTTGTATTAAGGGGACAACAAAAAATACAACTTCAGTTCGGTTGTTGATTGCTGTAGTTACTGTTTTATGTACATGCCATGTAATTATGGAGGATATATTTGTATATAACTATTGTTATTGAAAATAATACCGTATTGTTGAAATTTGATATAGAGAACAATAAATAAATGGGTTGAAATGAATCAAAATAAGATACAACTATCAAAACATTTGTATGCATTGTGATGTGAGCTGTGTAAGTTCCTTGGTGCGAAATAAAACACATAATAAGTTCTTCGACAAATCATGTATGAACAAGACAAGATTTTGTAATGATATTTAGCTGTCTATCGAGATACTGTATATATGTTCGGCCAAAATTACATTATTAATAGTCAATGATTGTAATTACACTGAAATTGAAACTAAAAGTAAAGAAGAAGACAACAGAAAGAAAGAAGAGAGGGTAGAAGGAGGAAACAGAAGATGGGAGGCATAATGATTGAGCATGAGATATATTTCAATTATGCTCCATGAGAGTGTGTGTTTGCTTAACTTTTTAGTTATTTTATCCCTTTTTACTGGTAAAAGGTGGATTAATTTTAACTTTTACCTGAACAAGAAGCTAAATTATCTGCTTAACATCAGTTTGTTGATTGGGATAACTTTGTTAAAGAATCCCGAGAATTTAGATATAAGATTCTCTTTAATTTGAAATATTGATATACTTTTTGGTGGTTGATGGTGATAAACATGTGATCTTCAACAAATCTAACAAACGCATTTGCTGCTCCCATTTCACATTTTTTCTTTCTTGTTCGTGTTTATAGGCACGTAATAACCGCTAACGAAGAACGTAACTTTAGCAAGATGGACACTTATTTTTCTTTAACTTTTCTTTTGAAAAAAAAAAACAAAAAACTTGTGTTGATTTGTGTACTCGACCAAACTAATTTTATAGAAACCAGTTTCAACTGAGTGTTACAAAAATTAGATAAGTGAAATTCACATTTTATTTTGTTATTTTATGATCATATGAAAATGATGTGTTAGTTTGTTACTTTCTGCCTATTTTTGTCCGGTTAGGGAATACCAAGATTCTCTCGTGATTTGATTGAACGTTCCTATCTACGTGAAGAAATCTTGGATCTATTTACTTTTGTGGAAGTTTAGGCTTTAGAAACCCGAAAAAATAAAACATAAATTTTATACGTAGTTGAGCAAATCGTCACTACTCTAAAGCTACTGAAATAATATTTCTTGTAGGTGTTTTTTTGTTTAAATATTTCGTAGTCTCCAATTATTTTGTTATTTGGTAAAGAAACACACATGCGTTATTGGGTTTTTGGTAAGAGACATTAATATTACGAATCATAATCTAATAAAATCCGGACAATTCAATGTTCTCTACCCATCTTTTTTTGTTTTGTTATAGTTTATACACAACATAGACAAAACATGTACAATAACTATTATTAGTGTTGACTTTCGTAACCTTTATTGATTACCATTGACAAATGTTGTGGGGATTATCTAAATTTGCATGAAACATTTAAGATTATTGTCAGTTAGGTGAGTGTAGTTTAATATCTCTCGGATCGTTTTCTAATCGCCATAGAGTATAGTATATATAACGATTTGATTTTGTCAGTTAAATCGATCACGACTAGATATACACAGAAAAGGTAATGGATGTATGATAGATCAAATTAAATGACAATAATTAGAGATATAGTGATGTGTATGAGTGTAAATATCGGTGGGTGTGATAACATAGATAGGCATGTGATTAGATCGATATTCTCATATTCACATGCATCAAAGTTAGGATCACAGAGAGAGGATAGAGAGTAAGAATTAGAAAATGATGATTTTAACCAATTTGAATAAGATGAAAGAGACAGGTTATCTTACTTTGGACACTAAATTCAATAATTTCTTTTAGCTTATGAATAAAGGAAAGTAATTGACCTTTTTCTTTTCAACCAACAAAACTGGCCTTTTCCCGTTTCCATGTCATTACGCTTTCAAGCTCCTTTCATTTATCTTTACACAATTATTATATGTTTTGGTAATTTTAATTTATCTATTGGAATAAAACCTTTGTAAATCCAATATGAGAATGAGACACAATACAGGAATTTTTGAAGTTTAGAAAGAAACACATGATCTTTTTGTATTTTAATTGTCTGTCTTCAAGTTTGAGAACTTAGAATTATTGAACGAGAGTTTTGTACCCTTATAGTTTAAAAACAAAAAAAATCCTTTAACAACAAAAAAACTGGTATAAACTTATAAACAAAACCTCATTTTTATTTCATTTCTATTAAATATTATTTGAGTTTGGTTAAATAAATCTTCTACATCTTAAAGCAAAATGTTGCCTTAAAAGGCGAGAAACATGTGATTGGTATAGAGATTAACCAAATTGATGAAAACCTTACTATATTAAAAAGCAAGCTTACATAAAGTATATTTGTTACATCGGATCCCTCAACATTAATTAAAACCCCGAATGTTCTCAAATAAATTTATTTTAAAAATACACAATTAATATAAACACGTACATAATATTTCCATTATATAAAGCAAATTAAGCCACTAAAGCCATCACTCTCTCTCTCTCTCTCTCTCTCTCTCTCTCTCTCACATCATTCATCAGAACTATTTAATTACCTCTCTTCCCTTTCACGTTTGAGCTACGTTTCTTCTCAAAGATGGGTTTCTCGGACGCTGAAATTTGTCTCTCCGATCAAAAAAATCTCTGTGAAACGGATCTAGGGTTTCTTTATGTACCCTCTATAGGGTTTTCAGACCGGAACGTTCAAGAATTACGGCCAGATCAAGATCTTGAAACTAAATTCCAGGAGAAAATTAAGTGCTCACGAGATGGTGGAGTAAAGGTAAACAAGGAAGAAGAAGAAGAAGATTTCTGCAAGACTCCGACACGCCTCGACCAAATTCTCCCGGCGGTTCCAAATATTTGTCCGCCGGCGCCGAGGAAACCTAAGGGTGTCCCGTCGAGAAGTTTGAAGGTTAGGAATTCTTATAGAAGCAGGAGAATGATCATTCTAAATGTTTCTAGAGAGATCGATTGTTTGTTTCATCCAAATTCTCTAGGAAACAAAATTAAGAAAGCCAGATATATATGATGTTTCGTATGTATGTACGTATAACGTAGCTACCTATAGCCAAATTGTAATAAACTACGAGTTATAATGTAGTGATATTACTATTTCTGTTTTTTAACTTTTTTTTTCTGTTTCATTTGCTAGTAGGCATTTTTTTGTTAACAAGTGACAAGGCTTTTTGCATGTCTTGTTTTTCTTTTCTCTCGTGATTTTAATATATTTTGTGTATTGGGAATAATCGGTATTTAGAGTTAGACTACATAAAAATAAGCATTGGAAAGCAGAGTAGAGTTGGTGAAATACTTTGGTTATGTAAAAGTGGCATTTAAAAGTTAAAATGTCATTTTGTCAATTAAAGAAGATTTTAATGCTTTGATCACTGAAACCAAGGCGAGTTTGTTTTCCCAATGGCCTATCCAAGGTCGTGCAATTAATTATTGATAAAAAAAAAGAATTTACTTGTATAAATGCAAATATAAAGGTTAAAACTACAGTAAACAGTGTATAAAATGATGATGTCTATACATAATTTGGATTTATCCAAGTGGGCTGAAAAATAAATCGAAGCCCAAGCGCAAATGCTTTGTCATCTCCTACAGGTACTTGCATAATTGCTTTGGTAAATTTGCAGTAATCTACATAACTAATAAGGCTATGACATTCTCAACCTGGAGACACGTGGCACTTTTTTTTTTTTTTCCTCCCAACGCCAAAACGACGTCGTTTTGCGTTCTCAATATTTTTTTTCCCGTGTAACACCAAAACGACGTCGTTTTGGTGCCCTCTGAGTGCCAGTCAAAACGACGTCGTTTCTGCCTGCCATTTTTAAAAAAAAATGTCATATTGAAAATTAATTTAACACGAGCACCCTTCGTCTTCCTCATTTCACAGATTTCTTCTTCTCCGATCTCCAACGGCGACGAAGAATTTCAGCTCCGACGAGATCGTATCAGAGAACGACGGAGGCGAATGTCGTCTACAAGGGCCAGCTTCAGAATCTCGGCTTCATCGCCGTCAAGAAACTCAAGGCTCCGGCTTGGGCAGATCCTGATATCTTTGCGGTACCATTTGTTGCCCTAAAAGCCTCTCAATTTTCCCGCGTTTTTTTATGGGATTTGATCCGTTTTCTTCCTTCGTTGTTTTTTCTGCAGGAGGATGCACGGAGAGTTGGGGGGTTAAAGCACAAGAGAGTCATCAATTTGCTCGGATATTGCTGCGATAGAGAAGAAAGGCTTCTTGTTTCAGAGTTTATGCCAAACGATACTTTCGCTAAGCGTTTGTTCCATCGTAAGGATTCTTCTTCTTCTTTTACATCTTCACTTATAACCTTGGTGGAATCTGAGAACAGAGACGCTGCATTGTAGGTTTATGTGACCTGATTAGTGTATAAATGAATCTGCTTGTTGAATCGATTGAATTAGAACAGATTGTTAGGATCCTCTGTTATGATACAATTCGGCAGCATTGTGACTAGAACTAACATGGATCAGTGTATATGTTTGTAGAATCATTGTCAATGTCATCGTTTGATTGCTTTTGTAGCATTCTCTGTTCTTATACATAAAGTCTGCATTTTTGGTTTCTGTTACATGATCATTTGTGTTTTAGATATCTTCTTGTAGATTTGGTTGCATAAGTACATATTGTTAGCATAATCTGTTTTGATACAAAGAGGGCATTGCTGGTTTATGTGAAATTGATTATGTACTACTAAACCTTTGTATGCATAGGTTCAATTTTTTTCCACTTGTGTTGCTTGTATATGTGGTTTACGATTAACCATACATTGTTGTGGAAACCTCTATTTTCATGTTCTCTTGGTTGCATGCTTCCATTGTTCTGTTTGTTTATAAGGCCTTCGATTGGTTATTGTTCAAAAAGAGAGTAACTTTCCTGTTTTAATGGCAGGGTTTCGAACTTGGATTAAGCATTGATTCGAAGATTTTCTAGCTGCAGGTGTGAGACATGCATCAAAAAACAGAATTATCATCCAACGATGACCATGGTGGAACCAACGGTGATCTCGACGACATCTTTAAGAGGTATGATTTCAATAAATCTACATCCGATAATAAACGCTCCGTAGTTGTTGGTGGCAGTACAGTTGGTAATGTCTCTCTTCTCATGCCGATAAATCAGAAACTTTCATTTCGTTTCCACTTTCATTTATAACTTATTATTTGTCCATCGTCTCTGTTGCTGCTATTTTGATGGCAAGTAGTCTGCAATGTCGTTTACTGTTTTTTTTTCCTTAAAGAGCGACGTTTTATGTTCTTTGTTCTTTGCTCGCTGTATGATCTTGTTAGGTGATGATTTCCATAAATACGTTAGAATGCTGGAGGAAACTATTAACTTCTATGCACCTCACCAATCACTTTTGGTAAAACTTTTTATAAGGAGCTCTGTACCACCAGCCAGCCTGTTGACGAAATTGCCTTCGTCACTGAAAACGGAAAAAGACGATCGACAAGGTTACGTCTGCAAAGGATCTGGATTGTTGACATATGAAACTCTGAACAAAAGATTGTGAGCTCATTAAATCTACCTTCAATCGTACAAGGTGAAAATTCTGATATCAATTTCTCAACTTTACTTCAGTCGTTTTAATTGATAAGCTTTAGTTTCAGTCATGGCTCCTCATTGTAGGTAATTTCCTGGTTTTTATTTTAAAATGCATGGAGGTTTGATACATTGATGGAACAAAAGTTTGAATCTTAGATATGCAGATGGTGAATGAAGGCTTGGCAAGAACTTCATAAAAACACCAAAAAGGTTGAACTTGCAAACGTTAACTTCTTTACTGCAGAAAACGTTTGGGTGAGAGAGATACATCAGGTTAGTTTGTTGTTTCACTAGACCTTTTATTCAGAAACAAGGTAAAAGTGATGCTTTTTAAAGTTTTAACTAAACACTCTTTCTTCTGGCAGACAAAGAATAAGTTCAAGTTGAAGCTGCTACTTTAACTTCATCTTCTCTCTTTTGGTGAAAGTGATTTACAAGGTTAAGCAACCGTTTGCGCAACATTGATTATCCACGAAGAGTGTAGGATAAAGGGACTTGGCACGAAAGCTTAATGGACCTGACTTTGTATTTGGGAATTAAGGGTAAAAGGAAGATTGGAGATGAGATCACAGATATAAAGATTGTATATTTCTGGAATTTTTAAAAATTCATATAAAATGTCGAAGCCTATCTATAAAATTGTTTGGTAGTCAGCCTCACAAACATTCTACTCTTTATTTGTTGAGAGTACACAAATTAGACGTAGACCAAACACCAAATATATTTTTTGAAGTAAAAAAATCATAAAAGTTGGCTGTTGTGAATTGAAGGCTAGATAGCGATAATCTCAAACAACATTCACTATTCGTTGCTACTTTTAAGTAAACAACTAAACAATAAACCCGCGCATTGCGCGGGTTCTCTCCTAGTTATCCATCTAATAACTACTTTGACTCTATATGTGATAAGCTCTATTTATATTTATATATACATGAAGTTGTATTTACAGTTTAGAAGAACCAAATTTTGCCACCTTAATACAATTAAACGTCCTGAAAAAAAATGATGGAATAAACATGTACATCATATGTTATTACAATGGACTAATCATATTTTTTAACAAAGACAGACAATTTTCATGACCTCCAAAATCTGGAATTATAAACCTTTTACAGATTTTTTTCTAAAAAAATATTCCCCAAGCCAAAGCATTGTTTTGGATTGTGCCAAACATTGGGGTATCAATGTATCATATGGCTCAGATATTATATAGAAAGTAAAAAAGTATTCATAAAAGCTTTGTATTCGCTTGTACCAATTCAAGACTATATTTTACTCCAATGTTTCTTCAATCCCAATGGATTATCTACCTCAAAAAGTAAGTAGAATATCCCAATCCCCAATCCCAATCCCAATCCCAATCCCAATGGTAGCTGATCTGGATTTGACAATCTTGCAAATTACTTTTGTATAGAGATAAATAGACGTTCATAATTTTAGATGACAAAAAAAAAACAGTTAACTCTAAAAGAAAAATAAAAAACTAATTTACTACACTAACACTTAATCGAAGAATTCATATTTACACTAATCAAACAAATGTCGTTGTAGTATAGTGGTAAGTATTCCCGCCTGTCACGCGGGTGACCCGGGTTCGATCCCCGGCAACGGCGTCCATTTTTTAACATTATTTCTAAATATTTTCTTTAACATTAATACCCAAGAGAAAATTCATACTGATAAGCCCACGACATAAGAAAATTACAACAAACAGTCTAACAGCATAATTCTACTCGTTGCAGAAATTATAAATTAGGGTTTGGGCTTGGACATTTTCTCCAGCCCACTTGGATAAGACCCTTTTTAGTTATTGTGATATCTTCTTCTGCTACATGCTTCTTGTTGAAAACCAACTCTTTACATTTGTCGAAGAGAGAAGCGGAGACAAGTCAGTGAAGAGAGAGATCCCTTAGTTTCACTGAGGGCTTATCCTTTCAAGTTTCAACCGAAAGGAACTACACAAAAAAAGTCGCGATGTTATATTCCTGGTTTATGTTTGAGTCGAAACATTATTTTTTTGGTGTAAACGTTGAGAAATTAGAGTCGAAAAATTATGGCTGTTTATGCATGGGTTCATGTGTGACAACTGACATGGTAAATAGAAGAGTAAATCCTCATATTTTCACTTACAATACTCTCATAAGCTCCTTGTGCAAAGAGGGAAAGATTAATGAAGAATGTAATATACATATGGTACCATGCAAAGATTTGGTGTTGCTCCTGATCACGGTCTATGTATACACAGAGGTGTGGCCGGACGAAAAGTTATATTTTCCGCTATAGACTGTGGCTATTGATGGTTATGGAAGACATGGTGATATTAGCAGTGCTTTTATCTGTTTGGAATTTAATGCTTTGTTATGGTGTCAACCAAATATTTACACAAAACAATGCTTTAATTCGATGATCAATGGGTTATGTGTGTCAATGGGGGAAAGTTCATTGATGCATGTTGGTTAGTGGTTAATAACAACTTAACAAGGAACAGAGATGTTTATTGTCCAAGCAGCTAAACTGGCCGCGGTTTTTTTTATCTTATTTATTTGTTGCTAATTTTTGCTTGCATGCTCACTATGTTCACCATAAGCTGGTTTCTAGACGTTTTTTACTAATTAAAAGTAGCTTAGATTGAGAAATTGGGCGATAATCTAGTTGATTTCTTAATCTTACTGCTTGCTAGCCTTGTGTGTTTTTGATTAATGGAATAGCCTTTAAAGCATATGCTTGTTAGTTTCACGATGAAACCTTGAGGATTTGAAGAAACTGTATCAGGATTTCAATGATTTAGTGCTCTAGTTAGCATTCCACTTTATGGTTTTGTTTGGTTTCGTGTTTTAAAGTAAAATATTATATAAGAGAATCATTTAAACAACATTTAATTTACGAGCTTCGAAAAGATAGGAACGGAAAGAGCATGAAAGATAAGAATCGAGGAAGAAAATAATGAAGGAGGGGACATATACGTACATGATTTGACTTCGAATAAATTTGAATAATATAAAAACGGACATAATAATAACAATTAATGAAATGCATGAAATACAATAGGAAGCAGCCACATGAAACAGTCGGGGGGACCTACGTGAAGCAGTCAATAACGTGTTTATGTCAGACTCTTTCTGACTTCAAATGTAACATACAGTAGTTTTATAAGTTTGATTTCTGTTTTATAAGTTTAAGCCACCGAATTAAATTCGAAAAGTTACTGTACAAAAATCTGATTTCTCTTAAAATCTGATTTCTGTTTTATATTGCCGATTACTCGTAAAATCCTATTTTATACCTAATGTGATTTGTTGCGTTAAGTAGGTTTTAAAACACACATTTGTGATATTGTGAACATAGATTTGACCGCAACTGTTTTGCTGCAGTTGTGTCATACGCTAATTGCAACAAATATTAGTGACTACGATGACAAGTGTGAGAATAGATATTTTGAATTGCGACGTTTTACAGTTGCATTCATTAAAATGAAATGACAAGTGTAAGGATATATAGTTGATCTGATTGGCATCTTCTGAACACAACATGACACGTTTAAACTTTGAAGCATATGTACGGTGTGACTGGTGAGTCCTATGACCAGTGACCACGAGTGCGAAAGTGAACTCATTCGATTTTATATCAAGCTTAACGAAACTTTTTTTTAGTAATGATTCAATTGTAAAATTAGTTAATATGTACAATATTGGATATTTTTTATTTATCACTCTATATTTTTTTCACTAAACTTTTAAAGGATTTAATGTTTAGATTATTCAATTTCGTTATTTAAATAATTTTTAAAGTTGATTAAAAATGAAAACATTATGATTTGATCAAACTTGATAATAATATATTATGGATTCTAGTATACATAAAAAAAAAAATTTAAACATCTTTACCACACAAAAAAATATAAAACATGGGAAATGAATATATATTGGACTTGGACGTAAATACTACCGATATCTGATAAAAAAAATGGCTATCAAGAATCAAAATTTTGGAAAATCTAGAGTTCTATTTTAATGTGTTAGTAATTAGTCCAATTACAAATATGACGTAAGAAAATGACAGAAGTAAAATTTGTCATTAGATGACAAAAGAAGAAGTAAAAAATGTATGTACATATTTTCTTTTAATTCTTTTTTTAGAGAAGATGTGTGTACAGACTTTTCAGGTTTTTAGAGGTGAGGAAGTCGTCTAAATCTTTGATCCATCGTATTCAAAACCCCAAAAATCCTTCGCCGACGTAAATCCTTGTTTCTTTCTTGTATCCCAAATCAATATATTAGTAATTTAAGGTTGTTTAAGTTCGTTAGGTTTTTTTTTTTAAAGAAAGTTTTAGTTCGTTAGGTTGTATCTTCAGTTCAGTTTAACTCATAAGTTCGTATATTTTATAGATGAACAAAAAAGTTTGGATAAATTTGAGTTTTAGTATATAGTAAAGTTTTTGTAGTAGTCTACGCAAGAAAATAGTAGCCTACGCAATGTAAACCCTTTTCTGGGTTGATTAAGGTAAAACATTTGGGTGGGTTAAGGTATCTAATCTACGTCTGCTTTCATCAACCGGTCGGGTCCCATAACCCGAGAACTATATTCAGCAACAAAAGTGGGTCCTGTAAGTTAGAATTGAAATGTCAAATGTAATTATGGGTGTGATTAGTAAGTAGATTTAGTACCAAAATGGGTCCAACAAGTTCGAATTGACACGCCATGATAAATTCCACAACTGTGATTTTTCTTTTCCCATAGTTTATTGCAAACTATAAAACAAGACAGTTTTAGTAGTATATAACTCTTTACGTACCACAAATGTATACGATTACAATAAACGGTTCTACTTGCATTAAGATAATTTTTTTTTTTTCATTAATTGGTAAAATTTCATAATATTTTGTACTTATTTCCCCCCTCTCCTCGACATAGCTAGACTCAAACCTACTCTTTAGGCTCAAACACGTTTTAGATATATAATAACTAGAAAAGCAATCATTCTATAGGTATGTTTAATTCTATACTTTTTCATAATCAGTAGGTTTGTTTCTCATCAAGGTAGATTAACGTAAAATATCCACCGAATCGGTCTTTGCCTACTACGACTCTATAAAATAATAGTCCACGAACGAATAAACAAAAAGTACCCATGTGTATGTACTAGTTGTAATAATTTGACTAATGTAGATATTTTTAGTTTAAGCAAAGAGCCAAATTTCGAAATATTTATACTTTGTTGGAGACCACAAGTTGAGGGTGAAAGAAAAGTTGATTGGATCATGTGGGGTCTCATCGATCATCCCCAACACACCACCGAGAAGAAGAAGACTCTTTTTCTTCTTGAGTCTCCATCTCAATTCTCCGTTGGCAACTTCGCAGCCATTCCCATAAGGCCATAACATTTTTGTTCCCATCTAAACTTGTCCGTTTTTTAATTATGAAAAAACATAAAATTTGGCGAAAAGTCTAATTCACCTTTTTCGGTTAAGAAATACAAATTTTTAGTGTCAAGTCAGGTTGCTGAACCGACATCAAATTTTTGTTATGTGGGATCAATCTTTACTTCTCTTTAAGAATAATTTTCAGTTTGTGTGTAAGGTCATCTTATCATATAGTGTTAATTCTTTAATCCTCATAGACTAAAGTCTTGTTTGCCATTTCTTGGTAAGAAATTTACTAAATTTAGACAACCAAAAAAGTGAAGGCAAAGGCAAGAAGATTATGAGCTTCTCTTTTCATATCAAGTAACCAAATAATAACAAAACAACAAACCATTTTTTACCAAACTTATCAAAGAAACAACAAATCATTGCATCATTCATTACACATCTCACTTCTTCTTTTTTCTTCCTTATTTCAATCTCCAACCCCTCTCACAAAAGATCTACATAAATTCATCTATACATTATACATTCTCACATTTTCACCCCCAAAATGTACCGATTTCGGTTTTTGGTCCTCACACGATCGGTTTGTCCATCAGCTCGTTGTCGGCTGCGATCCTACCCGAGCCACGGCCGGTTATCTTCCCGAACGAACCACCAATCGTCGATAAACCCATGAAACTGCTGCTTTCTTCGCCAAGGTTTATCGATCTTCTATGCTTCCTTAGCTTTGAGGAGCTAACATCAACAACTTCATCTTGGCTCTTGCTCTTCTCGTTGTTCTTCTTCTTGTTGTTGTTCTCCGCCACGACTAACCGCGCGATGACGCTTCTACAGAACGGACAAACCGGCGGAGTAACCGTCGAGGTCGTCGGGTTCGGTTTGTTGTGACAGCAAAGCGCAAGCGTGCATTGCGCACACATTTGGTGACCACAGTCTTTGACTTCAATCGTGCACACTTGCTCAAAGCAAATACAGCACAGCTCCGAATCACTCGCCTATAAAAAACACGTTTGCGTTATAACAAAACGGATTCTTGCGATTGCTTCAAAACGCCGATACAAAGAGTGTGTTAAATAGTATATACCTCGGACATGTTATCATCAGAGGCAGTGTCAGAGAAAGATGATGGTGATGGTAAAGAATAAGCAGTTCCTTTGAGGATGGTTTTCTCTCTTTCTCTGTTTGCATCCATTAGAGCCTGCTCCAGGAGAAGTTTAGCTTCGTCGTTGAGCTCGCTGATGAACTTCAACGGCGATGGCCAAACAAGTGGCTCTGCTGAGGAAGGGTTTAGCAACGCTCCACATGCTCCATGCTTGTGTTTCATAGCAACCACGTACGGTATCCTCCTGCAAAATCATTTCAAGATTCAAGTTAATCCTCTACAAGATGATAAACCAAAACGTGGGAGTAGAGAATGTTATATTATATACCCAGAAGCGTCTCTCTGAAGACGATCAGCTCCCCAAGCAAGCAGTTTTCTGACGCAGTCGATAGATCCGCTTCTTGCTGCTAAATGAAGAGGTGTGCTTCCTGGAGACCTGTTTCAACAAAGCTTACAAGATTAGTCTCCAATGGATTGAAAACTTCTAACAAATGGATACGAGCTTCCATTACCCGTAGACGCTAGTCGATGCACAAACGAGAGAGCCGCTGTCTAATAAGACGTTAACACACTCAGGCCGTCTCTGCCGAGCAGCTAGATGCAACGGTGTTGCTCCTTTATCATCTCTTATGTTCACAAATCTCGCATATCCCCTGAAAAAAATGTAATCCCAGGTTTAATTTTTCTTGAATTTGATCAAAATGATCAAGAACGGACTAGAGAGACTCTCACCAATGAACAGCGACGGGACTTGACTGAGCAGAAGAGAGAATGGCTTGAACGCAATCAGCGTGACCGTAATACGCTGCGTAATGCAAGCATGTTCTTCGATTGGCGGAATCAAACATCAAAATCTGCAGATTTTCAACAGATTTTAAAAAAAATCCAAATCCCGAATATGATTGTTAAACAGGTCGAAACATTGAAAGATTCGTACATTAGCTCCAACTTCAGCGAGCTTCTTCACGCATGAGATCCTCCCGTACATCGCCGCCAACATTAACGGAGTCTGAAACAACCACCTCGAGAAAATCAGCTCAGAGAATATTCGTGGAAACAAAAGCAGATCAAAATGCGGAATCAGATGTTTAATTTCACCTGCTTGTGACGATTCAACATATCTGGATTCGTGAATCGTTCCAAAAGCAAGGACAAAATCTGCAAAAAGGGAGAAAAAATATATATAGAAACTTCAGAAATGCATCAGTGAAATCGAATCTAACAAGAGAAAATTTCAGAAATCGAATCTGAAACAAATTCCGGCGAGATTCCGGCGAGATCTCGGAGGAAACCACTAAAACTAACCTCGATCTGGCCACTAGCAGCAGCGACGTGGAGAACGGAGTGACGATCATAAGCAGTGGTCTGATGCAAAAGACTGGGATCCGCCGTCATCGCACGCCGGACAGTGACGATGTCGCCGCACTGCACGGAGGCGAATATCCCGTGCTCCGGTCTCGTTCCACAGCTCATGCTCTGCCCCATCTCAGCTTCTCTTAAGACACGCACGCGCACTTACAGCTCTCTCAATCGGCGACTAGAAGATGATGATTGATGAAGGTTAGGATAGGAAACACGACACCGTCTGCCACCGGTGAGGCGCTCCGCCGTGAGAATAAAGCGCCACCGTGACGCGGAACGGTGGTTGGCCTGTATTGGGCTTTGGGGATTCCAATGGGAGAAGAAGAGGGAAGTTTCACATTTATGTACACATTGATAGAGCCATTGGCATTGAGATATTAATTTTAAATCTTTTTTTTTTGTTTGGGAAAGTTAATAAACGAAAGAAAAAAAAAGAGAGACGGAGATAAAGAGAGACGACGACTATTGGGGGAGTTTGGGGATTGCCCGACGGTCAGCATTTTTTATCTGCCCGTGTCAGTTTGATTACAGTTACTCTTAGTCTATGATTTCGGGCAGCTTGTCAGATATTTTCTCTTTTTTTTTTTGTTCAATTGTGTTATCTCTTCTTCTTCTTAATCACAGAATTCTTTTGTATCCTAATATTCTTCTTCTAATTGTATTATGAGAATATTTCCATAATTATAACATTTTCTCTTATATCAATTTTTACGTATGGTATCTTCATTATAGTATTACTCTATTTTAAAGTGGGGTTTCAAGTGTTTGTTGACTAGAGATGGTCTGAAGATAAACTCATTTCTTTATCAGGTTTTACTTTAAAATACTTGTTTTCAATAACTAGTCTAAATTTTATGTGTTGCTAATTTTTATCTTCTACTAATTTTGTTTCAAGACCATGGTGCAAAAATGATTGTCTTCAATACAAAGATAATTTTTCTAGTTTTTTCTAAGAAAAAGTTGATTTTCAATCATTAGTGCATAGATTTCTGCAATAAAACTATTTTTTATAATTTTAAATCAATTAAAATCCAACAAATACAATCAATGTTTCTTGAAAACTGAAAAAGTGCATCAAAAAAATAAAAATTTAATCTTTGTGAACAATACATAATTGCTAGAAAATTCATCTTAAAAATTATGTGCATTCACTAAAAAGAATAATTTGAGATTCTTTGTATGTAGTTCTTAGAAATTTTCTGTATGAATTTGTTTTGATTTCATTTAAAAATTCATTATTCATTAAAAAAACATTCAAGTGAAAATTCAAAATTCTTGCTTAAACAGTAACACCACATGAGTGAATTATTTAAACATAGATCATTCCAAATGCTTATGCACGACCACTCAGATATTTTTAACCAAAAAAAAACTCTGAGATCCTTCACACACATGTATATAGTTTATTCAGCACATAATTATTTAGAACTAAAAGCATATAAATTCGTGGTGAATATGATATTAAAAGCTTTAGCAAAAAAAAAAGAAATTATGATACTAAAGCCAACAAGCACCCACTTGAATTTTTTTTTCTCGTCGGAGTCCAAGTGGCCGTTTGATGACTTTCGCTTCCCGATGTAGACTTCAACATCAGATGCTTGTTTCAGTTTTTTTTTTGGTTCCCTTAATTAATTTGTTTTCGTAAGTTAATTTTGACCTCTAATCAATGGTTGAGGTAACATGAAACCAAACATATAAAACTCTTATATTCTAATATAGTTGACCAAATTGTTATTTTTATTATGGAATAGTCGTAACAGCGTTTACTATGGATCCAAAGCGTGATGTGGCATGGGTAAGAACAAGTCCTTAATCATGTCTCGTTTTTGTATGCAATTTCACTTTTATTGTTTATGTGTATACTTTCTGGAGTGTCATGCATTGTACCATGGCGACATAACTTTTCGTGTGTCAGATTAGCATTTGTCATGAGGATCTTATTTCGTTTTCGGGTCCACCAATTTCTTTTCTTACGAATTACAAAATGTAATTAATTGAAATATGGGCACGAAAATAAAGATTCCATGTTTGGTACGTACAATACGAGTTATGAAATTAATCAATTATATACTTATATCCCATCCACGGAGTAACAAATACTGTAACACATTAATGTTTCATCAAAAAAATGACATTGATGTTTTCTACTATTTCCCTTTGTACACAATAAATGAAACAGTTATTTCTCCAACTATCATTAGATCCGTATTCACTTTCTCACTTTCTTGATTTGTTGTCTTAGGAAATTATATTTAAATCATTGGTTATATACATGCATTGATACATGCTACTTCTTAGCCATGGCACATTTTGTAGACTCTTTTGACAATTACAAGCACTTTGTTTCTATTTTTGACGCTTTGGGTATATATTTTTTTTTTGGTGATGTTTACATATTTTGTAATCATTGTAAATTTGAAAAATAGAAAAGAATAATGTGATTTCGAGTGAGTGAAGGTGAAATAAGTCAATAACTATTTCCACAGTCTTGTCATTTGATTTTTTTTTTTTAATTATCAACTTTTGATGTAAAAAGCACAACTTGCTCAGAAACCCTTTTATGATTTCACTATTTTTTTTTATACGATTTCACTATTCGTATGCATTTTGATCAAACAAATAATAATGATCATCACAGAAACGTCATGTCAATAGCTAAGTATCTCAGATCCATGTCGAAGCTAATAAAGAAGTGATACCATAAGGTCTATAACTCAACCTTTTGTTTTTGCATGATTTGATTTTATCCTCGTCTGTTATTATTATTTTAGGTAAACGAATAATCCTTCGAGAGTGATGAATAATATGTGGAAAAGTATTAAAATAACCGGAAAAGATAAAATAAAATAAAAAGAAAGCGTACGGTAGATGGAGTTGTTGATAAAATCAATCAAAGGAGCAGAAACATTTGGACTCAACTTTATGAAATTGTAAATCGAGACAAAATCCGAATAATAAATAATTGATCGGCACGCGAGCCTTGTCAGACTCCGACATTTTTCTCTTCTTTTTATTTTCACCGACATTTTTCTTACTTCCATGTCTCATTTATATACATTTGAACATTTCCCTTCGTTTTCTTCTTCTTCTCTTTTTTCACACTCTCGTGATTTCATTTTTCACCACCTTTGCTATATATACACTCACATTTGTACTTTTAAACTGGCTTAACAAGCTAAGTGGAATAACCTAAATTTCTCTGAAAATGTCATAATTGAACATTGCCATGAGTCATGATATTGCAAGAATTTTCACAAGAAAATAGTATCCTCTTACCAAGTATTTGTTAGTTTAGTAACAACTTGAGTATGTATTCGCAAAGTCAACGAAAGATCGTCCTTCAAATATAGCATTTTAAAATTTAGATTCTAACATTGAAGAATTCAAAGGATGAAATGCATGTACTAGACTGTTGGTTAAAAGTTTAGGTTGGTTTTCTAGCTATGCCACTATACCCAGAAGTAGATTTATGTATATCATATGCGTTTGAACAATATGGAATTATGTAATAACAAAAGTATAAACTTTATAGCCAAGCGGATTCATAACGTCAATGCAACGTAATTAACCAAAAGTATTGGATTTAAAAACACCTAACAAGGTATTGTCGATTTATTAATTAGCCTATCAAGTATCAAGTAAATGATATTCTTTGATTAGATATATAGTGAAAAAGTGTTAAACATATAAGAATTGTTCAATTTACCGGGATCTGAAGCTAAGTATACAATTGCAAACATCAAGAACTCTCTTTATTTTGTTGCAAAACTGTGTGGTGGATGTCGTATGTGGCAAGTTTTATGTTTAAAATAACAAAACCGAACGGCAAAAAGTGAAAAAAACACATATTCACATATTACAAGTCTTTGAGGTCGGCAAATCAGTCACCGATCGAACAAATACTAAGAAAAACACATTTACCCATATTTAATCGGATACGGCAAAACACTACAAATTAAAGATCAGTCTTCTTGTTGTTGGTGTTGTATAGTTCATGTAACAAACTGCATATTTGATAATACACTCTTTTTTTTTGTTAAACAAAAATATGGCAATAATTGACAATACACTTCGATATACTAAGACAAGTGTTCCACTAAATGAAACACACCGACGTAAATAACGTTGATTTGATTTGACGACGCTACATATATAATTTTGAGTAAATTAGAATTTTCAGATTCTAGTTGACAGTTTTACAATTACAGAAAGTATTATAAAACATGCTTTTCTAGACGTAAAGAAATCATCCAACTCGTTGAGTACGTAGCTGAAAAATTCTTAGGTTGTTAGCACAAGCAAGAGAGTATCAGAGAATACTATCACACAGATTCTATAACTTGTACGGCTTAATTACATGTGACATACCATAAAAGTTAAACTCAAGTGACATAAGATTCCACAAGATTCTTCTAAATATGATTAAGAGCCCGTTTTTGATTAAATTCAGTGTGATTGAATGTTAATCATATAACTTAAATTTAATAAATTACATGTTGTCTATGTAGGTCCAGGTATCTAAATGAAAAAGAAATTAAATTGGATCTAAATAGTGTATACTTGAAACATCTAACATACTTTAATTAACAAACATCAGAATTGAACACGTATGATGAATTTTCAAATAAGACTACTTGAAAATGCTAAAAATATAGTCTGATATAGATACAGTCTCCACCTAATATTGAATAAAATGGTGGTCAGAAATAACTAAGAGCCAGGTTTGTCCAATGGGAAGCCGGATTATGATGTGATTAAGATAGTTATTTAGATTTTCAATTGCTAAGTAGCTATCATGTACGTTTGTTTATACGCAATTTAGGTGGCTAAAAATGGTCTTTAGATGGAGATAGAAGAAGTATACAAAATCTATCTATATACTAAACTCTTAAAAGGCCCATAACTCCAATACTGTATTAAGCCCAATATATTATATGGGCGTTTCTCTATAGCCCAATATTTAACTATCTTCGTTATTCGGCCGGACAAAACCCGACCCGACCTATCCAAACCGAACCGATATTTATTTCCTGTAGCTGTTTTAGCCGAGCCGAGCCGTTTTCACCTATATTCATGTGTGCTCTCTCTCTCTCTCTCTAAACTCGTCATCGTCTTTCTCTCACTAGAAGTCAATGGAGAAGACGACTTCGTCCTCCAGCGACCTCCTTCGTCTTCTTCGTCTTCTCTGTTAATTTTTTTCCATACTTGAGTCCAACCTCGTGACTACATAATCTCCGCGTCGGAAAAAATGGCGAAATCAGAGAAAGCAGAGTTAGCACAGACTTTAATCGAATCAGTAAACGAGATCGCTTCGATTTCAGATTACCGTACGCCGATGAAGAAACACTGCGGCAATCTCTCCCGGCGGTTGAAGCTTCTTCTTCCTATGCTGGAAGAGATCAGAGACTGTAAAGCTCCGATCCCTGAGGAATTGGTGATGAAGGCGCTGTTATCTCTCAAGGAATCGATTGTTCACGCTAAGGATTTGCTTACTTTCGTTTGCCAAGTTAGCAAAATTTACCTGGTGTGTGAGTGATTTTCGATCTCCCTCTTTCGATTTTTTTTTCTCTTCCAATTGCGATATGTTTGGATTTTGCGATACTGATTCAATAGAGAACGAAATTGAAATCGAACATACCAGTTTTATCGTATTTAGGATTTCTAAGAACTGATTGCGTCCATTTTTGTTTCTACCTAGTGGTTATGCTTAGTGTTTGATACTATAATTGGTATAATTTTGGAGATTTGATTCTTTTGCCGTTTAGGTATTGGAGAGAGACAAAGTCATGCTTAGATTTCAGAAAGTGACAGCTCTACTAGAACAAGCTTTGACTGAGATCCCTTACGAAAATCTTGAAATTTCAGATGAACTTCAAGAACAGGTACGCAGAAACATTCTCTTGCTCTTAAATGGTCTTTCTACATTTTTCATTTACATTTTGCTTTCTTGTTCTTGAGCAAGTTAAGTTTCTACTTCTTGTAGGTTGAGCTTGTTCAAATTCAGCTAAGAAGATCAATAGAAAAAGGCGGCGATACGTTTGATGATGATGAGTTGTATAAGGATGTTCTATCTCTCTACGGTACTGTAACAGACTCTGAGATCCTCAGGAGAGTGGCTAAGAAGCTTCAGCTCATGACTATATCAGACCTTACGCAAGAGTCCTTGGCGCTGCTTGAAATGGTTAGTTCTAGCGACGGAGATCCAGGTGAAAGCTTTGAGAAGATGTCAATGGTTCTCAAGAGAATCAAGGACTTTGTGCAAACCGATAACCCTAACTTGAACGACGCTCCAATGAAGCAAAGATCGCCACTTTCTAAGTCACAAGATATAGATCAGAGTATTATCGCAATTCCGCCTGAAGATTTCCGTTGTCCGATCTCGCTAGAATTGATGAATGATCCAGTCATAGTCTCTTCAGGGCAGGTACTGTGGTAACATCATTTACATTTGCATGGTTTCTTGAAGTAAAAATTTCATTTCTTGATGGTTTCTCGTGTGATTCTTTTATATATAGACATATGAGCGTGAGTGCATCAAGAAGTGGCTTGAAGGAGGACACTTGACGTGTCCAAAGACTCAAGAAACGCTTACAAGCGATACCGTCACGCCAAACTATGCAATAAGAAGTCTTATAGCTCAATGGTGTGAATCCAACGGCGTCGAAGCTCCAAAACGTGTCAACAATTCTCAACAGAGTAGTAAAGCCTCAGCCTCATCATCCTCTTCCACACCTCCTACTGATGAACAGAGCAAGATTGAAGAACTTCTACACAAGCTCGCTTCGCAACGCACTGAAGAACAAAGATTTGCTGCAGGAGAAATCCGCCTTCTAGCGAAACAGAACAACCAAAACCGAGTGGTGATCGCTGCGTCAGGCGCGATTCCTCTTCTTGTGAATCTCCTTACTGTCTCTGATGACCCCCAGACGCAAGAACACGCCGTGACATCGCTTCTTAACCTCTCGATACTCCAAGAGAACAAAGGGAGGATTGTTTCCACGTTTGGAGCGGTTTCTGGTATCGTTCATGTCCTCCAGAGAGGTAGCAGCATGGAAGGTAGAGAGAACGCAGCTGCTACGCTCTTCAGCCTCTCGGTTATCGACGAGAACAAAGTGACGATAGGCGCCGCCGGAGCGATCCCGCCTCTTGTGACCTTGCTGAGCGAAGGATCACGGAGAGGCAAGAAAGACGCGGCGACTGCTCTGTTCAACCTCTGCATATTTCAAGGGAACAAAGGAAGAGCCGTGCGGTCCGGTTTAGTTCCGGTTCTGATGCGGTTACTAACGGAACCGGAAAGCAGAATGGTCGACGAAGCGCTCGCTATATTGGCGATGCTGTCGAGCCACCCGGAAGGGAAAATGGTGGTTGGAGCAGCTGATGATGCGGTTCCGGTTTTGGTTGGTTTGATAAGAAGCGGGTCGCCGAGGAACAAAGAGAACGCAGCTGCGGTGTTGGAGCATTTGTGTTCTTGGAGTCAGGAGCATTTGGTTGAAGCTGACAAGTTAGGGGTTTTGAGTCTTTTGATAGAGATGGCTGAGAATGGTACTGATAGAGGGAAACGCAAAGCCGCACAGTTGCTTAACCGGTTTAGCCGGTTTAAAGACCAGCAGAAACAGCCTGGTTGTGGTGTGGAAGATCTAATCTCTGTGATCTGAGTGTCTGAGTTTTAGGCTTTTAGGGTTTTGCGAGTTTACAGTTTTCTAATTTTTGAACAAACTTTACAGCACAAGGACAAGATTCTCTCTGTATCTCTCTCTACCAAATTCAACATTACATTCATAATTCATTCCCCTAAGAAATAATAAAACGAAATAACCAAGAACCTCACTTGTGGAAGAACAACATAAGCCAAAACTAACCAAGAACCTCACATGTTGACGACGTTTCATGGCCTTTGATTAGTTACTCTCTTGAACTGCATTTGAATTTCTTTTTAATAACAAACTAGGAGAAAGGGACTGGTTTGCATCTGTTACAAGTAGTTTTCTTGCTTATACAGTAAGAAATGGATTATTCCATACAAATAAGTTGGAGGGTGTGCTATGAACAAATCATAATTGAAAATGTTATACTTGTTGGATCTTTGCTGTGGAATTGAAAACAGACATATCTCTCTTTCCAAATTATTCTGTCTGCTAATTGCTAAACCAGCTATTTTGGCACATCTTCAATCCTCAACTTAATGTATTGGCCTGCTTATTGTACAAAATACAGGAAGACGAAGCAATGATAAAATTTCATCAAGTAGACCCAAATTCAAAGTTTTGTAATGTATTTGTTTTTCTTTCATCAGAACTTATGAATAAAACAAAAGTTGGGTGGCAACAAAGGCGTCGAAGGAAAATAAAATGAGGCTTTAAAAGTATTGAAATAGAGGGTTTTTGCATTGTATTACACATTATTGAAAGCATGATGAAACAGGAAAAATAGGATAGATAAACCCGATCCAGAGATTCACTGAGAATCCGGAGATCGGAGAACCAAACCCTAGAAGATAATCACTGAGGAAGAAGGATCATCTCGAAGAATGGAGATTGATGATGATGATGAACAGAGATTAGGGTTTTAGAAGATAATTGTATTTCTGATTGATTGATTCTCGTAATAGAGAAAGGCTTACATATAAGTGTTTGCTAAACCGAACCGAAATAAATAAATGAAATCACTAAACAGGAAATGAGGTGTGTGAAGTGTGAACCATAAAATTCTGTAACACATGAACTGACACACAATAGTTCAGTTAAAATATTATCTCGCCAAGTAACGAAAACCAGTGGGTCTAGTTCTATAGATTACTTCAAGACCATGACGACGCCAAATTTGTTCAATCCCCACCGGTTCCTGTTCATATATTCATACACAACTTCATGAATACTTCATACACCACCCAATATAAAGACTGAGATCAAGCTTTTCTTACATCTGTATTGTCATTGTCGAAGCGAACAAGAAACACACAGCTACATTTTTTGCAATCATGAACCTCTCTTTTGATATCCAAAACATGAGCATACAGTCAGACCCAATTAGTAGCCCATGTGACATGGCAACAAAGATTGTAATCGGGCATGACTGTACCGTGATGCTCATGTTTTGATATCAAAAGAGGAGTTCATGATCGCAAGAAATGTAGCTGAGTGTTTCTCGTTCGCTTAAGGATGAGTGAATCATTGCCTTGCAGATTTAGGGATATATACTCAATTTTTTTGTCAAAGACTTCTGTCAAACTGTTGTCTTGCAGCTTTAGGTATACATACTCAATTTTCTTCTATATAATTTAAAAGAAAATACCTAAAGTTGCAAGGCAACAGTTTGACAGAAGTCTTTGTGGAGAGATTGATCACCATACTCCTTATACAGCTTCTCCATGTCTACAATCTGCATAGAAGAAGAAGAAGAAGAGCATACATAACTAGGTTGCAATCCATGAAAATTCTAATCTAAAAAAGAAAAGAGACCTCCACCAAAGTAAAATCGGTGAAAGAGAGAGAGGAGCTATCGGTAGCAACATAGATTATTTGCTACTCTGCTACAAATGCCTTGGGAATGTGTCAATGTGCCTTTAAATGATTGGATTGACAGTGATGCGATGGGATGGACCCAAAATGAAAACAAATCTTCTATATGGCCTTCTATATAGGCCACATCCGATAATTCATGGAGATCTTGACATGTAAGGTATCTCATTATAAAAATCTTGCGCGTCGCAACAAAATCTTGACACACGATTTTTAATAATTTATAAGATATACTAACTTTTTTAACCTGAACCACAATGATTCAAGAAATCTTGTGCGCCGCAACGAGATTGTGACACGCTAATTTTTTATGATTTACTGGATTATACATGCATCTAATAAGGACATGTGTTAACAGAAAAAAAATTAAAAGGGTAATAATAGAAATGGAAAATTAATAAAATATTGTCAAACTAAATAATAATAAAATTTCCAAATGGTCCGATATTATAATTTCAATGATTTAATTTTCAATTTTATTACTTTTATTATTAACTAATAATAAAAAGTTTTTGATATTATAATCTTCAATAGTTTAGTTTTCAACTTTTATAAGTTTTATAAAAAAAAATTTAAGTCTCACATATTAACTAGTCGATCAAATGTAGATACGTATAAATTATTTCCCTGATTAAATAAAGATAAAAAAATCAAATTAATTTGTTTGTATCATGAATTCAAAAGAAGAAATGTATTGATTCTTATTCTTATTTTACTTAGATACAAGGTAGTTGTCCCGCACCTTGTACGGGTACAATATTTTTAAAATAGATAAATTAATTAAAGATTTAAATAATATAAGTAGTAAATTTTTGATTATATATATTTTTTGTTTTCCCCAACTTCTTATTTCTATAATTTTTATGTGTTTTATTTTTGTCTTCTCTTTCTTATTTTTCTATATAATCTTTTTCAATTCCATATTCGTTCTCATCACCTTTTTATTTTTCTTCTTCCAATTTTTTTTCTTCAATCTTTTCTTATATCTTCATATCTTCCAACTCACTACTCTCTTTTTTTCTTCCTAATTTTCTTTACATTTTTTTTTCGATTTTTCTTCTTCCTCATTCCCCCTCTCTCTATCTTTATCATTTTCGTCTTCTCTAACAATACATTATTCTAGTTTTTATCTATCTATTTCTTGTCTTTTTTTCTTCTTCACATTTCATTTTTTCTTCTTTGATTTCTTCTTCTCATGTTCGGGTTTTCTTCTTCTCCATTTGTTTAGAGAGATACAAAAGATTTCCCACTTCTTATTTTGTTCTCTTTTATTCTTCTCCAATAATGTCACCTTCTTCTTTTTCTTTCAGTTTTATATTCGTTTTATCATCTTTTTCTTTTCTTCTTCCAAGTTAGTTTTGTTATTCAATCTTTTTTTATCTTCATATCTTCCAGCTCACTATTCTTTTTTTCTTTCTAATTTTCTTTACATTCTTTTTTTTTCGGTTTTTCTTCTTCCTCATTCCTCCTCTCTATCTTTATCATCTTCATCTTCTCTAACCGAAATGTCAGTATGGTGTATTCATCTTCGATTTTTATTTATCTTTTCTTTGTTTTTTTTTTCTTCTTTGATGTCTTTTTCCTCATGTTCGAGTTTTTTTCTTCTTCTCCAAATTTCTCATCTTCTGTTTTACTGTTTTCTTTTCTTTTACTTGTGTTTTTATTCGTTCTTGTCTACGTCTTATATCTCACCTATTAATTTATTCGATAGTTTATATTTTCAATGATTTGTAAAATAGTTTTTATCTTTATATAGTTGAGATCTTTTAAAAATCTATTGGTTTTTTTATCTTTCCATTCTGGATTTGCTTTAATTGTTAATTTTTCTATTTGTGAATGTAATTTAGAAAGGGGAATATAAATTTATAATAAATGATTTTTAATTATGATATATTCATCCATTCAAATGTTTAAAAATGCACCAAAAACTAAACCCTACACGCATCAATATAAACCCTACATCCTAAACCCAAGCCCCATAATGTAACCCCCCCCCAAACAACCCTACACCCTAAACCCAAATCCCACAGTGTAACAACCCCCCTACACCCTAAACCTAAACCCCACATTATAACTCCCCCCCCAAAACCGCACACCTGAACTCACATTTTACAAATTGGTTCAAGATATGCTTTTAATTTTATTTTTATCTTTTTTCTTAAAAGATATTTTTGTTTTTGTTTTTAATCGGTAATGTATTGTATTCAGAATTTTTAAAATGCATCAAAAACTAAATCTTACGCCAATCAATATAAACCGTACATCATAAACCCCAACCCCATATTATCTTCTCTTCTTTCATAATTTTCTAACATTTTTTTTATTCTTATCAAACTTTCTATTCTCTTTTTATTTTCATCTCTCTTCATCGTCATCTTTTTATTTCATGGTTTTTTTTTTTTCGTTTTCTTCCTTTTATTTACAATTTGTTTTTCATTTAGATTTATGTTCTTATTCTTTTTTTTCTATTGATTTTTCCAACTTCTTTGTTGTTCACATATTCTTCATTTCGTTTCATCTTCTGTTTTTCGTCTTCGTCTTCCAACTTTCGTCTTTTCCTTATTATTGTTCAGGTTTTTCTTCTTATTTCATATTGCATTCTTCATCATTTTGTATTATCAATTTTTTTTTTTCAACATCTTATTTATTAGTTTCGTCTGCCTCTTTATTTTCTTTTATTTATGTTTTCTCATCTTCTCATATTTCATATTTTTGCTTTATTGGTTTTTCTCAATATTTTATCTTTTTCTTTCTCATACTTTATTTAATCTTATGCTCATGTCTCTTCCTCTCTCCCCCTCGAACATACCTTCTCGAACTCATCAACCTCAGGAATCGAAGGATTCAAGGAGAGCGTGGATGGAGCAATGCAATAAATTGTAACCTTGCTTGAAATCAGAATAAACGACTTTAACTTTATGTTTACAACACCTAGTATAAAATTTGGCAATCTAAAAATTGTTACCTGCTCGAATTTCTATTAGTCCCCACCTAATGACGCAGATTACAATATTATGTTTCACTCTCATCCATTCTTTACAAAACCTTATTGCATTATTCCCAAACAATACGCAGTCTAGATAAACATTGCTGTTTAAATTTTTTTTAAAATATACATTTAGATCATTATCAGAATAAGATATCACTATAAAGATCAAAGAATATAATTACAACCTTGAATTACCTTTGGTCACGGATTTGAAACTTGATGCTAGGATCGATACTATCTGCATCATAACTCCTCGGTTTTTCAATCACAGCCTCTTTCCAATAGTAGATTCACTTATATTGACAACCTCTCCTATCAAATCTTGTAAGAAAATAAAACAGTAAAAGAGGGGTTAGATACATAAACAGTTTCGAATATAAGTTTAACTATTCTTGAATATAATATACTTACCTACTAAATAATCATCGCAGTCTGAACGATCTATGATTTTTTCAAAATCAACGAAATTGAAGAAGTTTCTTACGCTAGCGAAAAAGATCTTTGTGATGATTGTTGTTGGCATCAAGTATATTCGATTTAGATGCCAAGTAGCTCTACAATGTCCTGTCTGAGTAGTGACATCGAAATTCTTAATGAGAATCCAATCTCCCTCGTTGACCTTGCAATCATAAGCCTCATAAACGGAAACATGCACAGTTGCTTGAATCTTCTCTCCCTGAAATATTTATAATACAATAGTTACAAAGATCACTAAGGTATCAATATTATCTATCATAGATTTTTTTTCGCTTTATCCGATACCTCTTCATCAGATAGTATGAGCTCTAATCTTTTAGCAGAAGTTGGGTGATCGTTTAGCCAAAAACGCAAAACTTTGACCAAAATTTCAGAATCGTGAGTCCTCGGCCCAAGTCCTGAAACTGTATACCTCTTCCTCAAGACCTTATCATACGTAAGAAGCTTCTTGTAGGTGCCTGATTCAACGTAACTACTTAAGATCTATTATTATTGATGAAGCAAATATTATGGATATTAAAAAAAAAAAAAATCATTATAGATTCGCCATTAGTATTAGGGTTTCATGAATAGATGTTCATACCTTCTATTGCTGGAGTTGAATATTTCGCTTGGGACCAAATCTGATCTTCTAGATTCCATTAGCTTGGAACTCACTGTTACAAAAGCGAGTGAAGAAGAAGTTAGAAGCGTATATATAGATGATTGACAGTATATAACAAATAATAGTTAATCATTACAGTAAATAGAACTTAAATCAAAGTAAAACAATAAAGATACATGAGAAGAAGAAATATGAGACCTAAGAACTAAAATTACGTATAGAAAGAAGATATGCAAATCGTAATGAGAATTGGGTTGATTATGCTTGTAGCTATCCCTATATATAAGACAGAGTCGGCTAACAAACCTAGGTTTTCCAATTTTTTATCTTTACATTTTTTTTTAATTTCTTCCATAAATGTGGCGAAATATGTTAGTTATATGGTATATATCCAAAAATAATTTAGGAAGAAATCAAAACCGTCGTCTTTTTAAAAAATAAAATAAATTCGTTTTTAAATAAGATAATAAGCAAATTGAAAGATTTATTCAAGATTTTCATTAAGGGTAGTTATGTAATTCCGAGGCTGAGAGTTAACGTGGTGCATCCATTCGAAATTCTGACTTCGCAAATAATAGTATGATTTCTTCTTACATAAATGCTTTGTATATGTGGAGATATAATAATTTTTGATTAAAATTCAAATATTTTATCCATGTCAAGAGCAAAAAAAAAATCGAGAAATAAACTTTTTTTTTTTTTGTTAAAGGAGAAATAAACTTATATAAATAAATGTAGTAATAGTTGTGATGGATCTTTTAAGATTGCACTAAATCAATGAGAGCCATGTGCATGGTTAAAACGTGCTTTTATATATATATATATAAATTTAAGATTGAAAATGATGTCAAATGGACTGGGCAATTTGAATCATGCACATGGTTCTAATTGATATTATGATATACACACATATATAGGCTCCGAATGGAGAAAGCGGATCAAGCATTGCGGATCAAGCGGATCAAGCGTGATAAAAGCGGAATTAGCGGATCAAGCGAATTGAGCAGATCACATGCGGATCAAGTGGTTCCAACAATTAAAAAATATGTTTGAATGGGAAAAGGGGATATAAAGCGTTACAAAACACTGTACATATTAGTAATAATTATATGAGATAGAAAATTATTATTTTATTTTGTATAATTAATAATAAAATTAGGTTATTTATAAATTTTAAACACAACAACATTAAATAAATATAAATATAAAAATTGTTTAGACATTAAATTCTCACTAATATATACAATATTATGTTTTATTTATTAATAAATTTTAGATTAGTATAAAGTTATTAATTTAAAATAGTTATTATCATAAAAAATTATTAAGTATTTTATGTAATTTTTTTTAATATAATTAGTTTAATGCATATATAATATTATTGTAATATTGGATAAAATAAACTGAATTATTAAATTAAAGCATATTGAATTAATGGATATATGTATAATATTATTTAATCACAATATAATGGATGATTTTATAAAATTGTATATAGTAATTTGAACCACTCCCAAACGGGAGAGTAACATATGTACCACTTGTGTTGAATGGGTGAATATGCTGCGGACGATATACACTCCGTATGCTCTGTCAGTGGCCTGTCTTTTATCTAGGGGTGGGCACAATTCCCGTCCCGTCCTGTCCCGTCTCGTTCTGTTCCATTCCCAATCCCGAATTCCCGTACCCATATGGGATGTGTAGCTGATTCCCATTTGGGAATGGGACGGGACGAGACAAGAACGGGAATTCCCGAAATCCCATTTGGGACAAATTATATATCACTTACATATATTAATAATAGTATTATACATAATTAGATATATATTATATAGCTTAGATACAATAATTTGTAAATATGGTTTCATAACTCAAAAGATTCAAAAGTATTAAGCATTATCTTTATTTATGATTATTAATTTGAGATTTGAATTTTATGATTAAATTTTGAGATTTGAATTTTTTTATTATTAATTTATCATATTTTATTATTTTTGGAATTCCCGTCCCCTTCCCGTCTCGTCTCGTCCCGTTCCCGTCCCGTCCCAAAATTTAAATGGGACACATATGGGACAACTATTTTGATTCCCATATTCCCGTCTCATTCCCGTTCCCGAAAAGTCCTGTCCCAATTTCCCGTTTGCCCAAAATTTCCCATTCACAGCCATAGAGTCGTTAGCTAGCATAGCAGTATAGCACACAATATTAGACTAATCAGTACTAATCACACACGCAATCATATACATGAATAGGAGTTAACCCTTGACAAGTGGATACTTAACAAATTGACACATGACAAAAATTTTAAAGAGAACAGTCTCTTCACATTCTTGGTAGTTGCAGTTATTACACTCAAGTTTTTCAAAACCGTCAGTTGTTTCACTTTCCACATTGCATTAACACTATATTAACACTCAATTGATTAACATGGGACATGACTTTTCCTTTTCTTTCCAATTCATAATGGAAAATCTTATTTATTTGCTGAACATTTTAACTTCAAAGCTATTACTCCAATGCTATTATTCTTAAGTTTCCATGCGTGAGTCATTATTAAACATCTAAAATTCTTCTAATATATAGCGAACGGATTCAATAAAGAGCATGGCGGGAAATCAGAGTGGCGGTGCATAAACAAAGAGAGCTGAAAGCACATAGACATGTGGTATGATACAAAAATATATATATGAAAGCCAGTCGCTAACTAAACAATTTGGAATTAAATAGCAGATATTATTTAGATTAGAATTTATAATATTCATCGCAAATCTAAAATTGTTTTCAAACATTTTAAAAAAATTATAACAATAGAAAAGCCTACGTGCGGGCATTAGTCTAGTAGATACTCCCTCCGTTTCATAATAAGTGTAGTTTTGACTCTTCACTTACCAAATGTATCTAGATATTAATGGATGTATTAAAACTTAAACACATCCAGATACATCATTAAATAGTCCAGATTCATTTTGTCAAAAAGACAATTATTATAAAATAGAGGGAATATAAATTTATAAAGTACTGTAATCAATGAAACACAAGTAACTGAATTCAGAAAATTAGGTCAAAACGTTTGACCCAAACAAAGGTTACTTAGTCATATGGAGCAAATATCCAAGCGTAGTAGATTACTTAATTATATACATAAGTGCAGCTTCTCTTTATTTGTTCTGCATTGTAATTAGTACTCTCTCCGTTTTAAATTAGTTGTCGTTTTGACAAAATGTATCTACAAATATTTGGATGTATCTGTAATGCAAAACACGTCCAGATACGTCCAAATATTTACAGATACATTTTGCCAAAACGACAACTAATTTAAAACGGAGGGAGTAATTAGTTACTAACGACTCTTGTAGTTGTCATTACCAACTGCCATGTCTCATTTTTTTTTCCATCTAGTTTCCATCGAAATTTTAAATATTAGAATGTATTTGCGGGATGGGATTGTTGAATACAGAACTGACAGATATCAAGAGATCCCGAAAAACAAAGCCACAACTAATCTAAATCCAAGACAAGAATCGAACAAAAGCAGTTTAATCCGAAGGCTTTAATGACCCTGCTTGTAAAACCGCCAAGTTAAACACCACATATATTTCTTAAGCAGTTTCATATATTTCTTAGATCCATGCATCTGTAGAAAATGAAATATATCATATACTTATAAATACTTCCAATAAAATCTCTAGACTTTCAACATATTAATTAAGAAGTTTCAATTGAAAAAAGTAATTTAACTATAAGTTTTTTTTTGTTGTTATCTCCCACCCTATTTTATTGGTAACCAGAGGAGGTGGAGAAAAAATAAACGAATAAAGCCAAAAAGAAACAATCTGGCTTGACCTGTCAAAATGTAAGAGTACCAATCAGTCTGATTCTTCTAAAGAATACATTAAGCATGAGATCGATCGACTACTTCAAAACTTCACACACCACCCAATATCAATACCCGGGGGACAATTGGTACTCTATGTTATTGACTTATTTCATATGTTTATTTCATATGTTTATTTAAAAAACAGCAAACGCTATGAAACTAAAAATTAAAAACAACACACTTAGAAACATTATTCATATGTAAAAGTAAAGGTTGTTTTATCTTTCCCCATAAATTAAAGCGAAGGGTTTTCACAAGTGTACGGAATATTAATACTGGAAAGTAAAAGATTTTAACGTGGTACGTACATGCATCTACTGATCTACATATGCAAAGATCTTTATTAAGAAGACTGACAAAGAAAAAAGTAAAAGCTCCTAAAAATGTGAGAATTCTAAGCTTTTTGGTAATTTTAAAACTTTACTATCTATAGAGAGACACGGAATTGTATGATTAAATTTGTCAGTCTGCACCCTTTTACTTTTACGAATTATCCTATTGGTCCCATGAAATTATTTCTTATATGAACTTTGAAAGAGAAAAGCAATGATAAAAATCTTAATAATAATGCTGATTGGTTCTCACGTACTCTTAGAAACCAAACCCATAACCACAAAAATTCTTAGTTCACCAGAAAAAACAAATAATATATAAGACACAAATCTGTTAGTTATTATTGTATGAAAATAGGACTGAAGAGTACGAATTTAACAAAACACAAACTCTAGACACTCACACATCTAACAAGTTCATAATCACACAAAACGATTACTTCTTCGTCACACCTGATTCTATATGCATCCCATGACCATACGATGTATACCAAACCGATTCTAATATACCTTTTAAGTTTCTCTCCATGCATTGACGATCTCCATGAATGATCCGCCGGCTATGAAACATTCACATTTGGTGGTGGTGGTGCTGATCGTTTGAAGAAGAACCGGGGAGACCCAAACCGGTCCAATATTGATTGGACTGATTCCCCGGATATGTCAAACCCGAAACCGGCCGGCTTATATTGCCCAAATGTGCTTCTTCCTTTTTCACCGGAGCAGTTTGAGAAACCCTAGAAGCCCCAATAGAAACTGATGAAGAAGACAAGCCCATATTGTTGCCCATATTGCCCTCATTAGGCAAAGAATATAATCCCATGGTTCGGTCGAAAAAGGCAAAGTGGCTCGCTGATCCAAGAGAAGTCATAATGTTATTCTCGCTGTTGTTATTGTTGTTGTTACCCATGACCAGACCTGAAGAGTTAGCTCCATGAAAAAACCCTAAATCATTCAAGAAGCTTGAACTAGTGTTACCGTTTCCACCATTATTTCCATTAATGGCGGCTAAGTTTAAACCGATGCCACCGAGTTGAGTGAGGTTCTGTAGAGTGGGAAGAAAGGGGAATTGGCTATTTGTTTGGAGCTGGACATTACTAGTAGTTGTAGGGCTTGGAGCGTTGACCATAGACGTTGACTGCTTGTTCTGTGAAGAAGAGGAAGACTTTGAATTTCCGGTTTTACCCTTCTTGTTCCTCCGGCAGCCACCACCGACGGGTACGTTCCTCAAGGCGCCACCACGTGTCCAGTAGCGGCGGCAGGCCTTGCAGAAGTGACGTGGCTGCGTGAGGTTGTAGTTGTTGAAGTAACAAAACTTGGTGTTGGCTGAGTCGCATCGAGGGCACTTTAAGGCTCCCTCCGGCGGCTGAGGGTTCTTTGCTAGTCTTGCTCTTTCAGCCGCGGATCCATGGATATTGGGCGGATCAACGGTGGAGGCGGCTGCCGTGTCAACATGGTGGTGGTTAGGGTTAGGGTTTGGTGGGAAGTGGTGAGAGAATACTTGGTGGCCACTGACTAAACTTCCACTTTCTTGTAGCTGAAGATGATGAGGATGATTAGGATTATTATTCGGATTCGCAGACTGCAAACATTAAACACACAAAAGGAATTCAATCACATAATATACTATATGAAAAGAAGAACCAGACAAAACTTAAAATCAATCTTTGTTTGATTATTTGTTTTATTTTATTTTTACAAGAAACCTATAGTATGTATTTTCCCTATATATAGGTGGGATTATAATGCAATGTTTTGGAACTTTGAGAGAAAAAAAAAGAGACTAAAGATGAAGGAAGATGAGAATAGGAATATATCTTTTAGAAAATTGAATCAAAATTTTTAATTTAAGAATCAAAACAATCAGTGAGGAATTTTAAGAGAGCTCAAAACCACACACACAAAAAAAGAGAGTAAAGAAAGTGATGATAAGATAATGGAAGATCCAAGAACCTGTGGCCAGTTAATTGGTGGATCTAAAAAGCTTGAGACGGATGAGAAAACCATTGTTCTTCTTCCTTTTATCTCTTTGTTCTTCTTTCCTTTAATAAAGTTTGATGGATCTTTAAAACTCAAAAGAACAAAAATGGTGGGAGAATCAAAGTAAAAACGAAAGAAGGGAACCAAAGGCTAAAGAGAGATGTGAGGAGAGCAGAGAACCAAAAGGGAAAGAGGGAAGATAGGAGTTTAGAGAGAAGAGGATGATAGAGAAGGAGCACAAAGATAAAGCGAGAACATAATGCTTTTTTAAACATGGGTCATGTTCTTATGCTTTATTTCTATTGTGTATAATTTCCACTCTCATGCATTTATTTGTATTTTGTATATGCGTAAGTGTGTGTAGAATATACAATTATAAATATATTATTTTGTTGTGATTCCCTTTTTAGGGTTTGAGTGGGGGAACTTTTCTTCGCCTATAAGGCTCCCTCTGTCGAATAATTAATATATATATATATATATTTTTTTCATATGATTTCGAAGGTCTGAGTATGAAGAGAAAAGAGGTGTATATAAGTTGGAATAGTAATCAAAATAGTTCTAAAGACAACCAAAAGACGTTTAATTACTTTGTAAATATATAAGTTAGTTTTACCTTAATTGTAGGATTTTCAGTGATGTCAAAATAAAATACTACAACTATTTCAGTTTTGTCTTGTCACAATGTATATATTGTTTGGGGAGAATCCAGATTTTAGTGGTAAGAAGAATTTGGGAAGAAACTGTAACAGTTAAGTTCAGTTTTTCACATAGCAGTCATCTTTTTGGTCTACCTTGTCAATGGATCTATGGTCTAGCTAGTGTTTTATAGTTCGGCATTTTTGGTTTTTTTTTATAATCAGAGGGTGATTCGAGCTTTAATTTAACACCCGACTAATCTCCCAATTCCCAAGGGTGAGTGTAGCCTACTCATCGGGTTTTCTAATGGGTATAATTCAGTATTTTTATGGTTATGATGTCCGAAAGTTGGTTTAGCTACAAAGGAAAAATGGGTTTTGGATCAGTTTAAAAAGAAAATCTAATTACTTTTACAATATTCTTCTGAAATTTCTAAACAAAAACAATACCATTTGAAAAAGATGAAATTTTAAAATTTTAGTGAACTGGTACATTTCAAAGCAAGTCAAAGTAAAGAAGTAATAAAGTATTTCTCAGTTCAATTATGAATTTATAATGGAGACAATAATAGTTAGTTTTTCGTATGTATATTTTTTTTGAACCCAAATTTAATGACTAAAATGCATTGCCCCATATGTAAAGCAAATCGTCAGCTTTCTGTTTGGAACTTTTGGTAGGAACTTACTTATAAGTTATAAGTTACAGTATAATGCAATGACTAATAAAATAAACTATGAATAAATAACCGGCTCTGTCCTCTCATCTTTGAATATGAGTCTTAAAAACCGAGAAAAGGAACCTGCAGGGTTTTATAAAAGCACAAATGTCCTTTGTTTAAGTAGTTAAAAAAATGAGTATGAAACCTACAATCCGACCTTTAACAAAAAAAAATAGTATATATGAAAGTGACGATATTTTGTTAACAAAAATGTTGTTTTTAGATCTCCCGATAAAAAACCATCGCCGTGAATATTAAAACCATGTAATAAAGGAAGACGAGAACGACAAATGAGGGATAAGGCTACTCTTGCCCCACAAAGATACCCTAATTAAGCTTTCATGATTACGGATCTATATGACCGATAATGAACCCTATTAAGCGAAGTTAACATATACTTAACCATCAACGTACATTTATATTTAGTATTTACATAGCTAGCGCTTTAAAACTGATAATTAATTGTGAAAAACTCACCAGAAACTGATATTTTAACGATACATCCATGTTTTATATCACTAAAAGACCTAGAAAAACTCAAATCATTCAAAATCATTGGTTCAGTACGTACGCGATGTGTATTTGCTAAATGCAATGTAAATAGAAAATGTTATAGTCACTATGTAAAACTGTAATACTAACCTCTTTTCTTTATTTCAATAAATATAAACAATTTTCTCAACAAAAATGACTGAATCTTCTTAGAATGGAGCTAGATTAACTTTATTCCGTATCAAAAGACGGAAAGAAAGGAAAAAGAAGCATGAAAAAGATGAAACTTTTATTTTTATGGCTCAACTTTTATTTTTATGTTTAAAGAAAAGAATGATCTTGCAAATTGTCTCTACATTTTAATCCACTCTTTATCTTTCCCCCTATATAGATTTCCTTCTCACGTCTTTAATAATTAGTCGTTTTGAATATAAATGCTAGACATCTTTTTCAGAAAGAGACTGCCAAAAATGGCGTATATGTTGCATTATTACCCTAAAAACAAATGATCTTAACGTTGATGCATGTCATCAGCCACCCTTTTCATATGCCCACTTATCTCTTATGTTCTTATCCATCTTCGTTTTGTTTTTTCCTATTTTTATTCCTTTTGTTTTACTCTGATCAACACATAAATTTTTATACAAAATAAATCCTTCACACAATTTTTTTTCGTGAAAAAACACATGACTTCTAAATTTCGCTAGTAAAATGAAACATTATAAATTTTTGAACTTTTTCATTCGGAAGTGTCTGATTTTTGCTTAACGATTTAGCAGCCATTAGAATTTTGATAAATTCTTTTCTATTTTTTTTTGGGTCCAAATTAAGTCAATGCAAAGTGAACTAATTCTTAAATTACGAGCTTCTTTTTTCGGCCAAACATTCTTTAGAGTCTTGATTACGAATGCAATATGACTACGTTCTGTCGTATATCGCTTTCAATTATAATTTTGAATATTCGTCATCATTTCTCAATCATTAGCTTCATCTGGCCAAACAAATTTTGATAATTACCTTTTAAAGAACTGAAATGTGGTTTATATAATTTATACCCCTCATAACTTGCTTGAGTACATATCCATATTCGATGAAGACCGAAGTCATGCAACCAGAGTATATATATTCTGAATGATCCGTGCATACTAGTCTTTAATTTTTAAAATCATTTTTTCTTGTACATCTTTACATATATTTAGGATTTTGTTTTGGAGAAATAATTTGTATTTAGTTACAAGTACTACTCACTAGGGTGGATAACATTACTGGGTAGCTAGAACTTTAAATGTCTTAGGTTCCTCACTATACATATGATATCACAAAGGGTATCTTTAGAACAATAGAAAGCCTTTCCCAAAAACTATATATTTATTTTCAAGTGCGGTAACACTTAACTCACATTCAAGAGTTGGATACATGTTTGCAAGATCTATCTCTGAATACTACATTAGTATTAGCAGCACTTGCAGTCACTTAAATGTTTATAAAATATAGCAATTAAGAACCGTATTATGGCTCTCTCATTAAGAAGTAAAGTCCGGCCTCATCAACTCTTTTTGTCGTCGAGCTAACATTTTTAGGGAATGTATTTGTATGTAGGATCTCGGTAAAGGTTTCAGATTAGTTAATTTTTCTTTTATTAAACTACAATAAAAAAAACGTGGAAGAAAATGATAGTGACAAGATATAAAAGTAAAGAAGGGTGGTGGTGTGAGAATCAGATTCGATGTCAACTAATTGAAAGGGAGCAAGCAGCTTTTTGTTCACAGTTATATATTTGTGGAAAGCTTTACCCATTTGCCACACATTCACAAAGCATTAGAGGTGGGATTTTGTCGTAACAAAAACTAATATATTAATTTCGTTGCAATTAGGTAGCAAGATTTATATATCTCTTTAATTTACTAGTAGTATTTTTCTTGTCGATGGGTCAATGTTCATTTATCCACTTTTTTTTTTTTTTTTTTTTTTTTTCATTTTGCTGTAACGAAGGCTAGATATTTTCTAATCTTATATATAATGAGAGAATAACTCTCTCAAGTTGAATGACACCTGACATCTCTTCATCAAAAAAAAAACATAAATGTTTTTAACTCTTCATCTTTAGGGCCGGGCATGAATCGGGTACCCGGGACTTTTGCCTTACCCACGACCCGACCCGCCTTGCACAGGTAATAAAATCCTGGCAAAATTTAACTTGCAACACCTAAACCAAGTATAAAACATAAATTTTTAATTTTGTTTTGGGCTTAGAATTCTATTCCCAAAAGTAATGGGCATTAGAATTTAGTCCAATATAGTGCAAATGAAAGGAAGTCACATTTCCTATTTATAAAGAAAAAGTTAGCTTCTATTGTGTGTATGTTTCGATGTGGGACAAAATAAAAAAAGGGAAGGAATACAGATTTTTGTCCCACATCGTTTGTATCATTAACAGAAAGTTTCAATCACTACTATAAATATACATCTTTAAAAACAAGTCGTATCATGTTTTCAAATCTTTGAATAAATAGAAAAAAAAAGAAAAAAATTATTTGTTTAAAGAACTGAACGGGACCCACATTCCAAAGACAAAGAACACAAAGGCGGACAAAAATTCAGTTCCACCGGTTTTGCTTCCCGAACCGTTTTAGGAACTTAGGCTGTTGTAAAAAAAAAGAAAAAAAAAAGAAAAAAGAATTGAACGGGTCACTCTCACGGGTCAAATAGTTAAATTTTTTATCTACTTGGTGTTAGCTTTGATGGGTTCTTGTGTTTTAGTGATGCTGATCAAAGGTGAAGACGTTTATTTAATGAATCAAAATTATGGTGAAATCTGGGTCTGTCGTTAAGCAGGAAGAAGACAACAGCTACGACAACGTCACTCAAAATTTTGCAAATTGTATCAGAGTGACGGAAGCAAGTTTGCAAATTTTCTGGATCTGGGGAGACGGAACGAAGAGGGAAGAAGAATGGTAGAACTCGAGGAAGATGAAACGTTCTTGACTTCAATGCAAATTACGTAAAACAAATTTTTTTTGACCTTTTTTTTCTTAAGTGGACAGGTGTTCTTCTCTTAAATTCCAGAATTTGTTGTTATTGGTGGAATATCCACCTTGGTCTACCGATGTAGCCGGACTTGTGATGTTCGACGTCCATATCTACGTGGCAAAGACACGAGAGAGTTTTTTGGTTTCTTCTGTACTTTTGTTCTTTGCTTGTTTGGAGAGAGATAAGTGTAAGATAAATTAGATGCACATTGTCTATCTATATATATATATATATATATATATGGAAATGCCATTGTAATATATGAAGATGACGCCATAAGTAAAAATGTATTAACTATATGATGTTACATTAGAACGTTTTATAATGCTTATACAATAATCATACATAGCTCATATTTCAACTTTTATATTCTTATTTTTCATTCAATTTGGATGCAAGTAATATGAGATCCGATTGAAATTGACCAGAAAATATCTTTTTGAAAAATTATATTAGAAATCTTATTAAAAAATATATTTATAATGTCTAAATAATCCATAATTCGGATAATATGGGGTATCTGATTTCATTCAGCTATTACCTAATTTCCATGGGTGTCAAATATTTATTTAATGAGTGATTTACTATATACCTAAAATCAATTGGGTAAGAGTATTTTGGGTCTGTATGGTTCAAATTTTTAGGTATAGGTTAAAAGTCTTAGGCAAGAAGCAATATACATTTATATTTCTACCGCGTTAACATATTTGAAAAAATATAAGAGAAAATATTTACAAAATTTAAATGACAATTAAAATATAAGTAACAAAACTTTGTAATAGTCACAACCCGCGCATCGCGCGGGCTTAGCCCTAGTATAAGTAAAACAGATGATTATTTAGTTCAAAACCCCAAGAAAATACTATAACAAAATTATTATAAAATATTTTCCTAGCTATATGTATACTAAACTTTGTTCATCGATATTTTTCCAACATTAAATTGTGTTAAATGGAATGGAATAAACACATTATTTCCCATTCTGATGATCTTTGTTGCCAAACATACTCAGGGAAGATAACGCTATAAGGCCCAACAAACAAACTGTACTCTTCCTTCATATTCTACACGCAAGACCAAAACTAGTGGTGTTAAACAAAAAGCAGCGGAAGAAGAAATCGCCATTGAAAGGTTAATACCTCATTAACAGTTACAGAAATGGAAATTTCGGCATCTCCATCGCCATAAAAATCATGCTGAGAGATACATTGTCGTCAAACTCGAGATTTGAAAAATTCCTCCGTCAAGATCTAATTAGAGATTGTTAAGTGAAGAAGAGAGAGTTTAAGAAATGTCCAACATCGGTTACGTTAAATAAATGCTATATATTTGATATTTCCATCTCCTTATTACAGATGGGGTTTATATATTCCCTTACAACAACCACCTAAAGATAACTTCAATTTTGACTTCTCAAGTAACAGTTTTTATTTCTGCATTCACACAAATCTTATTTACGAACAGGGGCAGATCTAGGTAGAGTGGAAGAGGTCAGTTGACCTCCACTACTTTTATGAATATTTAATTTTACCAATATTTGTTATGGGTTTGTTGGCTAATTTAGTTTAAATATTATCATATGACCCTCTTATCCCAAGTTCAAATCCTCATATGACCCATTTGTACCATTTTTTTAATATGTGACCGTGGTTCAAAACAATCCTAGCTCCGCCATTGTTTACGAAGTTTGGGTTGATTGTTTGGTTTTAAAAACAACTAGGTTTGAAGCCCCGGCAAGGGCGGGGTTGTTTGCAATAGTTTTATTTATACTTGTTGATTTGAATTGTGGTGGTTTTTTTTTAACTTTTATATTTTTGTTATGTTTTGAGTTAACCCAACCACTAACACTAAAAATATAAAAATATGAACAATTTGTATTTTTTATTTTATTTTATTAGGATATTAACAGTCCACTTTATCTCGAGTTTTCTAGTTCTAAAATTTTAGCAAATTATAAATATTATGTTTGTTTACTTCTATCAGACTATAAATATGCATATGCATTTGACTCAAAATTAAAATTTATATAATAAAGTCGAATTATATCACATAATCAACTCATACCTTAAAATTATGGCACATATTAATTTTTAGAGTGATGGAATGCAATGTACAAAGTTGACTCAAAATTTTTTTGGACAAACGAGATTATATTCAGATAAACGGCTCAACCACCATTAACAGCAGGAGAAAACGAAGGTAAATCAGCCTCAGATGTTGCCAGCTCTAGGTACAAAACAGAAGGCAATAGAAGTAAAGGAAGCCTTTAAAGACCTAATATCCAGGGCCGGCCCTGAAATTTAGGGGGCTCGAGCTAATAAAGGAGGGTTTTTAGATGTTTAAAAATCTGGGGGCCATTTACTGAAAATTAAATAAAATCAGGGGCCTATTTTCAATACTATTAAACCAACAAAAAATGAGGGCTGAAACAAATGTTTCATGTGGCTGTGCACAAGGCCGGCCCTGCTAATATCACATAAGAGGCCGTAGACTTCATTTGAGTGACCACTGGAATTGAGGAGGAGCACGAGTTCCTGACAATCTGAGAAATAGATCAACTTTCTGATGTCAGCAGCTCTAACTCTCGCGGAAAGAGAGAAAGTTAATAACAAAGATGACTCGGTTATTAACTTGATATAAGTAATAAAGTCAACATTTAAAATAAGAGAGAGCAAAAATTAGCTGAAAGATTCAAAATTCAAATGTGCAAATCAGTAAAAAAAAACGTTACCAAAAGTTAATCCAGGATTCATAATTTTTGGTTTAGTAAAGAAAAATGCTAAATTATTTTGGTATATGCATCGAATTCAAAGCTATTGTCTTCGAAGTAGTAATCGAGCCTGTTGAGTTATGGATTGGATGGGCCTAAAACAAAGTCCGACCCATAGACGGTACCGATATATTCCACGTTGGATACACTGCCACGTGGACTTTAATTATTGGATGCAATCTCCACCATATGAAAAAAACGCCCACGCGCGATCACCAGCTTCGTTCCATTTTTTATGTTCCATTTTTATTTAAAAAAGACAAATCCATAAAATTTTAAAAATAAACAAATTAAATAAAAAATCTCTATCTTCTCCTCCTCTCATCCTCTCTCAGGACCTCCAATGGCGAGAGTTCTAGTCTCGTCTCCATCTTCGTTCTTCGGTTCGCCTTTTATTAAACCGTCTTCGTCTTCTCGTCACGGCGGTAACGGAGGAAGCGTTCAATTCCTTCCATACCGGAGTAGTAATAAGCTCTCCACTACCGTACGATTCAGCTTGAACGAGATTCCTCCTTTCCATGGCTTGGACTCATCGGTTGACATCGGAGCGATTCTCACCAGAGCGGAGTCTATGCTTTATACCATAGCCGACGCCGCCGTCGTTGGCGCTGATTCAGCTGCCGTATCAACTGATTCCGCCGTGCAGAAGAGTGGTGGTTGGTTCGGTTTCATCTCCGATGGTATGGAATTGGTGCTTAAGGTAAGTCTAAGCAGCTAATTTGCCGATCCCAAAGTTCCTGGAATTGTTCTGTAAGCTTAAGTTTCTGCTTTCGATTTTCAGATTTTGAAGGATGGACTCTCGGCTGTTCATGTGCCGTACGCTTATGGATTTGCGATTATCTTGCTTACGATTATCGTCAAAGCAGCGACTTACCCTTTGACAAAGCAACAAGTGAGTAGTATTTGCTCTTCTACTGATCATATTGGCATGTTGAATTGGAATTTGACAACATTTCTCAGTAGATTATGCTCTTCTTCTTGTCACTTTGACTCAAATGTTTGAAAATTTTCAATCCTGTTACTTCATGTTGGCATGCTGAATGCGAATTTGAGAACATTTCTCAATGGATTATGCTTTGTTTTGTGATTCATTGGCTTGGAATATTTGATTGTGTAGGTTGAATCGACCATGGCGATGCAAAATCTTCAACCGAAAATTAAAGCCATTCAACAACGTTACGCAGGCAATCAGGTAAAACTTTCTTGAGCTAGAAATTGAGTTTCTCTTGCTTGAATCTTGATGAATCGAATCTGACTGTTTGTGCTTTTGTATTTAGGAGAGAATACAACTAGAGACGTCACGTTTGTATAAACAAGCTGGTGTAAATCCATTAGCAGGTACGTTTTCTACAAATAATGCTTTTTGCAAGAACTGGTTATATACCTCAATTGTGGCTAAACAAATGATAATATCTTGTTGTTGTTGATGTTAGGTTGCTTACCAACTTTAGCCACCATACCTGTTTGGATTGGTTTATACCAAGCTCTCTCCAACGTCGCCAACGAGGTGCATGATATTGCCTTTTGTCTCTCTGTAAAGATTAAAAAAAAATTTGAGTTGATTGAGTTGGTAAAGTTGGCTTACGTTCTGTTTATGTGCATGTTCTATATTTGTGCTAAAAGAAAACGTTTTACTTGCAGGGACTCTTTACAGAAGGATTCTTTTGGATTCCCTCTCTTGGTGGACCAACAAGTATAGCTGCTCGGCAAAGTGGCTCCGGCATATCTTGGCTATTCCCTTTTGTGGTAATGAGAGAGAAATAACATGAGCCTCTATGTTGAATCTTGGTGTGTATCAATTTGGTTATTCTAATATCTTTGGGATGTGGCAGGACGGTCATCCACCATTGGGATGGTACGACACCGCCGCGTATCTTGTTTTACCTGTTCTCCTTATCGTCTCTCAGTATGTGTCAATGGAGATTATGAAGCCTCCTCAAGTGAGAGAAATAGACCACACAAAAAGCTTTTATCATCACTTTGATATGTTGTTACTTGGCTTTAAGAATCTCAATTTCATTTTCTTTTTTGTTGGCAGACTGATGATCCTGCACAGAAGAACACACTCCTTGTTTTCAAGTTTCTTCCACTCATGATTGGTTACTTTGCATTGTCCGTCCCTTCCGGATTATCTATCTACTGGTTCACAAATAATGTACTTAGCACTGCGCAACAAGTATGGCTGCGAAAACTCGGCGGCGCGGCGCCTGCAGTCAACGAAAACGCGAGCGGAATCATAAGTGCGGGAAGGGCAAAGCGATCTATTGCTCAGCCTGACGATGCCGGCGAAAGGTGAATAATGCAATCTCTCATTTCTAGTTTTGTTTTTGTTTTTACAAGTTTGTTATTTGAATGATGTATTATTGTGGATGACAACAGATTTAGACAATTGAAAGACCAAGAGAAGCGGAGCAAGAAGAACAAAGCGGTTGCGAAAGATTCTGCTGAACCGCTAGAGTCTGAATCAGAAGAAGGGTCAGATGATGATGATGAGGTAAAATAGTTTTCATGAAACTAATTATGGTGAATGATTTGATTAATTTAACATTACTTATAAGCAAGTGGTTGAAACAGGAAGAAGAGGTTCGTGAAGGAGCGTTAGCTTCAAGCACAAGCAAGCCACTTCCTGATGTTGGCCAACGAAGAAGCAAAAGATCGAAGAGGAAACGCACTGTATAGAAGAACCAATCAAAGTAACAAACAAAACTTGCAAGGTGGAGAAAAAGAGAGAGAGGTTTGAGAGAATCTTTGTGCTTTAGTTTGATCTTGATACATTTTGCATATACCAAGTCCAGGAATATCTAAACGTTTATAAAAAATTAGGGCAAAAAGAAGGTCATTCTTAAGTTAAATGCAGTAGTTCATCAAAGTATATTTGATTGTATGTCTATGTGATTCTTCTCTTCTTATCATAAATGTCTGTACTATTGACTTTCAAAATGTCCACTTAAATTTTGTAAACACTTCTTTGTTGTAATGTACTAATTTGTATGTAGAAAGTAGAAACTAGAAATTGATATGTTTAAAACTAAAGAGGAAATATCTACATATACACATAGGTTCAATTTAGTGGTGATTTTCTTTTTCCTTTTTTGTGCAAATTAGTGGTGATTTTCAACTTTAGTTTTTTAAGTTGAGAGTTAGATTTGTAAGAAAAAAAAAATGGCTTGTATTTTTGTACAAAAACATTTGAATTTTGTCACGCTATAAGTTTGATAAATTTAGCTTTCACAAAACCCATATATACATATACTATTATATATAAATAAACTTAGGCAAAATTATCTACAGAAAGTACATATGGAACTTAAACCCACATGCAAAAAGCTTTGCCTAACAACCACAAAAATCCAAAGGGTACTTTCGTCACTCTAAGACCATAATTTCATAAGCTCTATACATATACACACGTCGCTAGTCAAATCTTCCACACACAACAAGAAACAAGAACACAATGGCTAAAACCTCTCTTCCTCTCACCGCTTCTTTCCTCCTCCTCCTCATTTCCTCCGCCGTCGCCGCAGACACCGGCCGTCTCTTCCTCACCGTTGTTAACCACTGTCCCTTCACCGTCTGGCCAGCCATTCAGCCCAACGCAGGCCACCCTGTCCTGGAGAAGGGTGGCTTCGCTCTCCCAACAAACACACACCGCTCCTTCTTTCCTCCATCCGCTCACTGGTCCGGTCGCATCTGGGGCCGAACCGGCTGCTACCACCACCGCGACGGTAAATTCTCCTGCGTCACCGGAGACTGCGGAAACCGCTTCGAGTGCAACGGCCTCGGAGGCGCAACTCCAGCTTCCCTCGCTCAGTTCGACTTACACCACGGTGGACACCGAGACTTATCTTCTTACGGCGTCTCTCTCGTCGACGGTTTCAACGTTCCGATGACTGTGACTCCTCACGAAGGCCGTGGAGTCTGTCCCGTCGTCGGCTGCCGTGAAGACCTTCTGAAAACGTGTCCGTCTCATCTTCAGCTCAAGACACACGGTGGACACGTGGTGGCTTGTAAGAGTGGGTGTGAGGCGTTCCGTACGGACGAGTTTTGCTGTCGGAATCATTACAATAGTGCTCAAACGTGTCGAGCTTCGAGCCATTCTCTGTTCTTTAAGCACGCGTGCCCTTCGACTATGACTTTTGCTCATGATAGTCCTTCGCTCATGCATGACTGTTCTTCTCCTAAAGAGCTCAAAGTCATCTTTTGCCACTAAAATGTTGTGTATCTCTCTTTTCTTCAGCTTGTTCTAGGGTTATTATCGTACCGATCTCTGGTTTTGATTGGTTTAGTTTGCGATTTCCCGGTTCAGTTATGTAGTCCAAACTATGAAATTATGTATTATTATCTTTAAATTGCTTCCCGCTTATTATCTTTTATCATTTCCGTTTTCTAATGGACAAAAACACTTGAGAGTTTGATAGAAAAGTTAAAAAGAAAATGTTTTGGTTCAAGATTAATGCACTAAAGAAAGAGTATCGAAATTTACGATGTTTTCTCGATATTTAAAAAAGGTACATTGTTTTGTTCGAGGCATGCAGGCTAATTTCAGTGTCTTGTTCTTTCATGTTTATTTTGTGTGTTGTCGGTAAGATATTTTATTTCACGAGCTTCCACGTTTTGTTAGAAACATGCGAATTTTCGTATGAAATGTTATTGCAATTTGCAAACAACACATCATCAAGTATCTCGGTAACAACGGTTTAGTACATTAGCGAAATTTCAAAATTTCAAAAAAAAGAAAAAGAAAAAAATAGAAATGTGAATTGTCAGTGGCTATATTGTAATTTAGTGAGAAAATTTTCAATAAATTATTGCTTGTACATCATAAATCACAAGACCAATTTTGGCATGAAGCAAGACTCGATACAAAGTAAAAAGCTGCATTCTCACGTGAAAGATTCTCTTCGCATGTCTTTTTTCCATTTTAGCCCCTATTCCTTTACCACCATCTATGTAGTTCAAATATATGTGTGAGAGATTTTACACCACTTCTTTTTATAAAGTTAGAGCTCCTGAGTGCTGATATAATTCCAAACTAATCCTTCCAAAAGATTGTTTTTTTTGTTGGTAAAAAGGATTGTTTGGAAAAAAAGCATCAAAAACTAAACTTTTTCTTTATATGAAGATGATACTACTACATTAACACAAATTGGTTCAAACTTAAAATCAATTTAACAAAAAAACCTAATACTTGACTATGAGAACTATTTCGCCTCTGTCGTTTCTAACAGCACATGCAATGGAGATATTGCAAAAGGGTTTCTTTAGTAACTAAAAATAAATGATTTTGGGAGGAAAAATGAAAAAAAAATAAGTCTGACCAACTGTGTGATGACACATGTAGAAATCTGTTTCAGGTCGTTTCTATAATCGCTTCCGGGAGAAACAACGTATCACACTTAAAATTTTGCCATGTCATTTTTCTTTTCTTTTCTTCTTTTTCTTTTTAAACCTAGAGTCTATTAGAGCCTATGAAAGTATGTCCGTTATATCTGCTCTAACACTTATGTTAAGCATTACATAAATATTTGTATCATATTACTAGTCATCATATACTAAATTTGGTAGCTGTTTGCTCATTCTTACATGAGCCCGTTCATTGCAAAAAACTACAACTAGCACTTTTATGAAGAAAAAACCAAATAGTTGTAATTTTGGGTTTGATTTCACCAAATTGCCACTTTTGATTTGTAAAAAAAAGTTGTCATTTTCTCAAGATCCGTGCTATTTGAAAACCAACACTGTACGAAAGTGCTTTTATAATAGGGAAAAGTTGGTGGTATACCTATCTTTTTGGTTCGCCGCAGCCCAAATACTTATGCATTGATCAACTGAAATATATAATAAATTCTTTATTTGCCAAGATTATTTATGGGTCCATTATTTATCTACGTAAACTCGTATAAATAAATTATCTAACAAATTACCGTTATATTTTACGTTGGCGATCGAAATAGTATAACTATATGTATTTTGGAGCATTGCAAATAGTACGTACTACTACTTTGTAATGTGAAACCGATTTTACGGTTTGAACTTTGAAGTATCAAACTATCAATTGGGCTCCCAATTTCGTATTGTTATAAAATTTAAGGAACTAGGGATCGGCTGCCCCGCGCAAGCGCGGGGTAGTTATATCCAAACGGAGATGAGCCACTTAGAGGGGAAGATTATATATGCATGCACACTTATTTGAATCAATTATTTATTGGTCCTATACACTTGCGTTTCAGTTGATACGATAAACTATCTTTAAAGTTTATACTAACAGCAATCTATGTATTTGTTCAATATCATTTAAAATAGTTGTTTCTTGTTAGCCGATCTTATAACTGTACATTATATGTTTATGTATGCACATGTATATATATAAGATGGGAAATGAACGGAGAGTCAAAGGAAAACTTCTCTTTGTCTTTCTCTGTCCACCTAACTCATCTAAGACTAATATAATTTCCCCTTAATTGTAATTCTAAGAAACTTTTAGATCTCAAGGAAGGATAATAATGACTAATTAACCCAGAATCCATTATGGCTAAAACAGTAGACGTTGGATATATATAAAAAATGTCCTCACATTTGTTATACACCCACACGTAAGTAGAAATCCATGGGCATATGTCTTGGTTTATGTATGTAAAGTAAGTGTCTACATAATCAAGGACTGTGTGTCACTCTCATCCTGAGTGGAGGTATATTTGTATAGACGAATACGAAATGGTTGAAATGAAAGCAAAACAAACCGTTTTTATTCCCATAAAATGTAAACTGAAACTTAACTAAGAGTGTGGTTGAACTCCAACTGAGTGGAATCAATCGCGAATGTAAAGTGCAAGTGAAATGCTAGAAAACATAAATGCTGGTAAAGAAAAAAAGCAAATGGCATTGGGCAGACGGGTGTGGAAATCTTCGTGTGACTGCTCACGGGAACGTTTGCGAGAAGACTCCACTCCGGCTTCTCCAATGTTTCCTGGCTCGTCGTTCATGGCAATTCCTTTTCCCACAGTTTTTCCTGCGGCTGAGTCATTTGTTAAACCCTGAAGCCAAGTTGTGGAAGTCAACATCTTGCAAACCATTACACTTTTTCAAATTAATTAACTGAAGCGTCCTCCGAGATGAGTACAACGAGCTTTGTAACAGTGAAAGTACGGTGGTTGGGTGTGAAGTTGAAGGGTGTAACTTTAAGCTGAAAAATGAACTGTTTCCCAGTCAGGGCATTCAAACAACTGGGTAGCTCAGTGCCATCACCACCCGCACCCTACATTCAATTGCAAAGCTATAGGATTTACAGAGGTGTCCATGAATAAAAACATATGTGAGTGTAAAGTAAGAAGTCTTGTGGCAGTTTCTACCTTGAGTCTCAGAGAGAATGCAGGTCAGCACTGATATCTTGCGTATTTGACGCATTCTAACACTTGTTTTCACGAGTTTTATCGAGTCTTTCTATCGAGTCTTTTCAGGTCTAAAGACGTTCCAGGGAGAGCTTTGGTCACATGGACCAACAAGGGAGAAAGCAGGCAAAACGGAGCCGAAAGGAGCTCGATCGAACCTGTACGCCCAACAGCTCGATCGACCCTTCACCTACAGCTCGATCGACACGTACAACAGGAGGTGATCGATCGAGCTCCTACATACAAGCGGTTCGATCGATCCCATGCAGCCAGCTCGATCGATCTCACCGTCCGTTCAGCTTCATCCGAGATGATATCACAGCCGTTCGATCTACTTGGTGCAAACCGACTCGATCGAACCACAGCGAACCGGATTGAACCGAAGTCGACCCCGGAGCTATTTAGACCTATCTTTAGCCATTGTTTAGGCTACGCCGTTTTTCAGAGTTTTACACTGTTGTTCATTGTTTCCGAGGGAGAAGAGATCAAACCTCTGTTATTCACAGTTTGGAGAAGATTTCTGAACCCTTGTTTTGCTATTTTCTATTTTGATTCAATGACATTCAGTTCAGTATTGTTTGCTGTTTCACCATGTCTGAGTAGTCACCCTTGCTAGATCTAGGCTTTTCAAAGGGATTCATGTGTTAATTGACTGAATACAGATAGGGCTTTAATACTGTCTTCGCCATTGTTGCACTTACTGCTTAGATCGATCTGATCATTCGATCTCTGATCTCAGATTACCTGTTCATCAAAAGTGTTATAGGTTGTTAGAACGAACTGTGGTGAGCGAATCGTCCTTAGCCTGCGAAAGTTGATGCTGAGGCGATTCGTGAACTTATCGAACCTGAGTTTATTGCTTGTCATCAACTGCTAGATTCAAACGACAGTTTAGACATCTAGGTTGTTAGATAAAGTTATCATTATCGCGAAAGTGAATTGACATATTTTTGTTTGAGTTCGAGACCTGTTCTTATCTGTGCCCTGAATAGTTGTTCGGTTGTTAACTGTGAATCTCTGCGAATTGCCTTGGTCTAGTCCCTGTTTAATTGAATTACATCATCGTTTACATTCGTTACCTGTACTAAAACCAATCATCTTTGTCTTAGCTCTGTTTTAAATCTCGTAGTTTCACAGTGTAACGCTGGTCCTCTGGATTTCGAATCCTTTATATTACAATCTTCATCACTGATAATTTGCAGTAGAGAAAAGACCTATTTCTAGTTTATCAAGCACCGTCACTGACAGTTCAACTCTATACCTGTTTAATCAATGAAGAGTGATTTCGTCAAATAATGCTTTACTGCATGTTGAAAGCGAGAAGTTGTAGGGAGGTACCTTAGGACGACGTTCCCGGTAACGTAATTGACGACGGAGGGGATTGCGACGACATCGATTGTAGACGTATTTTTGCATGAGAGTAAGAGAGTGATGTTTGTAAGATGGGGTTGCTGGTGGAGATGTGATGTGGTGGTGTGGTGGTGAGCAGAGTATTTATAGGTGTTTTGTGAGTAAGTTGAATGGTTGTCTTAGAAGCCGTTTGGATCTGAGGTATTGAATAGAGGTTTGAATGGGGTAGTAATTGTAGGTGAGTGGGTGAAGGGAGTGTCATTTTTTTTTTCGAAACGGAGGTAGGCTGCTGCAATTCGGAATTGGAAGCGGCGATGGATGGGATGGAGGTGGGAGAGAAGCGTGAGGGAAAATCAGATTTGGGCTGGAGTTTATATCTGTATTTCGAAATGGGCTTTGGGCTATGAAGTGTTGAGATTTGTTAGGGTCCATTTAAATATGTGAGATGACAAATGTTAAATTTAATTATTTAGATTAATTATTTCGAGGTGGGGTCCACTAAGAGGGGTGGATAGCCTAAAAAAAGAGTCTTCTCCTAGTATTATACTCCCTTTATTTTTTTAAGATGAATTTTCTAGATATTAATTGTTGTTTTATAAAGATAAATTTTCTACTTTTTTGATACACTTTTTCAGTTTTCAAAAAACAATGATTGTATTTGTTAGATTTTGATTGGTTGAAAATTATAGAAAGTTGTTTTATTGCAAAAATCAATACACTAATGATTGAAAATCTGTTTTTCTTAAAATGTGTGAAAATTCTAGAAAGTTTATTAAAAAAGAAACAGAGGGAGTATATAAGATGACCAAATAATTGCGTGGGCTAAGCTAGGGATATAATGTAGATAAGGCCCAAGGATTAAGAGAATCGTGAGAAGTAGTGACATTCTCGTTTAACATATGAGTGCCGTTTGCAACATACAAGACATCCTATTATATAACTCATAACATGATTATGTACAGTTATGTTAAAACAAAAAAATGCATATCTCTATGTATATATATAATAATAATATGTTACAATAGCAAGCTGTTATCCATTTTGAATTTTTTGTTTGGTTAGCACAAATTGTCTAATTGCTTCTTATGGTGTAATCCAGTTAGAATAATATAAGTCAAATTGCAAGGAAGAAGTTATAGCTTTATATTAAAACTCATTAGTTTATAATGTTATGTGTTATTTACTATACACACGGTCTTCTATCTAATCCAGACCCGGTCCTAGGTATGGGTTGACAGTGCATTTGCATTTGTTCTACATTTTTTTTACAAAAATTCTTTTAAATTTTAGGGTCTTAAAGTCTCAAAATATTGTAGAAAAGGTCCACAATTCTGAAATGCTCCTACATTGACCAATTATTTTTTAATTTTGCATAAGGTCTATTCAATTCTTGGGTCGGGCCTGACCTAATCAATACAATAATCAGATTGCATTTTTCTCGAAGATTTTGTTATCCATTTAAACGTCTCCCACCATATCTATTAATGATAAATCACCCTGATAAAAGTAAGCAAATTTGAGTTTGCAAATAGTAGGTAGAGATTGTTGTTCCACAAAATACCATTACATGTGGGAATAATTACGAATTAAAATAAATTGATTGGAAGCTTTCAGATTTCTAACAATTGACCTAATAAAACAAAACAAAACAAAAAAGGAAAAGAGATAACAAAGTGGAAAAAACAAGTGGTGTCTTGTGCGGACCGTGAAGTACGTCATACGGTCTTTCTTGTTTCCTCATGTCCCAAAAGACGAAGGAGCGCATGCAATTGGTCCACAAAAACATTTGAGCAACAATTAAAAAATAATTAGTTCTGTAGGTCTATTTATTTATTTAGTTTAATTTTATTGGGACTCCACTTCTTAATTTTTCCATTTATATAATACGATGCGGTGAGACGTAAGCTGACCTTTCGAAGTCGGAATAGATACGGCACTGAGCTGATGCAGGCAATTTGATAGGCTTTCACTAATAAATATCACACAATCGACTTGTAACTTCACATTATCTTTAGTTAAAACTTTATTTTACTTTCACCAAAAACTCAACACAGAGTTCTTCAATCGTACTTTTTTTTTTATCACCGAAAAGTTTCAATTTCTTGTAGACAATTGAACTTGCTACAATATCCACTTGGTTGCTTGTTCTACACCAACCATATGTTTAAGTGTTTAACATTAATCACATATTTCATACCGATTGTTCATTATTCAACATATTTTAACAAAAAAGAAACAACTTTGTTTTTAAAAAAAATTGGTTTAACAACTTTGTTTTGTGTATCTAGATGAAAAGACCTTATGAATCATTGAGCATTTGGAATCGATTTAAATTCTTATTTTGGAGATCCTGTTTTTGATATCGAATAGCACAAGCATTTACAAAATACTTTTAGTTTTTAAAATGTGGTTTCTAACGAGTCGTTACTGTGTTCACTGACTGTTCCCTACCATTTGGCCCTTACTTTCTTACATTTGAAATTTGATTGGCCTTTTTGTTTTGGTGTTTGGGAGAAAAGTGTTCACCAAATTGTGCTGATGCAATATTTGCTTCACAATTCATAGTTGGATTTTTTTTCTTCTTCCATATATACTCTTTTTGTAGATGAACCGATAGTAAAGCCAAAACACATAATTTAACAGATTTAGAGAATTAGTGAATAAGAAAAACCTAATTTTTTGGATTCGTACAACAATCCTTTATGTCATGGAATACTTTAAATTCATCATTTCTGTGAAAAGTTTTAAAACTAACAAAGAACATGACATGTTTTGCAGAGTTTAGTAGTCATGAAGCATTTGAAGTTGAAACTTTTTCTAATTGGATTATTTTTTTACTTTTGTTTTGCTTAGTTTTTGCTTATATTCTGCTTATATTTTATATTTTTTGCTTCTTTTTCTCAACTTGTGTTTTTTTTTTAAATTATAATTTGATGCAAATTATTTGCCTCACTATATCTACAGTCATTTATATAAGTTGTAATGTAATTTTTTACATCATTTATAACTAATGCAAATATACAAAATAAATAATGTAAAACAATTTTATTTTTGTAGTGTAGATGGTTCCCCGGAAGATTTACTAATGGAAACTTTTGGCTCATTTGAAGCTCTCAAAGCACCCGTTTCCTACACCTCAAGTCTGCTTAGGGAAATTTGTGGTCTTTTTCCTTTAGCATCATGGGCAGCTTTCTAGGCAACAAGAGCAGCTTGGCTCTCCAAGTTTAATATCTTGTTTCTAAGCTCACTATTCTCTAATTTGAGATGAACAAATCATAAGACACATTCTTCTCTTTCGTATGCTGCTAACTGACTATGTTTTAACTTGGATAAATCTATCCCTTTATGAATACATAGTTAAAAAAAACATATAAATATGAATGGTATGCAGTCATTTTTCTTCATGTTTTGAAAACGTGGTTTCGTTAAATACATATCATTTAAGTTTTAATTGATTCTATATGTTTTGATTTTATAATTAGTTAAGCAAAACTTGATTATACTACACAATCTCTTTTGGATATTCAATTGTTTTATAATCCTGTTTTAGTTTATTCAACTTACAAAATTTTCTCGTTCTAGTAATTTTTTTTTTCACAATTCACTACTCTGTTATTTAACTAACATAGGCCAATCATCCATAGTTTTTCTTTATTATGTTTTTATTTTTTACTTTTGTGTTGCTTATTGTTTGCTTATACAGTATTTTGTTTATATTTTCTCTTTTCCGCTTCTTTTTCTCAACTTGTGTGTTGTTTTTTAAAATGTATAATTGATTAACTGTATCAATAATCTTATGATCGTTAGCCTGTGTGAGTTTCTTGCATAATATATATTCTCGTCTAATAATCATTCACACTTGATTTGGTCTTTTAGTTTTTAAATATATATGGAGGAAAATTATATTATTGCATATCTCAACTCCAAAAATCATAGTATATTTTAATATATGAGATTTTTGACCTAATTTTGGTATAATGTGCTTTTAATGAATGATATAGTACCCAATTGGATATACATGATATTTGCGAGGAATATATAGAAGACAAGCCACAATGAACGTAACACTTGGGAATCAATGGTTGAAATAGAAACAGGCGAGATTAGTCTTTCTCAAATCTTGTTCGTCTCAGGACATTACGATGCAGGTGATCTCAACACTATTGAGGTTGGATAGCATGTTTATTTACCATAATTAATTCACTGCCATTAACTAACTTAATTTCATGTCGTCAACCTATAGGCTTTCTTTTACATCATAAGTGTGGTTGATTCTTAATTCTCGGTGGCCTTGAACTAGATGGTTACCCGGAAGATTTAATAATGGAAACGTTTAGCTCATTTGAAGCCCTCAAAGCACCCGTTTCCTGCACCTCAAGTCTGCTTGGGGAAATTTACTGATATCATGCAGAAACCGTTTAAACAAACTAAGTTTTCTAATATGTCTTAAATCTCCTATGACATAAATAATCTTATAAAGATAGCTACTTGTAAGCAGAGAATGTAAACGGTTTCTGCATGTTATGGAACGCTTCGTAAAGGGCCCTTTTCAAGCCGTGTCCAACCATCCAATGATATTGTCCGCTTTGGGTTCATGTGTCTTAACCCTCACGGATTTGTTATTGGGCTCCTTCCCAAAAGGCCTCATACTAGTTAGGTTGGACATTACTTATATATTAGACACTTCTTGTCTAATATTCCGATGTGGGACTTGGATTGATATCCAACATTCTCCCCTTCAAGCCAAGGACCACATACTTTTGTGGCTCCTCCACCTTCTTGTGGCCTTTTTAGCGAAACTTGGCTCCCTTCTTGTGCTGCCGTACTACTTTACGGGAACTCTGCACTCTGGGCATCCCTTATCGCAAGGTCTAGCTTGAGGGCTTTCTTCCCACATCTTTTTGTAATGCCAACATTCACAGGTCCACTTCTTTGGATCTAGGCTCTGATACCAATTAAAGGGCTTTTTCAAGTCCGTGTCCAACCATCTAACTAGTATGATATTGTCCGCTTTGGGTCCATGTATCTTAACCCTCACGGATTTGTTATTGGGCTTCTTCCCAAAAGGCCTCATACTATTTAGGGTTGACAGTACTTATATATTAGACACTTCTTTGTCTAACTTTCGATGTGGGACTTGGATTGATATCCAACACTTCGTACAACAGACTTTACAGTAATACGACTGCTTAAGAGTTCAGCCATATGCTGTGACCATATATTTTGATTCTAAGTGTTGACCAAGTCAAATGTTTTAGCAAACTTATTCGAGGCATTTTAATCTCTTTTTTTCTATTTCTAGGAGAAATGTTTAAAAATTCAAATTCAATAAGAATAAGTAGGACCTACTTTGATGTGAGTTGTTTGTGACTTTGTATCTCCTGAAACCTAATTTTAAAACTTTTGATGCCACTATTGGAAACTTAACATTTAGTGTGGATCGTTAGCAACCTAACTAGTGAGTAGTGACCCTCATATTGAGTGGGGCTGTCACGTTAACGGGCATCGTCATAAGTATTGTGAGCATTATGGGCATCATGAACTTTGATTACGCCATCAAATTTAGGACACGATATATATATATATTTATAAAGTTCTTTTTTATCTTTTAATTTTGTGCGTGAGTGTGTGTAAATTTAGTTTTTGATTTAGAGATATTACTTTAAATATAAGTTTCTTATATCTGTGCATGACAAATCAAATTGTTAAACAACACGATCGGCATAATTAGGTGTGTAGAGAGAATGGTGTAAGAAATTAATATGAAATTGCCTAAACTTCGATAGTAAATAATCTTCAAAAATTCATTAACAATCTTTTTTTAAAAAATCAACAAAGATATATATAGGATTATACTAGTACGGATGTAAGTTCATTTTGGCTTATTATAGATTATTTAATTGAAAGAAAAGAAGTTTATAGAATGGTTAGCTTTAACTAACTAAATGCACTAACGAAATTTCAAATAAGGATTCGCAACTTACCACTTGACCCTTCCTCCTTCTCAAGGAACAAAACAAAAGAGGATAAATATCTTAAGTAAATTTCAGTACAATTAGGACCAAGCATAATGTAAGTGGAAATCTAGAGGAAATCCACTTTGTGAACAGAGTAAAGGTTTTTGGAATTTCTGAAATATATTATAATTTATAATCATTGACATCAGCTACATATCTAGTATAGTATTATTGCATATAATATATTATATGATTTTTCTGATTGTTTCGGAAAGAAAAGGATATACATAGTAAATAAACAATGTCACGCCTCTAGGATATGAATAAACAATACAAATTTACATGTTCAAAAAACTTTGGTGAAACAAAATCACACGATATATAGTAGTACGTCGACAATCCCACTTTGATGTTCTTCTATTGTAATCCTTTTGTTCTTTAACTATCAAAACAATTGTAGGTTGCTCTTTCTTCTTGCTGGAATTTTAGCCGCACGATAAAAAAGTTGAAACTAGTTTTTAGTTTAGTACAAATTATAATATATGGGTTAAGAAAGTAATACTAATAAATTAGACGAGTGAACGTAGAGGATATTAGGATAATGGTGATGAGATCTCAACTTTAATGGAAAGAGATTGAGGAATTTGGTTTTATCAAGAAAAAGAGATTGAGAAACTTGGTAGGAGATTTGAAGGCGGCTAAAGCTCATTTGCTAACATGCACGCGTTTAGAGAATGATCTCTTTTTACGGTTAATTTTCGCCGCTTATAAACTCAAAAAGCTGATTTAAAATTGTGCTACAAATAGAGTCTTTATTCTAATGTATCTGTTCAAAGTTGTGTCGATTCAAGAATTTAGAATTAGGAAAAGAAGTGGCTCAAGTTCTGAAAAGACTCTAAGCCAAAGAAAAAGTTTAAAATGTGATCAAACGATGCGTCCATGAGTCACTTTAAACTAGTGCCAAACTCGTAATTATATGTAATTGTTGCTACTTGATATAGAGTTTAACTTAAGTCTATGGTTAAGAGATAACAGCTGTACGGGCTGTACTAATTAGCAAATAATTTTCATTTCTTTTTAAAAAGGTAAAAGATGTAATTTGCATAGAATGTGCAAAATGTTACTTTACAAAAAGTGTGTTTGAAACTTGGTGTGAAACAAACAACAGCTGTACGGATTTGAACCTGAAATTTGCTTTCTACATCTTTCTCAGGCTTATGTCTAGCTCTCTCTTGTTTTCTTGAATTTTAGTTTTATAACAAAACTTATAGCAAATGAAAGAAATGTGTAAACGGCGGATATCTCTATTACGTGAATTATGTATTAATTTCTCTTGTTGGGACGACTAATGTTGATTCCGAGATAACACTCGTTAAAACGGGCTATCAAAGATGTAAGTTTAGGAAACTGGAAGTTTAATTCAACTCAAAGGATATCAAGAAAATTACAAAATAATTATCTCGCTAACAAGTTTATCGAGATAATGATGATGAACAAGAAGAGAAAGTTAAATGGGTGTAAAAGCCAAGTAATTCTAGATGATCTCGGATGCCTTTTCCTCCATGGGGGTCTTCAATATATAGCGTTGATGAGTCGGTCGGATGATGAATATTCTCCTTCGGGCGAGATGGAAAACTTCCTCTTTTGCGAAATAGAAAACTTCCTCTTGTTCTTGATTTCCTTCCATTCATCAGGTCGGCATGAGGGTTTATTTATATTTCTTCGTGGATTGTGCCTTCCTTCTCAAGATTTCCCTTTTCGGTGAAGAAGTTAGGCCTAAAGTCGGATTGGGTTTTGTGATTTTACTAATGATGATGAATTTAGGAAAATGTGCTAATTTCTCCTCTAACAACTAATATTGATGTGAGTGTGAGATCATAAGGAATGTATTAAGAGAGAGAAAAGGACTTGCATATATACACACGTCCGGTACATTATGTTATCTAGTCAAATAAATACATGATTACATTACATACTTACGACATGTACTGTTGTACACACTCGTGCATGGGTATGTAAAAAAATTGTATACTGTAAGTATAACAATTAACTTATTATATGAAGTCCAATAATGAAACTTCAAATCCTCATTAGATACGAAAACATTTAATTTGACTTTTGGTTGAAAACGTGAATTGAAGACCGCTTTGTGTCAAATACTAAAAAACTCTTGCTCCTCTTTAATATGTTCGAGCCCTGTGTATAGATCGGTAAAGACAAAGGAACACATAAACAGGCACAAAATATGATTATTAAGATATAGCCACTATGCCGTATCATTTGAAATTCCTTGATTTAAAAGATAAAGTTTGATTATTTTTTTCGTTACATAATAATCCATTAATTTTTCCCACATGGAACCCACTTGGTGTACTTCCACGTCCTCCTTATAGCACTGACCCACTCATCAAATTAAAATCAATACATCTTTATAAATCCCCTTCATCGTCACACACCTCTCTCTCAAATTATTTCATATTCTTCCATTTTCTTTTCTTTAACAAACTTCAAATCATTAGATTCTTACATACCACAAACAACGAACTAGCTCCCAAGCCTAAGCTTTTTTCTTTCCCTTCAAAATTTGTCTTGGCTCTCTCTCTATATATATACAATGCCAATGACTGAGAGAGGACGAGCCATGTGGCGCACGTGCCTAGCCTCAGCGTTCCGTACAGCTCTAGCATGCACTATCGTTGGCTCAGCTACACTCTACGGACCCGAATGGATCCTCCGCCACGTGGCATTCCCGGCGTTCTCTTACGTCACGGTCATTCTTATCATCACCGACGCTACCCTCGGAGACACACTACGTGGCTGCTGGCTAGCTCTTTACGCTACATGCCAGAGCGTGGGACCTGCGATCATTACACTAAGGCTTATAGGACCAGCTCATCTCACGGCGGCAACTACTTCTTTAGCTGCGGCTCTAGCGGCGTTTGTGGTGGTGCTACCAAACAGCTCGACCCATTTGGTGGCTAAGAGGATCGCGTTAGGACAGATCGTTCTGATTTACGTTATCGGTTATATAAAAGGAGCTGAGACTGAGCCAGTCATGCACCCTCTTCGAGTCGCAGCCAGTACCGCTCTTGGTGTTATAGCTTGCGTTCTTGCACTTCTCGTCCCACTTCCACGCTTGGCTACGTGCGAGGTACAATCTCTCTCTATTTATAGACACATAAAATGACTTGTCTTAGTTACGAATATCATGTGAACACATGTATGTTGTCTCCTTGTGCTGTAGTAGTAGAGCTATTGTTTCCATTTTTCGAACACTAAAAATTATGTGTTTGTGTTTACACATGAAAATATATTTAGATAAACAATCGAGAGCTTAATATCTTGCATGAGAAGAACATCTTATTTACAGACTTTGCAAGTAGCTATATTCAAGTGTTACATAACTTTCTCATACTATTAGAGGAATATAGAGGATTAGTTTAACAAAAAGATAAATTCATACTTTGTTAAAATTTAATATTTTGTAGACATGTACGTGTTTGAGTTACATTTGATGAAACAAACGAAGAAAGTAATCAATGAGCAATTGAGCATAATAGATTAATAAGTAGACTTGGTAATACAGTCACAAAACATGTTGACGTTGGCCTTTAAAGTGTGTTCCTAACTTTATTCCGTACCACATTATTATATAATAATCTTTCTTATGTCATAAACCACCACCTGAAAATTTGTCCTAATTCTTCCCAATATTGCGCACAAGCTGTGTCGCATCACAGACAAATATGATTCCCTTTTGGAGTAATTAACAATCCATGAAGAAAGTATATTTTCCACCGTAAATAGTAAGCTTTTTTTGTGTGAGTAAAGTACTAATTCAACCCATTGGTAATGGTATGGGGATTCTCTGATATTACTTAAAATTACAAAAGAGGAACAAATAATTTACTTTAAATATACATAAATATGGGCAGGTGAAACAAGGCTGCAAAGAGATTGGTCAAAATGTAACGACGAGAGTGAAGTTGTACATGAAGGCTTTTTGTGCCGAGGATGCTACGTCAGCAATGGCTTCTGTCTCACAAGCTCGAGAGTTGTCTCGTATCTGCTCCAAGCTATATCAAACAATCAAACGCTACCAAGTAATTAAATAACTTTCATAAATACTAATTAATTTTGTCTATATGTGTATACAAATTAATGTACAAAATGTCTAATATCGGAATGTTTTATACTTATATAGCCAAGCATGAAATGGGAGAGGCTTCCATTTAAGGTATGGAGATGGCAAAACGTGAACGATAACAAAGGAGAGAAGCTAGAGAGCATGGAGATTGCTCTTAGAGGAATGGAAATGGTCTTAGCAAGCAAATCTACTATTCCCAAGAGTTTACTTGCGGGAGAAGTAAAAGACGGTCTCAAGAACATGCAAGAACGTGTGATCCTCTCAATCAAACGAGTAAACAACATCCCTCAACCGTCGGTAACTCCAGAAACCGATCTAGAAAAACCCGATGAGTGCCTCCAAACACTTCAGGAAATACCAGAATCGCCTCAAGATTTGCCCTTTTACTTCTTCTTGTTCTGCATCAGGCTCCTTGAAACCATCACAATGGATAAACGGGAGGATAACAAAGTAAAACCGGAGGAGAACAAGGGCTCAACAAAATCCAAGAGTCGGTCTTGGATTAGTGATTGGGACAGCAAGAAGGTTATGCCGGCAATAAAGCTATCGCTTTCATTAGGTTTAGCGATTTTCCTAGGCACGTTGTATAGTAAGCCAAACGGGTATTGGGCTGGTTTACCGGTGGCGATCAGCTTTGCGGCGGCGAGAGAGGCGACGTTTAAAGTGGCGAATGTTAAGGCACAAGGGACAGTGATAGGGACAGTGTACGGAGTGATGGGTTGCTTTGTGTTTCAGAGGTTTCTAACGGTTAGGTTTCTTTCTTTGCTTCCATGGTTTCTCTTCTCAAGCTTCTTGAGCAAGAGTCGGATGTACGGACAAGCCGGAGGTATATCGGCGGCGATAGGAGCCGTTTTGATTCTTGGAAGGAAGAATTTCGGACATCCAAGCGACTTTGCGATCGACAGAATCATCGAGACTTTTATTGGGTTGTCTTGTTCGATCTTGGTGGAGCTTATCTTGCAGCCCACGCGAGCCGCTAATGTAGCGAAACTCGAGCTGTCGAGAAGCTTCCATGCTTTGTACGAGTGTGCAAGCTTGTTCGGAGCTAAAGTGAGTAAAGCAGAGATAATGGAGAGTCAAAAGAAGATGAGAGGTCATTTGAATATGCTCAAGAAGTTCACGGAAGAAGCCCATGCAGAGCCAATCTTCTGGTTTTCGCGTTTTAACGCTTCTTGCTACGAAAAGCTGTTCAAGTCATTGTCTAAAATGGCTGATCTATTGCAATTCAGCGGTCACGCTATAGGGTACCTTGGAGAACAAGGAAAAGGAAAATTACCACAGTGCAAGGAGATTCTTAGTGACGTAGACAAAGATCTCAAGAGCCTAACGCAGAGCATAGGTCTACTAGCTAAATCTTTCGAGGAGATCACTCTGCTCAAATCACTGGACGCCCTCGAAAAGGCTCTGGCCAAGAGCGACAACAGCTCATGGGACATCGAGCTGGGGAAGACACCAAACCCTAGCTTCTCAGGCGCAGAGAGCGAGCCAGATAAGATTTTAGAGACTTATCTCCAGCATTGCAGAGGAGTTGCTGATGGAATGTTCCGTGTGGAAGAAGAAAAGGAAGAGGACGTTCTTGAAGTGGACAAGAGTGAAGTTGTGTTGAGTTTGAGTGCGTTAGGGTTTTGTGTGGAGAGAATGGAGAAAGAGACGAGAGAGATTGAGGAGATGGTTAAAGAGGTTGTGCAATCAGAGAATCCTTCAAGCCACGTTAACTTGCATGAGATCTCTTGCAAAATACGTTCTTTGTATAAATAAATAATGTATTTCCCCCATTGACAAACAAATGGCGTGTGAAAGAAGGAAACATTGTTTTTTGGTTTACCTTTTTTGTTTTTCATGTAATAACAAATAAGGCTGTGTGGTTAACTGGTTATACCAATGACAATACCAATACCAATACCAATACCAATACCAATTGTGTGAAACTGAAGACTAGAATATACAAGGGAACAATACAAAAAGGTTCTTCGTATTAGTATCTTGGGCCTATTTGAGTATTCATGGGGCCTTTAAGGCCTTTTTCAAAAAAGAGACAAATTAAAAGTGAAGTGTGGCTGCTGGGATTCGAGCCCAGGTCTCCACGGCCACAACGTGGAATTCTTACCACTAAACTACAGCCACTTTTGTTGTTATGTGCAGGTTTGTAATATTACAAAAACGTAACTAGCTTTTTTTTTTGGGGTAAAATAACTTAACCAATTCTTAGTTTCTTACCAAGAGGTTGTTAATTAGACCACCATTCTTTGTTCTCAATGTTGATCTGAAATCGCTTTGAGAATAAATATTATTTTTGTTATTAAAGCCAACTATAGTATACAAATGATGAACGATTACATCCATTATGCTCTATATTTGCGATTCATAATATTGTCTGATATGTTGAACGTTTATTTGTTCCTATCCGTAAACATATTTCATGAAAATTTAGAAGAAAAAAAAAAACAAAAAAATTAATAAAAATAAGTTACACCATTTAAAGAAATTGGTAGAGAGAAAGTTGTGAGTTATTCTTTCAATGTACACGATGAGTACACGCAAGTTTAGAAATCAATAGAAAAAGCAAAATCATACACTCCAATTAAAGTAGAAAATAAAAAACAAGCCTTAGGTCAAATAAAATAAGTATAAAATCAAAACATATAACATATTATATTACTCCTCAACGTAAAAATAGGTATGTGTAAGCTGGAGCAAAAGTCGATTCTTCTTAGTTACTTGTACTTAGAGATGACAATATATATGTGGATCTAATAAGAAATGCATAAAGAGTATATATTTACTCTTAATAGTTACTTTTTTTTGTTAAAAATTAATAGGTAAACTTCAATGCCTTAATTGAAGAGTAAAGTTTCAAATGTCAGCGTATCCAATTACTTAGTTAAATTGTTTGCTAATTTTTTCAAGAAAAAGATGTTTGCAGTGGGCCAGTGGCCCTTTCTTGAATAGCATCTCTATAACAAATTATCAGCTTCAATTTATTATATATTTTCGTGTAAAACAATGTTGGCAGCAATGTGGAGATCTTATTTAACCATCTCATGTCAATATGTCATATAATCATAGCAATGTGATGACAAAAAAAACAAAAAAAAAACATAATAATCAGAAACAGTTTTATTGATTTAGCATAATAAATTTGTTATCACAAAATCTGTTGTCGTCCAGCGGTTAGGATATCTGGCTTTCACCCAGGAGACCCGGGTTCGATTCCCGGCAACGGAGATTTTTTAATTATATCATGTTTTTTCTTTTTCCATTTTTTATAATCCCCCTTGTTTTGTTTAATCAAGTCGCAAATCTCGAAGTTTAAGATCCATAAAATCCTTAAAACCATAATTTATTGCGTCTCCTTCGCTCAATTTAGACTTGAGTCGAGAATAGTGAAAAGTCAATCTTCTTGAGTCATTGTTTTGTATATTCTCTTTCTTTATATAAAAGGTTTTTTCCTTAATTCTTTTATTTTATTAAAACTTAATTTGTAAGCGACTTCTGGTCACCAAATTAAAAACAGAGTTTGGTCATTACATTTGATTATTCGTCTCCCTTTTCTTTCTTTTGAAGCTTCGATTTTTCTGGTAGCGAATTTTCTTTTATTCTCCATTGTCTGTCTTCTTCTTCTTCTTCTTCTTCTTCTTTTTTTTGCGTAGTTAACAAATTTTGTGGGACTCATATTCATGTTTCATACGAATTTTTAAATAAAAAAGCTCTTATAAATATCGATTTCTGTTGATCTTCTAGTTTCATCGAGATCAGAAGAGTGAGGCGTGCACAATTTTTCTAATCATCTGCATCAAGGTTTGATTAGTTCTCTAATCCACTTAGTAATGGTGTAAAATGTAAAATGTTATGTGTATGTTCTTTGATAAATCTCTGATTAATATTTTATTAAATTTGTTTCACATTTTGCAGAAAATGGCGACTAATGGAACGACGACGAAGCCACCACCGACGCCTTCTCCTCTGCGTAATTCCAAGTTTTTTCAGGTCATTTATTCACTCAAAAATATTCCTTAAAACTCTATAATTTTTATTTTTATTTTTTTGCTAAATCAAGTTCTTGATACAGTGAAGTTTAGTTGAAAGTGTACTCATGCTTAATAGTCAAAAGTCACAACTTGAAACTCGTATTGTAAAGATCTCGATCTCACCTATAAAGAATTTGTTTTGAATGATTTTGTAATATGCAGTCAAACATGAGGATCTTGGTGACAGGAGGAGCTGGATTTATTGGTTCACATCTTGTTGATAGATTGATGCAAAACGAAAAAAACGAAGTAATAGTTGCAGATAATTACTTCACAGGATCAAAAGATAATCTCAAGAAATGGATTGGTCATCCAAGATTTGAGCTCATTCGTCATGGTATAAATATAATCTTCTTCCTTAATCAACTTAATTAACTAAAAAACACAATGCATTAATCTTGATCTTGTGATATTTCAGATGTGACTGAACCTTTAATGGTCGAAGTTGATCAAATCTACCATTTAGCATGTCCTGCTTCTCCAATTTTCTACAAATACAATGCCGTTAAGGTTTGTTCAACAACCATTAATCGAAATCTTGCAAATGTTATGATCTTAATCTTTTTTTAATAATGGCAGACGATAAAAACAAATGTGATTGGCACACTTAACATGTTGGGACTAGCTAAGCGAGTCGGAGCAAGAATTTTGCTTACTTCCACATCTGAAGTGTATGGTGATCCTCTTGTTCACCCACAACCCGAGAGCTATTGGGGAAATGTAAACCCCATTGGTAAGTAACTAATAAACGATTAATCTTAATAACCTCTCGGCTAATTAATTAATTAACTAACTCAAAATGAAAATGTTGTAGGTGTTAGAAGCTGTTATGATGAAGGAAAACGTTGTGCAGAGACTCTTATGTTTGATTACCATAGACAACATGGGATTGGTAAATTAATCCATTCTTGTACAATCGTTTTCTTGTAAAATTATGACTTAGTTTTCTTGCTTATTGTTACCGGGACATTTGTAGAAATACGCATAGCGAGGATATTCAACACATATGGTCCTCGTATGAACATTGATGATGGTCGTGTCGTGAGCAACTTCATTGCTCAGGCTCTCAGGTGAAAAAACTAACCTTAAATCAAGTTCTTGAATATTTCTTCTTCTACTTTTTATGATAGCCGGTTTTGAGTTAAATCGTTGACTAATCTAAAATCTCTCTGTATGATAAAATTGTTCTTGGTTTTTGTAGGGGAGAAGCACTGACTGTTCAGAAACCGGGAACACAAACTCGTAGTTTCTGTTATGTTTCTGACATGGTATGCATCGAAACCCATTATCTTTGATTGGTAACGTTACATAATTGCATTATTTGCATAAGTCGCATAAGATATAAAAATATGTATGATATAGTTTCATTAGTTTATGCATGTTTTCTTATTGATCTTACGGAGAAATGTGAAAAATATTTGTATAAAAAGTGGATGGAATTGTCGAATTATGATCTAACCGACCCAAAACTAGAGCTAAGACAAAATATGATTTTGTAGGTAGACGGTCTAATGCGTCTGATGGAAGGAGACCAAACCGGACCAATCAATATAGGCAATCCAGGCGAATTTACCATGGTTGAACTTGCTGAGACGGTTAAAGAGGTTTAGCATTTTTTTTTTCCGTTTCTGATATAGATGTAACAAAGAAATGGTATATATATATACTGAGAAGTGAATTGATGCAGCTTATTAAACCGGATGTGGAGATAAAGATGGTTGAGAACACACCGGATGATCCGAGACAGAGGAAACCGGATATAACCAAAGCTAAAGAAGTTTTTGGTTGGGAACCAAAAGTGAAGCTTCGTGAAGGACTTCCTCTTATGGAAGAAGATTTTCGTCTCAGGCTTGGAGTAGTCAAGAAGTGAGAAAATTATTATTTCAAGAAAACAAAATGTGTTTTCTTTTTCATTGAATTGTGTGTGATTTTTTTAATGTTTTTGTTTTTATGCATTTTGAATTTGTTGGGAATAAACATCCAATTATGAAACGACGTTGCTTGATTCCAGATAAAACACTAATGCTGAACCGGTCCAGTTAAATAACTGGTTCACTTAAATGCTCCAAATCAGAACAAAGACTGATAATAAAAAGCACAATCCTTGATTACTTACAAAAGCCAATCTAACACCGTCGATTTATTTGTATCAACGCTCCGTATTTCTTCTTATACATTCACGCGGATCGTCATCTTAAACCGTACATTAATAAAACGAATCGAACGGTCACGATTCGTTTTCTGGTATAAGCGTCTTCTTTATAAACCTCAGCATCTCTTTCTCAGGTCAAACATTAAATCTGAAACTAAAACTCTTCTTCAATCATCTAATTTTCTCGAGAAATTTTCGAAGTCCCCAGAAAAAATGTCAGGAAGAGGAAAGGGAGGAAAAGGATTGGGAAAAGGAGGAGCGAAGAGACACAGGAAGGTTCTAAGAGACAACATCCAAGGAATCACGAAGCCTGCGATCAGACGACTTGCTCGCAGAGGAGGCGTGAAGAGAATCAGCGGCTTGATCTACGAAGAGACGAGAGGAGTTTTGAAGATCTTTCTCGAGAATGTCATCAGAGACGCTGTGACTTACACTGAGCACGCGAGGAGGAAGACGGTTACTGCTATGGATGTTGTGTACGCGTTGAAGAGACAAGGCCGTACTCTTTACGGATTCGGTGGTTAAGAAATCCTTCGGTTTTTGCTGATTACAAGTCTTGCGATCAAGAAATTTGGAGAAAGGGAATTGGTTTCTTAGGGATTTAGAATTTACTTTCGTCGTCTTCTGGGTTGGTGTTCTTATGATTGTAATTAGGGTTTGGGTAATTGCAGTATTGTATTGAATTTCTCTTTTGAGGTTAATGATAGTACAATTACTCTAAGATCTCCAATTTCATTATCAACTTCAATTGAAGCTCATTGTCAAAATTTCAATTTAGGTTTTGGATGCTACAAAGACCAGATAATTTAATTTCATAATGGTAAAATTCATAAAACATAATGCGCATTTTCCACAATGTTAATTTCAGAAAACATGATAAATTTTGAAATTATATTTTTTTGTTTCCGCTCTTTCTCAGATGTTTTTGTTCGGCGCCAAACCAGGGCGGCTAACAAATCGTATGCCACGTCATTGATTTTCAACGATATGAAACCGTCGGATCAGGATAATCGACGGTCAAAATAAGATACCACCAAGTAAATTCAAAAGAACGAAAAAAAAGAAAAAGAAAGGGCCCTACCGGATTCGAACCGGTGACCTATTGATCTGCAGTCAATTGCTCTACCACTGAGCTAAGGACCCTTGTTGTATTACTACTGGAATAAATATATCTATTCTATTTATTAAAAATGTTTCTAACATTAGACTGAAGAGTCGTGCTCGTATGTTTCTATGTCGCTATCGTCGACCTCTAAGCACGATCGGAGTAGAGAAACCGATGCAATTATCATAACACCGGCGAAAATCGTCGGCAGAAAAACGTCAAACGATGATCGCTTCACCATATCAGACGGAACGCACACAATCTCTCCCGGCGAATCGATCGGAATCCTCACGTACCCGTATCTCCCTCCGCCGCCGACGCCGCAGGAATTCGACGATGACGACAATGTAGACATGAACGCAGCCTCCGGTGCGAATGACGCGAAACCCATCGTCAACATTAGTAGCACTGTCCACGTGGCCGTCCGAACGAGAGGAGAAGGATCCGGCTCCATCAAAAGCAAAGAGAAGAAGACGAAAATCACAAAGAAGAAGAAGAAGTTGCGACTTATGTGTTTGATTAAGAAGAAGAAGGGAGTGGGAGAGAGAGAGGACTCTTAGCACGTTTAACGAACTGCTATGAAAAATGACGAATCTGCCTCTTTTTTTTTTTCCTTTTCTTCCTCTTTCTTCTCCTTCCCAGGTTTTGTTCAACTGCCAAACAAAATAAAAATAAAAATAATAATCTTATTTAATACCAGCATTTGTAAATGGAAACAATTACATATTATCAGGTTGTGGGTATTGAATATATAATTTGCAGTGACAGAAATTAAATTTATTATCAACCTAACTTAATAATTAGAGAGAAATGTCCACCGCAAACAAAATTTGTTTCAATAATAGGAATATAGGATACTACAAAAAATGTTATAATGATAAAGATGATTGAGAATGAGTCTTTCAGATTTTAAAATGATGTGAGAGTAACAGCTTCCCTTATTTTATAATTGTTTCAAAGTTTGTGGCTTTTGAGTTTTGACTAAATCATACGTAATAAACAGGTTAATGATATACATCACTTATTTACTTTAACTTTGTGATTCCTACCTTTTCTATAACAGGTGAGATTATTTTTCTTGAATTAAAATTAGTCTTAGAAGTGGACTATCTTCGTTTTATCACATCAAGATGAGTTAACAATTACAAGACTAATTTTGTCAACTTCTCAGAATAATTAACAAAGCTAAATGATAGAAAATTTAACCATTAAATTACCGGTTCATGATCTGGTTCATACAAAAATAAGTATTTCAAGTTGGAAATTATCAATCCAAGACATAAAATTCAGTTTGCTAAAGGGTAAAAAACAATCTAAGTAACAAATTGGATGATTAACTAAATTTGGGTCATTAACCAAGATCACAAAATATATTAAAATCTTGTTCAGAATCTGCACTTTTAACGAACTGCTATGTAAATTTACGAATCTACTCTTTTGGTTTTTTTTTTTTTGCCTCTTCTTCCTCTTTCTTCTCTGTCCTACGTTTACTGTCCAACTGCAAAAATAAATAAATAGTAATCTGAATTAATACGAACATTTGTAAATGGAAACAATTACATATTATTAGGTTGTGTATTGAATTACAATTTGCAGTGACGGAAATTTAATTTATTATTAACCTAACTGATGAACGAGGGAGAAATGTACACCACAAACAAATTTTGTTTCAATAATAGGATACTACAAAAAAATGTTATAATGATAAAAAGATGATTGAGAATGAGTCTTTCAGATTTTACAATGATGTAAGAGTAACAGCTTCCCTTATTTTTCATTTGTTGCAAAGTTTGTGGCTTTTGAGTTTTGACTAAATCAAACGTGATAAACAGGTTAGTGATACACTAACTTATTTCAATTTAGTGATTCCTAACTTTTTTGTAACAGGTGAGATTATTTCTTGAATTAAAATTAGGGAAAAACCCTAAACAAAATACATGAAATTAATTAAATTTAGAATAAAAATACTTAAACTTTTTGCGATTCTAGAAATATACACAGACTAATTTTTAAATCCATAATAAAATACAAACTTTCAGATCTTATAGGTTTTCAACCGTAGTTAACCGCTCTACGTTAATATGTTAAACAGAAGTTAAAAACGCCTTTTAATGATAATAATATGTGGCTTTATAGCAAAAAGACCACACTTGTCCTTCTCATGTTCCTCCCCAAATCAAGTTTTTATAATGAAAATAAAAATTATAAATTGAATTTTTCAAAAAATGTCCACAACTCATAGATTTCTTCCGGAATCGTTTATGAAAGCAACCTTGTATCTAAGATTTGATATTGGAGTTCTAATAACCTCAATCAACCATGATGAATTTCTTTATTTGCCAAATTGAAGAAGCCATGAACACACATCTGAAAAATCTTTTTCAAAATCATGAACATTGGCCTTATTGCAATGTGAGAAAGGACTAGGATTCTGGATAAAGCTTTGTGTGAATGAGTTTGCATCTGAATTTTGGCTATAATACATTTTCTACTTTTTCAGATTTTATGTGTATGGAGAAAGAAATATTGGGGATAATTCAATTTAGGGTTTAGTTATTTTTAATTAGAGATAAATTGAATTGGGGAAATATGAAAGGGCCAAATCAGTCTTTTTAATCAATATAAATCCATATGTTTTAAAGATTTAACGATGTTTTTAAATTTCCGTTTAACACACTAACGGAACTGCTAATCACAACTGAAAACCTATAAAATCTGAAAGTTCATGTATTAATATGGATTTAAAAATCAGTATGTGTATATTTATGAGATCAATTTTTTATATATTTTTTTATTCCAAATTTAATTAATTTCATTTATTTTTATAGAGTTTTTCCCTTAAAATTAGTCTTAGAAGTGGACTTTCTTTATTTTGTTACATCTATGTTTACTTTCAAGATCCTTACCAAGATGAATTAACAATTACAAGACTAATTTTGTCAACGTCTCACACTATTTATCAAAGCTAATTGATAGAAAATTCAAACAATTAATTACCGGTTCAGATTATCTGGTTCATACAAAAATAAGTATTCCAATATAGGGAAATTATCAATCCAAGACATAAAATTCTCAGTTTGCGAAAGGGGAAGAAACAATCGAGTAACAATTGGATGATTAAGTAAATTTGGGTCATTAACCTAGAACACAAAATATATTAAAATCTTGTTCGGAATCTATTTCAAAAGGAACATTGATATTTGCTTGGTTGAGTAAATTTGGGTCATTAACCAAGAACACAAAATATTGAAATCTCGTCCAGAATCTACTTCAGAAGGAACATTGATATTGCTTCGGACGATTGAATAATTTAGGTCATTAACCAAGAACACAAAATATTGAAATCTCGTTCAAAATCTACTTCAAAAGAAACATTCATAAACCATATGTTCTTCCACAATTACAACCAAAAGACAAGCTAGAAACGCATAAAGTATTCAACTTTCTACTAAACCCACATGATAAATCCAGATCCTAAAACCATCAAATCAACCCAGAAATTCTGTTAACCCTAACCGGCAAATTTGATTCAAGATCTAGTAAACTTAGTCACAGCCTTGGTTCCTTCAGAGCCGGCATGCTTAGCAAGCTCATCGGGAAGAACAAGCCTAACAGCAGTCTGGATCTCGCGAGAAGTGATCGTCGGCTTCTTGTTGTACCTAGCGAGCTTCGACGATTCCTGAGTGAGCTTCTCGAAGATATCGTTGATGAAGCTGTTCATGATTCCCATGGCTTTGCCCGGGATCCCGATATCTGGGTTGTCTTGCTTCAGCACCTTGAAGATGTAGATCTTGTAAGTCTTGACGCTCTTCTTCGTCCGCTTCTTATTCTTGTATGTCGCGCCACCAGCTTCTTTCGGTAGCTTTTTCCCGGCCTTGGGTTTCTTCTCCGCCGTAGCTTTCTCCACTACTTTCTCCCTCTCCACTGGCTTCTTTGCGGTGACGTGCTTCTTCTCTGCTGGTTTCTTTCCTGCTTTCAGTGCCATCGTGAATTTTTTCTCGCTGGTTTCTCTCGATGGAAAGGGGAAAATTTAGGTTTTGCGATGAAGAAAAGTTTCAGAAGCAATTGGAGATATTAAGGAGGAAATAACATGTCATGTTGGATGAGAGTGTTTCACCGAGATTAATGACATGGTAAATTTTGTATCCGTTGGATTTGGAAGCGAATACATATCTTAATCCACGGCGGAGATGGATATTAGATAAGTGTTTTTCTTCTCCCGGATTGCTGACGTGGATCACGTTTGGTATCTTCTAAGGCAGGTTCAAGTATCAATAAATGGGCTAAATAGTTGGAATCCGATCGGCCCAATAACATAACAACTAACAGTTAGTTTATGACGGTGAACTCTAATTCAAGAAGTAATTAATCAAGTAAATTAGTAAAATGATGTAGTAAATTTCTTGGAATCACTAATTCAAGAAGTAAATTCTTACAAGCATCAGTATCAGCTTGACCAAGAAAGCTCAAAACTCATATATAACCAATCAAAGCATATCTTTTTGAATCGGATTTCTAAAATCAAAGCACTACTTCTATGGCTTGGATATCCGAAAATGAAATCATGTTTCCTTGAAATATGATAATTGAGGCAAAGGAGAAGACTGCGAAAGCGTAGATAATTCCCCAAATTCTAGTTATTTGCTTCCAACCACTACTTTCGTTGACTATCATTTTTATCCCATTATTGTGGCTAGCCCTGGGCATAATCACCGAACCTGAAATACCCGATCCGAACCGAACCGAAATACCCGAACCGAATCGAACCGAAAACTTTAAAATACCCAATTGGGTATAAATTTTTAAAACCGAAAGACCCGATATCCGAAATACCCGAACCCATACCCGAAGTAGACCGAAGTAACCAATTTTTTTTGATATTTATACTTACAATACATATTTTATTCATTTTTATACATTGTAAAACTCTGATTTTCAGATATTATAATTACTTTCGGATATTTAAGCAAGTTTTGGATAGTTTCGGATAGGTTTGGGTATTAAATAACCGATCAAAATTGCACCAAAAAAAGTTCGGGTATACCTTTTTAAAAAAATTGATAAGACCTTTTCAAGGTTATATTTCATTATCGATTGTTTCTGAAACTTATTAAGAGGCTTATCTTGAAAAACCTTTTAAGCTTTCCAGTTTGGGATTCTATACGAGAAAAATCATTTTTGGAATTATTTATTACTTTCTCATTCAGAAATTGAATGCTTGTTGTACTTTGTGAATTATTCTCATACAACAACATGATGCAGTTTGTTTTTATCAAATTTGCTATTTTAAGAATATTTTGGGCACTGTTGCGGATCAACATAATAGATTGTTTTTAAAAAAAAAATCATATATACACTACTGTTAGAAATCTCTGCAAGATGTACTCCAAAGATAAAAAAAAAATGTTCTAGGTAAATGTAAAATAATATCAAACAAAACTATCTATGAAACATAAATTTTTAAAACTCCAAAATATATGAAAAAACTAAAAAAGACAAAGTCTATGAATTATTTTGATCAAACCAACTAACTAAAGAAGATTGTGCTTAATCCAATATGAATCCTCCAACATCTCGAATAAATTCAAACCTTTGAGCTAGTATGTCAACGTTTCCCTCTCACGAGTTTATTATCTCCAAATTAATTCAAAAGTCACAAGGATCGTGGCCTATATATCTTAGCTAGGATGGTTGCTAGCTAATTGCTATACTGAGATCACTTATGTTGATATTTGGTTTCTAGCTCTATGACAGTTTCTGAGAAACTACACTACTAAAAACTTTTTCCAGTCGGTCCAAATTAATCATGCAAGAAAACGGGAACGATGCTTCTCATCACACAAATATTCTTTCATCACAAACATTTGAATACTGAAACCTTGATGATGGGAAAACATATCTACTAAACAAAAATCGATCTATGATCTCGATACTATGACCACTAAACCGCAGTCACTTCCTTTTTTTCTTTTTTCTTATGGTATCTTTTGGTACACATAAATGATTATCACAATCGATCATTTCAGTTGGAATTTTATTTATGTTGATATTTTGGTTCTCCATGAGACCATGACCATGACTCAACTTTAAAAAAAATACTAATCAGTCTTTTCCTAAACCAAAAAGTCATAAGAAAACGAAAAGAGATCTTGAAATTTCTAGTAAATGACTCTTATTTTTTTGTCACCAAAAGTTTTTATCAAAATTTGATAAATGACCGTTGTACAGAGTTTTAGACAAAACTTCTACTTGTAGATAAATAGCAAAACCAAGATGTCTTATTTAATGGACAAATATGTCTGATCGATTTATAGAAACAAATAACTAAGGTCTAAGGATTCTAGTGGAACTCTATACTAAAACAAAACTGTAAAACTAATAGATTTATTAAGAATCTTAACCTAACCTGTTTTCTGAGCAAAACAAAACCAGTTTTCATTTCTTTAAGATACTATCAGACTTCCATCTCCGTAAAAGAATCACAGTATAATGTTTATCAAGCTTCTTCTTTTTGTTATCCAAGTTCAAACTACAGAGATTTGAATGATAGGTATTGATGAGACGCGCAAAAGAATTCAACAAAAAGAGTATTAGTGAAACAGACCTATATTAGAGTAATATAACTCGACAATATGTTATTTATATATGTATGATGTATCTATACATAACGGAACCATAAAGTTCTTCATACAAAAATTACTAGAGTCCTAAATAAAATAAAGTAAGCTTACTATGCACAAGTATACCCCCAAAAAACAAGAAAATAAAAAAAAATTAGAAAATAAACCTCCCAAGCTCCAACTTCAAATCTTCATTCTCTAACGGCGTCAAGTTCAAATCCAAACACACAACTCTCTTACCATGACCAACGCCAGACTTCTTCATCGTCACCGGCACCGGCGCCAAAATCCGGCCACCTCCTCCTCTATGCTTCCTCATGTGACCACCGAGCGCTTGCCCTACCGCAAACTCGGCACCGCATATGGGACACTCGTGTTTCACCGGTTTGACTCTCTTGGGAGAAGGAGGCGCGTGACCTTCAAGCGCCGCCGATCTACGGTGGCTGGCTCGGTGACCTCCCAAAGCTTGAAAGGACGGGAACTCCTTGTTGCATGTCTTGCACGCAAAAACGCGACCTTTTGTGTCGTTTTGGTGAGCGTTTGATAGAAGAATCAAGCAACTTGCCATCTTGTTGATCATCTCCATCTCTCTTTGCTTTTCCATTGATTAAAAACTTTCTTTGTGTGTGTGTGTTTCGGTTGAGAAATGAAAAATTGAAACGAAGACTTTGTTGAATAATGGACCTCTTGATCGTGTTTATATAAGCGAAATATTAGCTTAGCTTTTTGCATTGACTTTGTTTTGTGTATGGGTTTGTTGAAATTCTTGTTTTACCCTTTCCTCTTACTGAACAAACACCGCCTCGTTGACCCTCCACGTTCAATAATACTTTTGTGTTATTCTAATACAAAATAGCAAAAAACTAATAATAACTGATTATTCATTTGATTGCTTATTGTGTATCATCATCTTCAACCGCTTACAAACGAGACAGACATGTAAACAGAATATATTAGGCCATGAGTTAGTGTACTTAGTTAAGTAAAAACACATAATTTCATATTCAAGTTTTACGACTTAATAGAAGATTGTAGATTCTAAAAGAGTGAGATAATTAGAATTGAAATCACAAAACTCAACGTAGAAGCCACCTAAAGTAAGATCCAATTGGTTGGTTCACAGTTCATTGCTAAAAATCATAATTTACAAAGTAAAAGACTCCACTAATTATAGAAAATGCGGTACAATACAATATGACAAAAAAAGTCTTACGATATTTTTATAACTTAACGCTGACTTAGATTAGATACTACCAAATGTTAATAGTTTTTTCCTAAAGAAAAAGAAAACAAATGTCAATACAACTGTATTTGTCGCAACATACACATCACTATAATCCATAATCTAATTTGAAAACACAACCAATAAAATGTTATCAAAACATACATTATTTTATTTTCATCCACAAGTAGTAAATTACAGTTCTAAATAACAACATTCATTAAATAAATATATGACTGAAAAAAAAAAAATCAAATTAAAAAGATAAGACGAAATTTAGGAAATGGGGTATTTTGGGAAATAAAGAGGAAAGTACGGCAAGACTTTTGGTACGGCAAGTTGGGATGAGTCATGGAAACGTCATCGCATACCAAACCAAACGACGAGAGGAAAATAGTCGTGAGTCAGACGCTCTAGAGTGTTTTACTATTATCAAAAGGCTTTCTTACTCTGCCCACTCTCAGATTAACGCGCGTGTATCTCAGTTTTCTCATTTGTTCGGTTAAGATTTATTTGTTCGTTATCTTCGTGACTTCATTCAACATTACGCATGAAAACTACGTTACGTGTTGTTATCTTTTCTTCGATGTTTTAGGTGTGGAATTTTTAACTCCTAATGACCGCAAACAGTTTCTTTGAGTTCATACTTAAGTTTATGAATCAATACTTAGATTATCACACAATTTGTTTACTTTTTTTTTTGTTTTTTTTTTATATATCTAAGATGTATATTTACAGCTTTGATGGTGAGTTACTATTAAAAAATGTCTAAAAATATGGTATCAGAATTCCTTCAGGAAAATTTTGGCTACTTTCAAATAACATTATGGCTACGGGAGCAAGCAAAGCAACCATCAGCTACTTGTAGTCTTCTATAGAATAAGGAATTATTCTGTCTTAAAGTCTAAAAAAATCATGTAAATAAATAGGTAATGGCCCGCATTCTTGTGGTCCAGTGGTAAGGGGAAGCCTTGGTGAAGGGTGAAACTCCCAGACTCGGGTTCGATCCTCCCTGGAAACAATATCACATTTGTGTGGGAAGTCTGTCAGTTGAGTCTAGGCCCAATTGGTTTACCTGGTAATTAGAAATGCAGGCGGCCTGATTACCCCTTGGCATTAGTTGAAAGGCACTTCAAACTCGGA